CCCTCCCCCGGTAACAAAGTGCCTCTCTCCAGTGGAAGCTTTTATCCTCCACTCCATCAGCAACCCACTTTCACAGAAGCCCAGGAGTGAGCTAATAAACTTTGCACATGGAGTGGTAAAAGGACCGTGACAACCCACGCTGTTAGAACGTGTGCAAAGGAGAACATGCACATGCTTCATAATCCACTTCCTTCGCAAATGAATAACAGCAGTTCGTGTTTATCCTTTTGGCAATATGTATGTCTCCCTACACACAGCACAAGTAATGCATCTATATTTCTAAACTTTCAGCTATGTCTGTGTTGACATTTCAGTCTTTTAAAAAAGCAATGGTCTCTGCTCTGTGTGTTCTCATTTTAAAGTATGTTCATCTCTGCGTCCAGTAAATTTAATTTATCCCCTACTCTGGTGACAACTTCATAGTGGGCTTCTTTAGCACTTAGTCATTGGGATTCCCTCCTTTAAACTTCTTGTTGTTTGACTGTTCTATTTCCATCTCTGCCTAGCTCTGAGATATTTCTTTCTTGACAATTTTCACAACTTGTCCTCAGATTTTCATTCTGACCTATCAGCATCTTCCTTCTCCAGCCTACCTACTAACTTCCAGGGAAGTATGGAAAATAGACTGTGAATCTGGAAATTAGGACGATTTAGGTTCTAACCATCTGTTGGACTTTAGCAAGTTGCTTAGCCTCTCAAAATCTCAGATCTCTAACTGTGGAACTGTGGACAATAATAGAAGCCATTCTGTGGCACATTTTCATGTATGCAGATTTCACGAATTCAGTTTTGTCAACTATTGGGAGAGGAAGTTTTATAGATGTTAGGAGAAATGAATCTGAAGTGATTATCACAATGTTTTGTGTCTGGGCTTCAAAATAAAAAGGTAATTTTTATTCCTAACAGCAGAACCAATCCTTCTGGTGCTGAATGAAGCTCAATCAGAACAGCAACCATGACTTTGATTTCCATACCCCTTCCTTCACTGGAGTAACTGTTCTTCTTGGAAATGGTACACAAATTTAATTGTGCTCCAGAAGTTCTTGGGAGCTCTAGAAAAAAATTCTAACCCTGGGGATCATCTGCAGAGATACCGATTTAAGTGATATAACACGTAGCCTGGGCAATGGTATATTTTAAAGCCGCCTAAGGCTGCAAGCTCTGCACCTCTCCCTGATTCAAGTCTCCAGTTCTTGTGTCCTCCCCACACTCCCAGCCCTTCCAAACCCTCCTGGGCCTCTTTCATTACTGTTCCAGTATTCCTTCGATCTGCTGCCTGTTCAGGAGATGGCCACATCCAGCCGTGGTCAGAGTTAACAATGCATGCACAAGGTTTCAGCATCAATCATTTAAAAAGTATCTCGTGCTTGCTGCCACTTGCATGACTTATCGAGCCTGTTTTTTTTCCAATTCCTTGATTCACGGAGTTCAGTAGAGATTCTGGTTTCTCCTTGAAACTCATGCCCAGGAACCCATCCTGAGCCAGGTGGCAGCTCAACCCTTTTCCTCATCCTTTTTCCTCCTATTACAAGAATGAGACTGAATGTTTATAACTTTTTCAGGACAATGAACTCACTGTATGAAGACCTTAGCTTTTGTTGTCCTCTCTCTCTCCCCTTTCCATCATTCCTACGTGAATCTTTGCCCAGGACAAGATGTAAGTCAGTGGGGCAACTCTTAATGAGAGCCCAGGGCATGGAGAACTTTGTTTCACTATGCGCCACTGGAATTTTAATGTGTTAGGTGCGTTTGACCTCTCTCTAGTTTAGGTCAGGCCCAGCCTTTCTTCCCCCATGCATCTGGCCTTACCTGCTCTTGGCTTCCTTTTCAGAGCCCTCTATTGCTAAGCACAAACACTGCCGTGACTGAGAAAGCAAAAGTACAAACCTGGGAAAAACCACATTAGTCTCATAAAAATCAAAAGATATTTTTAGCTGCTTGGCTACCAAAGACTTACTTACCTTTGGGTTGGGAGTGGTAAGGTACTTGTCTAATTTGATCAAAGCCATAGATTTGATTTCTCAGTATGACAAAAAAGTATTAGTTTCTAAAGCTGCTTTGCTTTAATTATCATGTGTGCAGTACAGAATTATTACATTCCTTGCAGGAGTTGGTACGTGTACATAACACGTCTTAATTATTTTTATGTCCCCTCCCCCTCCCTTCTCACCCTCCTCCTCCATCTATTTACAAAATATCTATCTCCCTGTTCCCTATTATCTGCCTTTCACTGTACTCTTTAATTGATTTAAAATGTGTATTTCTCATTTAAGAGAAACCATGTAATGTTTAGCTGATTTATTTCACTTAACATCATGATCTCAAGAAAACATGAACTTAAATCCTTGTTTTTGAGGCATAATTTGCATCCTGTGAAATCCACAGATCCTAAAAAGAGTTGTTTGCTTTTGAGAAGTTCATGAACTAGAATAACCCCACTCCTGCTAAAATACAGAATATGCCCATCCTCTGAGATGGGTCCCTCAGCAGGAGCAGCCTTGCTTTAGTTTTGAAAGTGAGCTATTTTCATTAGTATTATGTTCTTATAAAGAAGTTTAGTAGATATTAACAAAGAATACACTCTTCCTCCGTGTTTGGCACACTGATAAATTACTCTGCATGTTCTCTTTCTAATTAATATTTTAAAGTGGGGATTTGAATTCACAGTTTAAATAAGTAAATCATGAAAAACTTTTTATGTGTATCTCAGGCTTCTAATGGACTTTTAACACATAGGCTGGCTTAATGCCGAACATTAAAGAAATAGCCAATATATCTTTCACAATGCTATTATAAGTAACAGTCATCCCAATTCACGATTTCCTGTATTTTTCTTGGATTTTGTGGCAGATGCCTCTTAATTCAAGTCTATGCTGGAAAAGTGCAGTAAGACAGGAGAATGTGACACAGTTAAACTTTAAGCCTTGACTGAGATTAATGGCGAGTAGAATTTATTGATCCCTCCAAGAATCATGGCCTAAATTAAAATTTGTATGCCTGGGCTCCTAGTCACTACATATTATCATTGCTTAATTAAAATAGTACTTTCCCCCCTTCAGCTTTCTTTTGGTAATAAATTCTCCCTTGATGTCCCCTCCCCGCTTTTCTTCTAAATCCTACATCCCTGGAAGTGCTGGGTCTCCCTGTCGGCACCCATGATGGTGATCTGCTGTTAGAGAGATCCAGGGTTGGAGAGTCACATGCATCTCGCTGCCAGTGCAGGCTGGCCAGCTTAATTTTGAGCCTTCTCTGACTCTTCTAGAGCTTCACAGAAAATTGGGATTGTATTTATGATGGAGGCTAGAGGAGGAAGAGTGTTGAATAACTGATGAGAGATTCAGGCCTTGGTCTCTCATTCACCGACATATGACTTTGGACACAGACAACACAGCACCTTTATTTCCAAAACCCAAGAGCTGAGAATGCCAGCCTACCTCCCTGTGAATGATAGGAGAGCGACAGTGACAACCGTGTGTGAGAAAAGAGGTTGTAAGTTTAAATGAGATAAATGTAAAATCATGGAACTGTGAATGCTATTTATGCATCTAATGAATGCAAGTATTGATTTTTAATTATTGTGTCAGCGTTTACTAGAGAAACAGGTATAATGCAGGATATATGAGTATGTAAGAACTTACAAGATTGGCTTATAATGGGGGCCTATGGAGTCAGATGAGGAATTGTGTAGTGTCTGTCTGCACACGAGAGACCAGAGGTTTCAGTCAAAGATCAGGAGCTCACTACAGAGTCCAGTGGATCTGCACCAGAAGCTGAAGACTCTATGCCAAAGCCCAAGAGTCTGTGCTCAAAACCAGAAGATGATGCCCAAGGTGAAGGTGAAGACTGGGGTTTCTCCAAAGAAACAGAAGTAGATCAGTCCTTCCCTATGTCCCCTTTATACCTTGGCTGTGGAATTGCTGAGCCGGTTTAGCTAAGCTTCTCTTAACTAAACTTTTCAAGTTGGCACAATCCATTGACTGTCACAATTATAAAGGAAAATAAAACAAAACCTCAGAGCCATCGCTCCCTGATACCATGTGTGTGAAGACTGTGAAAGCAGTCAGGAAAGGAGACCTCACTTTGCTCTTCCAACTTCTTTTTTTAAATTTGTATTTATTTTTTATTAGTATATGTTTGCAGTATGTAACGAATACATTCCTTGGGTGTTTCTTTTTTCAAAAAGCATTGAGGATTGCCTTTCTGCACTGTATTATTACTCTCCTTACAATGAAGTGCACTCTTCCAAAGTGGATAAAAAGATGTCTGATACTGGAGTGTCTTAGCCTGAATAAGAGAACAAGAAATGGATGGTTGATGGATGGATGGATGGATGGATGGATGGAGAGTAGTGGATGGATTTTTATGAAAATAGGTGAGCTCTTACTCACCCCCACAAAGTCTTAAGTAGTGTCGGGTGAGGCCTACTTACCAGAAAGAACACACTTCCTGAGCTGTTCACACAGAAAATCCAAATAATAGTTCAGGTATCTTTCCTTTGCTCACTGAGTCCTTTCCTGTCCATGACTAGTCCACCATGAATATGCAACCACGAGTCTTCCCTGCTCTTTCTTTTCTATTTGTACAAACGCAGCCATGCGCTCCCCGCCCTCTCTTTCCCTGCATACCTTTTTCAGGATACCAGAAAAGCAGCATTTGGTCTTCATTGCCATTCTTCAAGACTATTTGAACCTACTGGAAACTTTTGACAATGCACGTACTGCTCCAAAGGACACAAATTACCTCACTGGTATTCATCTGGCCTCGTAGCATCAGTTGAACCAGGAGTGTTAGCCGAAGCCTAGTGCTTGATTTCAGTGAAACAAGGCACACCTTCTGGGAATGCCCACTGATAGTGGTGTGGACACAGGAGAGATTCCAGTAGTGCTTTAATAATAAGAAATTTTAACAATTTCAAGATGTAGTAAAATAAATCTATTTAAAGAAATAAAGCAATGTGTCATGGTTTGGGAAATTAATATCATTATCATTATATTTTATAGCTACTGTCTTCCTGGAGTTTTGGAAAAGGAGAAGAAGTATACTGACCTATACCTGGGACCTTATTGAATGGGAAGAAGAGGAGGTGAGAGGTTAGAAAGCTTGGAGCTACAGAGACTGGGGTATCACGTGGTGTGGGAAAAATCTCTGTGTCCCTACCTCTGGACCAGGAGTAGCTACACACCATGAGATTTCCCCTTGACGTTTTTAACCAACAGGATTTCATACTTCATGAAGATTATGGAGATCAATAATGAAATATTTATTTTTTAAACTACTTCCATGACATTTCCTTAAACTACTTTAGTAGAAAAGTATGCTGATTAAAATGCAGATGAAGGTTTCTTTGAAAAATAATCTAAATCTTACTTTGTAAAGGATTCATCTTTGTGAAGACAATTTGAAAATGGGGCAAGCTCAGTAGTTTTATATTAATTCTTGGAGGCCTATTTAAAATGCATGGCTTTGATATTTCAATAACTGTAGTTTCTCCTCTAGGAAACACTGCGTCCCCAGTTTGAAGCCAAGTATTATAAGATGGAGATCGTCAATCCCATCACAGGGAAGCCTGAGCCACACCAGCCTTCATCAGACAAAATCACCCGTCTTCTTGTGTCGGTCTCAGGAATATTCTTCATGGTAAATGGCAGTCATAGTTATCCCAATGCTATGTGATTTCACGGTTAAAAGGACGTTATGTGATCCTAAGACCTTTTGTGACCCTGAGGATGTAAAACAAGAGCCATCAAATTCCTTTTTCAAACTTTGTTTCTCATATTGTTTTCAGACTTTTGTTCATAATCAGTGATTGTAAGGTTTGCCATTTAATGTTTAAAAATGTGAGAAAATAAATCCTACCTAATATATCTAAATCAGTTCCCTCACAAGAAAATATGCTTTGAATAGCAAAAGTAGGACCAGGTCAAATGTGTAGTTACTCTTTTTAAACAAGGGCTTTTTTTTTTGTCCATTTCTATTTTATTCCACCATGGTAACTATGTCCTTGACAAGGTACAAACCATTTCTTTCTGATTAAACCATAGATGTGTTCTTCACAGCATAGTTTGATAATTAAAAAAAAAAAAAACTTAAAAAAAAGAAAACGTCCTTTTAATACCTTGGTAATATATTCAGTTAAATAAAATACAAATTATGACAGATCACAGACATTTGTAAAAGGTGAATCTAGCATCTCTAAATAACTTGCTCATTGAGAGGACCTGAAATCAACTCAGATTAAATGGAAATCACATGAGTGACCTGGTGAATCAGATATCCGGCATTAAAAGAAAGCATTCTACTTAAAAGATGAAATTCATATAGAATTTGTACTTTGGGGGGATGACTGTTGCCCTCAAACTACTTCAGTGTTTCTCATTTCATTTTTGTTGTTTGCAAATTTAATTAACTGAACTTACTTTATTTTGATTTTGTTGTTCCGCGTGTCGATTACGGGCCTCGCACACGCTAAGCATTTACTTTAGCACTAGGCACCACCCTCGAGCCCTACTTATTTACATGTCAGGTGACGGTGTATGTACTTTCAGGTATACGATGGTATTCTGAAGTATATATGCACTGTTACATCAATAAAATATGCATACGCTGTCTGGCTGTCTATTTAAGCTATTGAATGTTACTCTGATGTAAATCACTCCCTCGGTGGAGAAATTATACTCAATGTACCCTCTCTAAGAAAGGTAAATCCCTTAACTCTCGGGCACAAGAGCATCTCTGACCTCTGCCTTGGCTTTTGCCGCTGTCTCGCGTCCCAGATTTCCTTGGTGATCACGGCGGTGTTTGCGGTGGTGGTGTACCGCCTGGTGGTCATGGAGCAGTTCGCGTCCTTCAAGTGGAATTTCATCAAGCAGCACTGGCAGTTCGCCACTTCCGCTGCTGCCGTGTGCATCAACTTCGTCATCATCATGCTGCTGAATCTCGTAAGTGCTCGCAGGGAGCCTTCCCGTAGGCGAAGCTGGGTGGGGAAGGGGGAAGACGGTGCTAGTGTGGGGGCCGTGGGGACGGTGATGACACCATAAGGCTGACCTGCATTTTTGACAACGACAACTCATTTTAACAGAAAGTATTCCGGCTATGTGGTTTAGATGGCAGATATTTGAAATGCAAGCCAATTCTGGTTGTGCCGTTCTCCTCTGCCTTTTGAGTTTATAGTGTAGATTCGTGATAACTTCCGTGCTGTGAGTATCTGTTGTGCACTTGAGATGGTGCCGTGCACTTTTCAGATGGATGAAGGATGCCTTGGATTATAAAACCACCTAAATAAAGTCAGCCTCACAGGGCAGTTTGGTGGAAAGACGCTGAAAAGTTGGCTTGAAAGTAAAGCCTTGTGATCTCCTCCCTCTCCCCTCCCCTGCCCTCCCCTCTCCTCTCTTCTTCTCCCCCTCACCTCCCCGCTCTTCCTCTCTTTCTTCTTTTCCCAATTCACCTGTTCCACTCTCATTAGGATGACAACCTTCCCCTCACTGTGCAAGTCCTCTGTCCTGATCTGGGGCACGTGGCACTGCTATACCTTGGTTATCTTATTTAGCCCTAACTGTGCAATCATTTTATCAGGCTTGTATGATTTAGCTTTTCAAAGAGAGCATCTTTTATTTCAACACCACCTGCATTTATTGTCGTGAAGACCAAATATCTATGGCTGAGAGGTCATCAACAAAGCCTATGGATTAAAGCCAATTTTTTTCTGAAATCAAGAGGCCCTGATTACCCTTTAGGACAATATCTTGTCCTTAATTCTTCCACCAGCCCCACAAAGTTGATATTCTTTCCATCAAGAGAGGAAACTGGAAATCTGAGAATTTAAGTAGTTTGTCCAAATCGTACATTTTCTAAGTGCCAATGTTAACATATTTCCACTGTGAGATAATTTGTAGATATCTGAGCCGTGCGCCTTAGTCATATTATATATAAACGATAAGCATTTGTTCCAAATGTGGTTGAAACTAATTCTTCATGCCTGGCCATGAGGGGCCAGAGGCCATGTAGTTCTTCATTTTAGTAACAGAAAAGGCCTGAAAAGAAAAGTTAATACCATGACGAATGAATTTTAACTCCAGTACAGTAGTTACTAGCTACTAATTCTGCTTCTTTCAGTTTCAGTTTAATTTGCTGAAGGGAAAGAGTATTGACATAAACTCCAGATAAACTATACAATATTTGAATTTATGCCATTGGATGATAGATTAAAGTGAGCAATAAACACCAAAAAAAAATAAATACTAGATAGTTTACTGTTGTGCAAATTAATTTAGAATTTAGAGAAAAGTAGGTTTCCTGATGAAACTTAAATCTGTTTTTAAAAATACATTTGATAAAGTTAGCATCAACAATAAAACAGGATAGCATTAATTGTGATTACACATCAAAATATCATCAGGATTTCTCTCTGGAAAATTAGAGTATAGGTGGTATAGGTGTTTTTCTCTCTCTCTCTGTTAGTTAATATGTATCATATATATTGAATTTTCTAAATTACCTGCAATAAGCTTATTTTCATTGTAAGGTGAGTAAGACCAAGCTTTAACAATAATTTGTTGTATTATTTTAAAGAGATCATCATGATGCAGTTGAAGTTGTTACTGTGTTATGATTCTATAGAATTGCAAGAATTGGAAAAGAAAACCACTAAATGACCAAAAGTAAGAGAATATGGATTCAAATTTCATTTAATGGCGTGATATAATCTACTTAAATATTGTCTTATTACTATTAAAGGATAGGAAGAAATATAAGATACATAAGAAAGATATACACTTTTACTTGATTTTAATTCTCCAGAATATGCACATCTACCCGTCTGGATTTCAGAACTGTAAGGAATGGCAATCAACTATGACAGTAGCATCTCTTCGCAGTAAGATAATGTGACAAACACTTTGGATTTAAACTAACCTTTTTTCTGATCATTGAAGTATTTATCTCTGCATGCAGGTGTTAATTTGTAATTTAAAAATAACCTTTCCTTTAAAAGAATTCTACCACTATATAAACCTTGGGACACGTTGGAAATGGAAGGCACCTTTTTTGCTGTTGTTGTTAACTCTACGTGTGAGTCACGTAGACAGTAACTTTGCGTCTCTCTAAAATGTGGTCATCTACCAAGTAAGGAGAGGACTTTCCCAGCTGGCTAGGCCTTGCACCCAGCCCACCACAGCTCCTCTGTCCACATGTGCTCTCTGGTCCCTTCCCACCATCCTCTAAGCTGCCCAGACTCTGTTGCTGATGGTAACGTCCTCGGAGTGGGGTCCTGAGGACTCTGGACAGGGCCAGGCAGATTTGCCACTTGAGCTGTGTGACTCGCCACCCTCCCACACCATCTCTAGGCTGTAATTTCTCCATTCTCCCAATGAAGAAGGCAGAACTTACACATAGGGTATGGAAAGATTTCAGAGTCCTTTTCTAGTGTGTAAAAGGTGCTAATAACTTGCTTCCTCTATGTTTGCTTCTGTTCAAGAGTTTTAATTTTTATTACCCTTTTTAAGTGTGTATATACTCCCATTCCTTCACACAAAGCAAAAACATTCCCTATACTTTCCCTTTTTTTCTTATCTTTAAGTAGTAGAGTTGATTATTCATTTTCTGTCAGCCCAAGATGTGCAAATGACAATCTTTTCTTTAGTCTGTGTAAACTTTCCAGACCATATCTGTATTGATTTATATCGAAGCTTTGTTCTTTTCTCTTCATCTGTATGATCCTTTCAGAAATATTTATATCAAAAAATATTTGTATACTCAAAATAGTCTTTGGCGAGAAAGAGAAATATAAATAGATGGTCGTAGTATGTCTTTTTAACAAATATATTAATAAATAAAAATTCTTTCTTTTAAGAGGCAAGAGGAAAATATATGGAACAAAGATTTTAGGCAGAAATACAGGATGCCCTCAAGGGTGGAGTGCAGATATTCAAAGAGATGAGGCCTAGAAGTATTTTAAATATGCATTTAGTTCGTGGAAAATATCCTACCATAGGATAATTTCAATAGTCTTGTTCTTTTGAGATCTTAACTTTTATTATTTCCTTTGTAAAGTCTGTTTTCCTTACCCTTTCTTTAGGAAATCGATCGAATATATTAAAGTGTAAAAATTGTAAAATACTCCATAGAAGTCAACTTCCTCGAAGCTGTGATGCTTTCCTGGCCTTTCCTACATCCAGTCCTACCCACTGGCCAGTGCTAAAGGTTTCCTGTCTATTCTCCAGTCCCAACCTGTCAATTATTCCACCCTTTGTCTCTTGGGCAGTTTGTCCCCAAGGCTACTGATCTGTGGAACATCTTGAGCGAAGCCAATGAAATGACCTAAGAGTTCCAAAGACAGGGACTATTCCGGACAGGGAAAGTAAAGAGCCAAGTGTGTTTAATTAATTTGGGAAAGCAAGCATGACGGCTCAGAACAGACACTCCATATCCAGTGTTCAGTGCTTTGTTCCCACCTGGAGAAACCATCATCCCTCAGGGGAGCTGAAGCATTTTCAGGGGCAGCTTCATGATTCGGAGCCTGCATTTGAACTCTATGCTTGGACATTTTTCTTGGCAAGGGTTCCTTCTCTTGTCACAGATATTTAGGAAATTAAAATCTGGTGACTCACCGTTGGTATATTAGTGTCTAATTTTTTTTATTATTCTGGTTGTGATTTAATCACCAATCATTCAAACACAGACTCTGCTGTTCCTCCAGCCCCTGTCCTGAGTTACCACCCGTTAGCTAAGGTCACAAGGGCCTCTCATCTACCTGGACTTTTCCTCTCTCTCAGAAGGTTTATGTATAGCTTGTTCTTACTAAGCTGATGTGTTTGTTTGTTGAGGCTCAGTGAGTTCTTTCCGCCAAGCCCCTTCATTTTTACAAAAAGCTAAGGCTGGAAATCTCTACCTGTGCTGAAGGCAGGTGAACGTAGTGTCACTTGAGTTATCAAAACAACTTGCAGTTCCTCGGAATCCCACCAGCTCTGCACAACTCAGTGCTATTGTCAGGGCTTTACAGGAGATGTCTATCATTCCTGGAAGAATCAGAACTGACCACCTTGTCTACTTCTTGGACATTTTGGCATAAAGATTTATGGACTGTTGGAAGCCAAATAGACTATAAATACTTCTTTACCATTGCAACTAACTTAGGAGATGATTGTTAAAATGTATTTAGCATAAAGAATGCAGCCAACTCAATCTACATGAAAAGAACATTATATTCACTTTTAATCAGTGTAAAAGTAATAATACTCTTCCAAGTGAATGCATTTCTTTCCTACTCAGGATGTTGAGGTACTTCACAAGTTATTAAACAGCTCTCCTGATGCACCTGAATCCACCTATTAATTTAAGACCTTAATCAAATAAAGATAGACTGAAATGTCCAATATTCCACCACTAAAATATTCATCTGGAAAAACCAAAAGATCCAGTTGTTGTGCTATTCTCAGGACAAAACTAAATATATACCTAATAAAAATCGGTCGTGTTTCTTAGCTGGACCTTAGGATCCCGGTACCACCAGCCTTCCCAGATGAAAGACATGCTCAAAAGATCCTATGACTCTAGTGTGTGTCTCAGCTCTAATCCAAATGTGTTACTTTATAAAATAGCTTCAGTCAGATATTTTGCACAAATCAGGACATAAAATATATACAGCCAAAGCCTCATCCTATTCTCCTCACAATTCTTTTATCTTAGCAGTGACTAACAGCTATGAATTTCTACCCGGAGATGCCTGCTGACATTCTCCTTTGAGCTTCCTCAGCGAAGTCGGCCGTTACAGTTTGCTTGGACTATTGCACATTGCACAACCTCCTAACTTGATAATATTCCCGTTTCTTCTCTACCTCACTTACACACGACTTTTGAAAGACTGTGTCTAAATTGTACTTTTGATCATTTTACTTTGTGCTTGAAACTGTGTTGCGGTTTTCTAGGACGCTGTCGGAGTCCTAGACTCATTCACCTGCCCGCCCTGGGGTGGGAATTGTTCACAGCCAGCGTCCTTCTCTCTCCTCACCCCAGATGACAGAACACTCCCTCTGCCCTCTGCCCTCTGCCGCTCTGTCACTTACACCTCTGTGTGTGGGTCATGGGGCTGCTTCTGTATGAAATGCCCCTTTTTTCTCTTGTCTCCTTGGAGAATATCTCTTCATCTTGGAAAATACTGGCTGCGGCTTTTCTCCTCCACATACCTTTATCTCAGTCTCACATTGAGTAATCGAGTCTTTGTTTTAACAGCAGCGCAACCCTCTTAGATCTGCAGTTCTCTCGCTCAGCAGACCGCCCCCGGGAATTGGTCAAGCCTTTGTGACATTCACCCTGGCACTGATTGTCACAGCTCTTCCTCCCACTGCCAAGGTGCTGAGCACAGATGAGCAGGGTCCTCTGGCTTCCTTGCTTTTGGACCTCCAGGTCTTGGAGGTGTTTTCACATATCCTGGGGCAGATTTGAAATATGTCACCTCTCCAGTGTGCTGACATCCTTCAGATTGCATGTGATCAACTCATTTTATGTGATTAGAATTGTACTTTTGGTGTTTTTCAAGCATATGATACTTGTTTAAATTCAAAGTAAGAACCAAAGACTATGCATTCTCTAAATCTTTCAAAACAGGTAGAAACTCTAAATAAACATTCAATTGGGCAGAAACATGGGGAACGAAATAATAACAATTTGTTTACAAGTCTATTGTATAGATTGTGAACATGATTTCAAAAGTTTTTCTTATAACAAATCATATACATAATATATCTTCTTTTATCAAATTTTCTGCAACACTTTAAAAACTACAAATTCCTGATTTCCATTAAAAATCTCCTTTGTGGGGCTAAACAAATGTATTTGAAACAAAAATACCAAAAAGTTCTGTGGTGATTCTGATCCAGTCAGACCTAAAATAGCATTAAAAATCATTGATTTAAGGTCTCTAAGGGAATTTTGATGCATAGCCAAAATCAGAAACCACAACTTCTAAAACAAAATTATAAATAATTTAACAATAATTAAAAACGTTATCATTTTTAATGTCTTCTTGCCAAACATAGAGCTAACAAGCTGTAGTGGTAGAGTTTGAAACTAAACGTTAATCTTTCTCAGTCCATACTTTTTCTTCTGTATTTTTCTTTCCCTTGAAAATATACTGCTACTGGGCCGAGGATTTAGCTCAGTGGTTCCACCACCTACCTCGCAAGTGCAAGGTCCCAAGTTCAATCCCTGGCACCAAAAAAAAAACAAAACAAAACAAAACAAAACAAAACAAAAAAACAGAAAATGTGAAAATATACTGCTACTTTTAGATACTGTAAGTGGCATGTGGCCATCATGTCAGGAACTATTTCCAAAAATAGTTTAATGAAAATGAAACATGTGAAGTCAGTCCAAAAATATATGTTCTTGTTGCTTGACAATCAGTCCTTTAAGTCATTTTGTAAAATGAGGACAGCTGTCTGGTATCACAGATTGCATGTGATCCTTTAATTCTTAAGGGAAAAAATGGAAATACTGGAGAAGTACTCTAATAATTTCTCCAGGATTGGGGCAGTATAGGCAGTAAGAATGAACTCTTTTTAATATTTCTCCTCTCCTTTGGTAAGATCCACTTGGCTTACACAGGGACACCATAACCAAAAAATTAAGAGAAATCGCTCACGATAGGTGGGCAGTGTGAGTTCTCCAGGCTGGTGCCGGGTGTCCCCATTGTCGAACCATTGCCAGGTCTCCATTTCTGTGCCCTTTTCCTGGACATGATCACAAAGCCTCAGAACCTTTCCCTTTCCTAACACCTGTTTACTCTTGGTTGCCAACGATAAGGCACACCATTAGTCATAGCATGAGCGGGATCCAAGGTTTGGACCACGGGTCTTAACCAACAAAGGGCTCAGTGACAGATGACTCATTTAATAGGAGATTGTATGTGTTCGGTTTGATTTGTAGAAATTCAGAGGGCAGATAGCTGGAAAAGAGCAGTCTCTTGCTTTCTGCAGCAGCCCGGGGTTTCCTTTCACAGAGAAGTCTGCACTGTGGGGCTCGGACTCCGACGTGAAATGCCCCGGTCACGTACAGAGCTCCCAGGGCTGCCCTGTGTGAGAGCCATGCGCTTTCCCTTCACTTGCTCTGCTTTTCCTGCGCACTTGATTCTGGCATCAAACTTCACCCAGGCACTGGGAGGAAGCCGGCGATGTCCAGGCTCGGAGCGAGTCCGGAGGTCCTCACCGTGGCCAGCTGCCCCTGAGAAGACGTCCACCTCGGGCCTCTTTCTGCCTCTTCTCTACCGCTGCGCTTGATCATGACGCCTCCCCTGTCCTTCTAACATCTCTCCATCAGGACGCACGTGGAGCCCCCGCCAGCCTGGGAGCATTTGCACCGCGTTTCTGTGCCTCGGAGGAGCTCGGTCCTGACTGCGGCTTGGCTCCCTGTCTCTCACTTCCTGTCTCTGCCTCCGTGTCACACTCGCACCGGGGGCTCCTGTTCCCTGGAGAACGTAGTTCTCTTCCCAGCACCACTCCCCGGCCTGCGTCACTCTTCTTCTTAGCACCTTTTACCTCCTGACCGAGGACATACTTGTTGCCGTACATCTCTGGCTGCTGGAGTTTAAATTCCGTGAAACTCAGCAGAGGCAGTGTGAGCTTGGATAACTATTGTTCCACCCCCGCACCACCCTAGCTGGCTCCCCTCACCCAGACACACATCCACCCACTGCCCAGCCAGAGTCACGGCCGCCATACGCCAAACTGGGCATATTTTCAAGTCCTGGTTTCTACGCTTCATAGTTGTGGAGTTTACAAGTCGGTCTGTGTGGATTGATTGTGTACTGTGCAATCACGGTGTCAATCAGCCATTGCATCTGGGCTTCGGATGACACAGGTTCTTAACTACCCCCAGAAAGTGTAGGCTTTGCTGTGATTCCTAACGTTCCCCGCTAGGTTCTTGTGCTCCTGTGGGGCGTTCAGCTGTAGGTGTTTCCATCCCCGGCTTGCAAAGAAGTGTCTATGCACTAAGCATTAAGATAAAGGTCTTGATCGGTGACAGAACAGAGGGTAGTGTGAGAGAGCCAGGACAGCACGTCCTGACTGCTACTTGCTGAGCAGAGTTGTGCCAGCCAGGGTGCCTGGCACTCGAAGTCTTACTTCACTGTTTTGTAGTACGGGAATCATTATACCTACTCGGATTTGTATCTCAGGAGCAAGAATATACGGAAATCACCGTTGGGGACAATCACAGGCTCTAAATGGCAATTATCAGGCAGAAGCAACTCAGCCTCCCTGAGGTGTCCTTTCAGCGATGGAGGAGGCTCAGCTGAAGCTGCATACTGTGTGTGGGATGGGCAAGTCCATTCCGTGGGGAGACTCTGCTGTGCTCATCCGGCTGGAGAAGTGAGGCCAGGAAAGAACATGATGTAGTAAGAATCATGCTGGTGCTCATGAATTCTGAGCAATCTTGTCTTAGAATAAGAGCACAGCTTGTGAATACAGCAAAGTAAACAAGCAAACAAGCAAAAGCCTGCCCTGGAGAACTTATGCAACTTTTGTTGTTCTTGACATCTTCTTTCTATCTCAAGAATATTTTAGATCTTAGAAAGAGGTAGGTTTGAATCGTGGCTGGCCAGATTTTCACAATAGCTCTCCTTTAAGGACACTCAGAGAATGTCAGCGACTTTTAGAGTGAGATACATATCTTTTAATTGGAATTATTCTAAGCAGCAGTTTATTGAATTGTGGTATATGCTTACATTCACCTATGCGTTCCCACATCACAAACATATATCACTCTTGTGTCTAGAATAAATATGCTCTTCCAACTATATTTACATAGCATACTTTAAAATTTACATCACTGACTCAAGCCTATATAGGTGAGGATCAGAATATATGTGGGAATAGTTTGGAAGAAGATGAAAACTACTATCAGAAAAATCTATTTTCCAAGTGACTTACATATTGGACACCTAGGTTCTCTTTTAAATCACCACTAAGACGATTTTTCTTTGAAAATGTAAGCCAGCACATTGTTTTTTGTCATACTTTGGAAAATTCTCTATGAACAGTAGAGAATTTGTGTTTCCACTTGCTCTTCCCATGTGTCAAAAAGACACTAGGATTCTAAGATCCAATTTCAGCTCATCCAATAACTAACTAAAAAACTTGTGTTTACTTTTTTATGTTTTAGAAAGCCGATTATAAAACAGAAGTAAACTTAACTACTGGAAATTTATTACTACAGATAACAAATTTTATTTGCGTATACTTTCATACATATTTATATTATGTCCATTTTATAGGTATAGATAGGTATCTATAAAGCACCACAACCTAAGTTTTAATAATATTCCTACTTAACTTAAAACCATTTTGTGGAACACATTTTTGAAGAACATACTTTAGGTCTCTCTTTGAATAATGTAAATACCTACTTTTTCCAAAATAAAAAATATTCACTATGCATTCTTTTTATTACAGGCCTATGAAAAAATTGCTTACCTCCTCACTAATTTAGGTAAGTCCATTGTTCTTACCTCACTTGTTAATAAGAAAACAAATGGCTATATCAGTCTGCAGTTACCTTCTGTGCATCCGCATTTTAATATCCTTAGTTATAGAATTTATTAGATCCAATGAGAGTGGCATAGGAAGTTGATTTACATTGAGTAAGAACAGAGAGGCAATGTATATCATTACAGATTATCTTACTACGATCTAGCAAACCTGTTTCTCATAACTCTGGAGTACATTTTTCATCATCTTTTAAGATGTTTGTCTTATAAGTATTATATTGCACATACATGTTTTAAAAGTCAAACCAGTTCAAAGAGGTCAATAAAGAAAACAAGTCTTGGGTCAGGGATTTAGCTCAGTGTTTCCACCACCTGTCTCGCAAGCACAAGGACCCAAGTTCAATTCCCGGTACCAAAAGAAAACGAGTTATTTGCCACATTATGCTTACTATTTTCTGTTCTCATGATGACATTGCCTTTTCATGTTTTTATGAGCTTCTTATATTATTTCCCAACCTGTTTCTACATGAGGTGATTCTATTGCTACCATTGGATTTCTATCTTTGAATAGCTGTTTCTTTCCTTTCTGGCCTAAAAGTACTGAGTGTAAGGACTCAGCTCTTAATGTCTGCCACCATGTCTGCCCCTGGCAGCTGCACTCCCACCACCTGAGACACACTGTTATTTTTTCTCCTTCCATGGTACCTGCATCTACCTGTTTAACCTAATTAACAGCCAATATCCACATCCTTCCATCCGTCTAACTATTTTCATATCGAGGATATCCGTGGTACCATTGTACTATAATTTTGTTTTACAAAATCCTCTTCATTTCCCGCAAACATAGGTGAAATTTAAAATTTCCTCTGAATCTGTAAAAACCTACGAAGCATACCACACACTGAATTTGCTTGTTAGAGTTACTCTGCCCAGTGCCCTGCCTGCCCTAATCCATGTGCATCAGGCTCTGGCCAGTCACCGGCTCCCAGAAATCCCATCCGCCCTCCGTCTTAGTCAGTGCCTATCCGCCCCCCTTGTCATAACTCCTTACACTGCTGCCTGAAGTAAATGTTCCTCACATTTGATGTTTTTCCGTTGTTGTTGTTTTTCAGGATATGGAATTCTAGGTGGGAATGACCTTTGCCTTTCAGTGTGAAGGGAACTTCCTTATGCTTTTCTAGATTCTGGCCTTGTTTGAGACCTCTGCTGCTCTGCTGACATGCGGTCTCTCGCGTGTCATCTATTTTGATGTTTTCATGCATTTACTCTCAAAAGAAACTTTGGATCATTTCTTCTTTTGAGATTCCATGGTTATGTGATTTGATAAGAGCCTTGTATCATCTGCTGTGCCAGAGACTTAGCAGACTTTGGCCGTGTTACCTCTTGTGTCCTCCGGGAAGCCAACCTTGAGATGGAGTTGGTACTGTCACAGAGGTATTAAGAAGCAGGATAGACAGGGGCAGCTTCTGAGGGGCCTGGACATTAAGAATCTGAAGCCCTAAGTGCCTTACAGAGCCAGCAAATCACTAAAGAAAACCCGAGCAGGTGGCTTCTGATTCCATGTCGCCAGCCAGTGCTTGCCGTTCATCCGGTGCACGTCGGTCATCCTGTGCTCCTTTCAGAATACCCGCGCACGGAGTCGGAATGGGAGAACAGCTTCGCCCTGAAGATGTTTCTTTTCCAGTTTGTCAACTTAAACAGTTCCATCTTCTACATTGCTTTCTTCTTGGGAAGGTAAGTCAACTTTACACACACTGCTTTGCACAGTCAAAAGCACAGCAATAGTTCTCTTGCCAATTAGTTAACAGAGGTTGCAAATTCTTGACCTCTGCCTTGAAAGATTTTGCTAATCAGCTTTCCTGTGCATTCTTGTTCAGACGATTGGCAGCCAGAACCAATTAAAATTGGCACCAAAACTAAAAAACCTGAGTGCATGCTGTCCAATTATCAGTAATTATTCCGTTAGAGAAGAAAAGAATTTGTGTGTAAGCCCGCTTTACCATTCCTTAGTGTGAAAACCTCTAAACATCATTATTACGTCTTTTTTTCACTTTGCTGTGAAATGTGAAAAAGAAAAAAAAAAGCATGTTAGTTTAATGAGTCTGTGCCTTGGAAATCCACTGAAGGTTGAAACATTTTCAATCAAGCCATTTGGCTCATTATTCACTAACTTGATCCCCCAGGCATTAAGACGCACGTGCAAAAGTATTCAGGCTCCTCCAGCTGCTTTGTCTGTACTCGCTCCACCCCACTGGTTGAGCTCTCCCTGCTTTTTCCTTTTCCAGCCTGGTGATTTTATGTCTCCGGGGACGAATTACACTCATGAGCATTTTGTCACCCACAATGCACTTGGGGTGATGGGTTTGAGGGTGTTTTTCATTTAACTGCTAATGAATTAAGATACTTTTCATTTTTTTTAAGATTTGTAGGCCACCCAGGAAAATACAATAAGCTTTTTGACCGGTGGAGGCTGGAGGAAGTAAGTGACCTTGCGAGGGAGTGTGTGTGGATGAGGGGCGCAGGCCTGCGGCTGTGGGAGGTCAGGCTGGAGAAGGAGTACCAAGTCCAGGTCTGGGGAAGAAACACTGTGGTAGAGAAGAGTTCCTCTGGGTTTCAAAAAGAAGCAATTACATCTAGTTTTTTAATTATGGCGTTTAAGAAGAATAAACCCCAAGATTCTGAACTCAGTTTTTAAAATTAACTTTTCTATCCATTTCTTTCATTTATAAACCCTGGGAACACAGCTCCTCCATTTTGGTTTCGACTTTGCAAATTATTTATCAATGACTGTATGCCTTTCCGAACTTTCTTTTAAGAAGGGAGATTTTAGTCCAGAGGAAGTCTTATTTGAAATATCACCCTGTAAACCTATGGCTATATCAGCCAGAGCTCATCTGCGGTTACTGAAGCAGAATCTGTGGGTCCTGGGAACCGTGGAAAGGGCCAGCACTGCTACCTGTGACCCTGAGAATATGAGAATATTGTCCTGCAGAGGCCAACGGCAGCCTACAGTGAGCATTTTGCTTCCTTCACCTTTTTCCCGCAGAACTGCTTCTTAACCAGTCTAACAGCCAAAAGACATCTCTTTAGTTTCATTAAACTTAAATGAGATACAGAATATTTTCACATTTGTCGAACATTTGACTTTGCACTGTACGTGTGCTACACCAGTTCACTTGTCTCTCATAGTCTCTCTGCTTCTTTAATAAGCACACTCATACAATTAGACATTACAAATTTGCTGCAGATTTTTACCATTTCTCTCCATCCTTTAGTTTTGATACTTTTTCTTATAAAACTTTATAATAATTTCTAATAAACATGTCACTGTTCTTAACATCTTTCTGGGATTGTATCACACTAAAATATGCCTCCTCTCTTCTATAAGCTAAAAAAAACTTATTTTTGCTAATGTTATTTTTAAAAATTAGTAGTACTCTTTCCCATTCAGAATTGATTCTGAGCTAGGCATAGTGGTGCACGCCTGTAACCCAGCACTTGGGAGACTGAGGCAGGAGGATCACCATGAGTTCAAGGGAAGCCTGGGCTAGACAATTAGTCAAAGCCAGGCTACACTAGAAAGCAAGACTCTTCCTCAAAAATTTATTTTGCCTAAATTGAAGTCACAAATTTAATAAAAAAAATTTTACTTAACAAAATAAGATTTTAAAATTATAATCTACATCTTGTGATTGTGTCCATTTCTAGGCTCCTCGCTGATCAGAATGTCTTTGCCTTCTGGGGTTCAAAATTATTCCCATGATTCCAGTGTAAAATCCAATATAATAAATGGTCTCATTAGGAGGAAGCCATGCTTTTGCAATGGCTAAGAAAAGATTCCCCAAGAACGCTGTAGTTGGGGTACATCAGTCACCATAGAAAATCCCCCTCAAAACTCAGGTTAGCCTCATTTATGCTTTCTTTCCAGGTCATTTTGGAAACTGAGTATAATACATGGATAAAGCCTAAAAGTTCCTACGGAGGTCAACTTTATTACCAGAAAATGGGGCTCAGATGCTAATTAAATTTGCTTCTTATTCCCTGACCTTAACTTCTTTGAGTTAAATAAATCACCACAGATTGGCAGTTGTAATGCTGAGGTGCCCGAGTTACTCAAAGATCAGGGTTGATTTACACAGTGCAGTTGGTCCACTCCTTAGGCTGCTGGGGACAGGCCATGAACTGCTCCTGACAAGTATCAAGAATTAAAATCTCATTGCTTCTGTAGCCACCAGGGTATTCTTCTGTTGGCCAAAGACAGACTAAGATCTTGCACAATTCTGAACTGCTTGGACCTCCCCAAATCCAAGTCCCACTTGGTGTGTGTATGGCTCAGAATTACACCCACATCTGCTGGAACTCCAGGCGTGGTTTTCCCACTCATGTTCAATAGGAGCTGTGAAGAGTAGGGGCTTGGGACAGTGTGATTAAAGTCCAGTAACTTGGATGTTGGTGACACTTCAGAAGCCACTATCACCGACAATGTTGCTTACTTGGCTACTCTTATTCTTTGTTTTTGTTTTTTTTTCTTTTTCGTTTTATTGAGTTTATTGGTACAATCTAGGTATACAATACAGTTACATTCATTATTGGGATCCTGTACCTTTACATGACAGGTCTTGATTCTCATTTTTTCCCCTTGTCCCTGCCCTCCCTTCACCCCCTCCTCCCATCCCCATTTACAAACACTTAATTTCCATTTTTTCAGTTTCTCATATTTTTTCCTCTCCCTTATTCTTTCCCCCACCCTTCCAACTTCCCCTACACCTTTAGCCCTTTATTTCCTATTTCACATTATTAATTATCTCATTAGGATCCTGTATACTATTATAGTTTTTCACACCACAGAAACTATTTGGTATTTCAGTTAAAGAAATCTCTGTATGAACATTACAAATAGGAAATCCTAAAATAAAACTAAAAAGGAAAGTAAAAGAGAAAAGGCAATGATGTAAGATTAAAATAATCCTTAATTCTGAAGATGAAAATGGCCCCTGAACATATTTAAATTGCTTCTTGCTCTTGTAGCTTTATCTTATTTTTTTATTATTTAGAGAATACTTTATTAGTTTCTGTAGTCAAACAGATGTAGATATGACCTTACATATTTAATACAGTGCATTGCCCCTTTACAAATGGAAAAAATAAAATATAAAAAAATAAAAATAAAAAAATTAACATTTCTAGACCAATACGATTGTTAATTTCTGTACAATGCCAACTCAACACAGTAAATTGGGATACCTTTTAGAGACCAATAATAGCAGTATGTTATGTATCAATAGCAGCAACAGCTTTTCGAGGTTCTGCAGTCATCTGAACAAAATTATGGACATTCAGCACATTCCATTAAAAAAGTAAAAACAAAGAAACAAAGAAAAGAATAATATCCAGAAAACAGCAAGGTTCTCTTGCTATTGTGGTACCTGGCACCATTTTTTTTATTAGCATCTTAATCATCATCTGGAAAGAAAACATTCTAGAGTAATATTAAAAATAGCTCTGATAAAATATGGTCACTACTACATATCGTAAAGCAGGTACAAGATATTTTACATTCACAGAGGAATGATACAGTACCGTCCTACATCAATAATATTAGAATCAGTTTTGGTTTGAAATTTGCTTTGTCCAAATAAGATTTTTCCATCCTTTCACTTTCAGTCTCTGTGCTTCTTTTTGCACTAGGTGTGTTTCTTGTATACAACATATTGTTGGATTTTGCTTCTTATTCCATTTTGCCAGTCTATTTCTCTTGATTGGTGAGTAGAGGCCATTGACATTGATGGTTATTACTGATACGTACTGACTTATTATTGTCATGTTATTGGCCTTTTGTTGACTCTTTCTACTTTTTCACCTTCTCCTTTTAGCTTCTTGCCTTGCCTATTTGATTTGCTCTGTTGGGCCTCATGGTGTTGTTGCCTTCATTGTCTTTTTCTAGGATCTTGTTTAGAATTGCTTGTAGTGCTGGTTTGGTATTCATGTAGTTTCTCAGGTGTTCTTTGTCATGGAAGTACCTTATTTCCCCATCCATTTTGAAAGAGACTTTTGCAGGATACATCAGTCTTCCTGGCACTGGAGCGATGGCGGCTCCAGGCAGGAGAAGGCATGGCTCTCCTTCCCACGGTGGATGGGGGCCGGGCTACCTTCCTGGTGCTGGAGCGATGGCCTACTCTTATTCTTAATTATGATATTGGAAGCTCTAACTAGTCTTTGAAAGTCCCAGAAAACTTAATATTCATGTCAAGAGAAACGTTTTCTAATGAGCCCAGAAATTTTCCATCTCATAGCATCTATGAGACATATAGTGGTCATATACTCCAATAAAAAAATTAAAATAAGTGAAATAATAAATGTAGGTTTGTGATTTTCCCTAGAAATCCTGGAGTGTAGCTATAGAAACCATGAGATGTGATTAAAAACCACAGTGAATGTTTTAAATTTTTACTACATTACGATGCACCGTACCATGCATCCTCCTCTCCTTACCGTCCCTTACTTTGAACACACATATTCCACCCTTCTTGTCACTTTCTGCAGCAGCTCTGGATTCTGCTTTCATGGGCTTCTTGAGCTGGGCAGTCCTGGCTGTCTCAGAGTCCTGAGTCAACTTGAACTATTCACCATTCATAGTCATTTTGACTTTAGGGAAGAACCAGACGGGACCGAAGTAGGTGGGGCCATGCTGTTGTGTCCTCACAAGCCTGCCTTTCAGCTCAATGGCTCTCGGTGGCAGCAGCTACCACATGTTTTTACCAGTCTTGTAAAGAAGCCAAAAAGGACTTCCAGAATTGCTTTGGGAAGTGTCAAGAATTATGGGACAAGTGTGCTAGGGAGGGAGAGTATTTTGAGGACGATCAATCACAATGTCTGTTATACTATCATAATTTTTAAAATTTTAAATATTTACTGGTATTTCAACCATACTGCACGTATATAGGGATTAGCCATTTGAATTCATGTATACACCAAAGCAACACTTACTTTATGCCAGGCCTCTAGTGGACAGTATGGGGCATTAAAAATGAGGCAGTCTATTTCCCTCCTCTGATGACATTAACAGGGTTCAAAAAGAAGACATAACCAGGAAACTTAGCACACATTTCTCCTTGGATTCTGATCATTGACATTCTAATCCTTTCCTACTCTGAGGCAAGATCCTATTACCTATAAATTTCAGTTCTTTCTTTTGTAAACTGCTTATAAAAATAGTCATCTTAGTACTGGTGAGTGGTGATTAAACACGTAGAATAATGGGCACAATTAAGACTATCCTCTACAAAGAAAGACAAAAGTGCTACAATTGTATTAGAGCATATGAACTGGACTTGTGAATCTTATACTATTAGCTATATGAGCGCTCATGAAAATATTTTGCATAAATCCAATATCAAAATGTTTAAATAATGGCTAACATTGACGGTGTGCCTACTACATGCTAGCATGCTGCGGCGGTCATCATTAAGTGCTCTCCGTATCTTTGTGCATTTACCCCTCGTAACAACTCGGTGACACTAATCATTTTACAGACGTGGCGATGAGGGCATAGAACAGGTGTAACTGGCCTGTGGTTTAACAGTTAGGAGCCGCGGCTCAAGTCGTGAGGCAGTATAGCTTCAGAGTCTGGGTTCTGAACATGGACCCCCTGGCCCCACGTCCATATCCAGGGTAGCTCAGAGGCCCAGTGCAGGACGTGGTGAAAATGTGCTTCACCGCGAGGTTGTTGTCTGGTTACTGGCTCATGCATGTAAGATGGATTCAGGGTGAGAATACCGGAGTAGGCAGAATGAAGATCGTGAGGATCAGTGTGAGAGTCCTGTCCACCTCAGCCTCTGCATCTGTCTGCACGGTGCAGCTCCCCACACTCCCACTCCAGGGTTAACGAAGAGATGCAGGAAGCCATTCAGCTTTGGCTCCCTATGACTGTACAGTTCTCGGGAGTGCTCTGGAGTGAACACCAGGGTCCGCACACTCACCATGCCCTTTCACACTTTCTAAACACGGGCTGTTTCGGCAGAGTGAATTTCAGTGTGTTGAAGGGGAGCCTTCAGCCGCCATTAAATGGAAGCAGGCGACTAGCATAAAACCTTTGGATCTTCTTCTTTCCCCTATAAATCATAAACTTATCAAGGCTCGTCCTCCAGGCTCCCAAACTTGGTGTGTCCTTTCTGGGGAATGACACAGTCACACAGCTCCATGACTGTCTGCTTTCCCTGCCCATACAATAATGTACTTGGGCTGAGCCCACACTTTGAGACGTCAAACACACTTGGAGAGCAGAACTTCACCTGAGCACGGTGTGGAAGAACAGTGAGAGTGGGCAGGGATGTGGCCTCTTCCCAAAGGGCCAGCTGACACTGCGTGACCTTGTACCAGTCGATGTGCTTCTGGGTTCCTCTACAAAAGTGAGGTGCTTCAGTTTGGAGCTGTGATCTATTGTCTTCCACTGTGCCTTAGTGATTACTCATCTTCCAAATAACTACATACAGTTGTGGGATATATATGCCGAGATTAGGGGGTGTAAATTCATCCTAAGAAGATACTTGTTTGGATTGGGAAATTCAGACCTCTCTGGGCAAGAAGCATGACCACTCGCGAATTCTCCCTCTGCCTTAGATTTGAGAGTGTTAAGTCATTGGGCTGGAACAGGAAAGCTATTTTGTGTTTAATGATTTGTTCCTTTTGAAGTCCCACTAGAACTAATTTGATAGAAATAAAAGCTGTAGATCAAAGCTGTAGAGACCACCATCTTCATGAGCAGGAAGTGAACCTACTTCTAAAGAAACAAACCTACGCTTTCCCACACAAATAGTTTCCATGGTGCAAAATTTTAAGTAAAGCATGTTGATTGCACCTTTTATTTATTTTGGGGGGTTGGGGGAGTACTGGGGATTGAACTCGGGTCCTTAAGCTTGCAAGGAAGGCCACCGAACTGCTGAGCTAAATCCCCAGCCCTACACCTTTTATTGAAATCTCACTTGTGTGTATGACACTAACTTATTGAACTTCTCAAAAAACAGAAGCTCTCAGAAAAGAATAGAATCATATGAAAAACTTTTGTGGCATGAATTTCTCACTTAAAAATATATGAATATTTATAGATATTTCCTTTCTGAGTGGTACATTTTAGCACTTTCCTATTTTTAGAATGGGCTAGACGTAGAGCCTGCATCCTAAAGACAGGAAAGAAAAACAGAAAAGCGAGTAACTTCCTAGTGAAAATATCTGAAAAACAGGACATTGAGATTGAAGGTTAGCCTCACAGCCGTGTTCTACTAGAATGCCACTCCCCACGATCTGATGAAAATGCCACTTCACATCTGAGTTCTGCCTTCCAAAATGCACGGCACCAGTTTTAACTCCAGGAAAGCGTTAGACAATCCCAGATTGGGTGACGGTCCACAGAATGCCCCTGCATCCAGCTGTCTTCAAACCTGCAAAGGTTACGGAAGACCATGCAGACCAGAGAAAGCTAGGGACAGGTGGCAAAGGACCGCAGCGTGGTATTCTGGGAGAGAGCACGGAGCAGAAGGAGAATGACGTCTGGTGATGTGCGAATACAGCGCTCCAGTGTTGTGCCCTCAGCCCTGACAAATACACCGTGGACCTGCCGGGAGCAATCTGGGGAAGAGCATAGTTGGGGAATGCAGGGGACCCTCTAAAGCAGCTCTGCAAATTTTCAATAAGTCTAAAATCGCTCCGAAACAAAGAATGTGATGAAAATATTTCACAATTAGTAGTTATTCTTCTACTACCTAACTGTCCACAGATATTTCCTATCCAGCAGCCTTCGTTAAATGGGTCTGGCAAATTGTAAATGGTCACTGAAGGTTAGATTTCTGGTTCTTGCTGTTCTCATTTTTATCACTACTCCGTAATAATCACGGAGAAATGCCCCCACGGTTCCGTTGCTTCCTTGCTTTTCCCCTATACACATCAGAGTGAGGCCCCCATTGTAGAGTCGATTGTAGATAGCGAAGGTGAGAAATTTGGAGCAGCTGGGAAAGGGAGCGAGGCCTTCACTGCCCTTCCTGCTCTGTTCCAGTGTCACCCCAGTGGCTGCTTGATAGACCTCTGCCTGCAGATGGGAGTCATCATGTTCCTGAAGCAAATCTGGAACAACTTCATGGAGCTGGGATACCCGTGAGCTCGCTGTTTTCAAACGTACCTTGTGTGCAGTTGTGAGGATAAACAGCAGAGGTAGACTGAGGGGTGCTGGAGTTTAGACTGGCGATCAGACGGTCAAGGGCTCACTGCCCTCCTCCTCCTCCTTATTGAGCAGGCAACTGAGTTAGCAAACCTTGCTGACCAGCAGATTAAAGGAAATAATGCATGCTGCCTGACACATCCACTTACTGTTTCTTCCAAAACGTGGAGAGGATGACACTACACTTGATCTTAGCCAAAAGGCTGAGAAGCGATTTTCGTTAGTTTTTTTTTGAGACAAGTTCTGACTACTGGTTCAAGCTGGCCTCAAACTCATGGCCATCCTCCTGCCTCAGCCTCCCGAGTGCTGGGATGACAGGCGTGCACCACCATGCCCAGTGTAACATTGACAATACTGGTTATTGAAAATAGAAATAATTTTTTGGTTTCTTTGAGCCACTAGCAGATCAAGGTGGCTGTGGTCGTAGTTAGAAAAGGACAGCCTCAGGCCCTGTGGAAAGAATACATCAAAGGTAAAGTCATCCTGGGTAAGAGGAGGTTGGTACTCTTTTTACAACACCTCCCACTCCCCGTAAGATTAGTAGAAGATTATTAATTGCGACCATATAACAATAATAGTATTGTATATTTGTCCTTTTAGAAAATGCTGACAGAGATGTTGAAATGCCCAGTTTTAGACACTAGACTATACTTTCCATCAAAATGCAGCTAGATACAAAATAGTTAAAAGAAAGTGTTATTGAACCTTTGAAATCTAGTTAACTCAAGGTTTAAATGAGATTATTTTGAGTAATTTCTTGATTATGGAAGAAAATTGATTAGTTGACTGATGATATAAGTATTTTAAGCTTAATCATTAACTTTTACTTGATTCTTTTTCCCTATGAATTATGCTAGGATGTTTTCTGAGCAGAAACTAGGGGGCTGGAAAAGTGATTCTAACCCTGAAATCTGCCACAAAGTATGGTTAAATGACAGCAGTCGGAAAACAAGGACATGGAATTATGAAGATCTGGTCCTAATTCCCTTTCTCTTCCATATTAGTTTTGCCTAAAATGCATTTCACTTCTCTGAGGCACTTTTTTTCTTTCATTTGTAAATTAGGAGATTTGGTAAAATTAAATGAGATGATCCAATGGCTATTAAACATTCATCACAAATGACAGAGCGTTTTGTGAAGACATTTTTATACAGATCCTCAGTATCGGAAACAGATTGCACAGTGACTCTCTTCTAAATGAGGAGAGGATGGAGGATGGCAAATCAGGGACTCCAACTCTCTCACCCCTTTCCTGTGCTGGTCTGATAGCTTCAGAACATACAGTTTGGGCAGCACCTGAGGGAGTCAGATGTCAGGTGCTCAGCACAGACCCATGAGCTAAGTGTGTGATGAGCGTGGCACATGTCCTGCTGGATATGAGGGCTGAACCTAGGGGCCTTTGCACACCAGACCAGTGTTCTCCACCAAGCCGCCTCCCCAGTTCCATAAGCACATCAGGATGGCTTAGCCGTCCCTCCAGGAATGATGCTTGGCCCATTTTATCTATAAGATCCAGCGCACATGATGCTCTTCATGTATTTTCTTTTATTTATTTAGTTATTTTGGTACTGGTACCGGGGGTCGAACTCAGGACCTTGCATTTGGGAGGCAGGCAGTAGCACCATGGAGCTAAATCCCCAGCCTTCTTTGTGTATTTTTGCCACGGCCTTGCTCAAGTCACCCTGCAGGGTCACATCCGGCAAGTAGTGTGTGTCCCACACCAAGGGACAATCTGCAAAACGTAGAGAGGCGTCCAGTTCCCGGGAAGACATACCCTAGTCCGGGGGTACTTGTGTTTCCTCTCTGTGTTCACCAGCTGTTGGGACAACAGCTCAGAAGTCCCTGTTCTGCCCTGTGGCGTAGGTTGATCCAGAACTGGTGGTCGCGACATAAAATCAAGCGCGGAGTCCAAGATGCTTCCATACCCCAGTGGGAAAACGACTGGAACCTGCAGCCCATGAATATCCACGGACTGATGGATGAGTACCTGGAGATGGGTGAGGAACGACACTTGGCCAGCCCAGGCCCTCCTTGATACCGTCTGTGTATTTCACATGGGCTTTGCTTCTCCGGAGAAAACAGGCGCTGTCCAAAAGATTGCAAAAAGTATCAAAAGAGTTCTGAAAGACAACTGCACCCAGAAGTGTGGAGTGGGGCCGCACCTCACCCTCTGAGAGCATTTAACCAAAATAAAGCCTCCCTCCCAGGGAGCCCTAGCTCCTGAGCAATTATTCTGTTGAAACAGAGTGCAGCCCTACAGTTAGCTCCTTTGTAAACAGATGTGCCACCGCACCCACCAGTGCCACCGAGCAGTGCAGAGAAAGCGGCAGTAATTATTCACGATGAGTCTACCCTTGGGTCTAGACTGATATTAGTTGGAAGAGTCTTACTTATTGGTGCTAGGGAAATAAAATTCCCTTTCCCGCCGTTAGAACCACTGCATGTTAAACACCGTCCTTCTCTGGACTCGGTGTCCTTGTCTGTAAAAGAGCGGAACGATCACCACAGGCCTCAAGTAGCCACTGGAGCCAGGTGCTTCCCTCGGGCCTCCTCTTTGCTGCAGCCCTTTCTCCTCCCTCCTCCACCGCTTTTTCTCCTGCTCCTCCTCCTGGACCTCTTCTCCCTCCTCTCTCCCGCGTCTTTCTCTTCCCTCTCCGCCTTCCTTTTCCTTTTCCTTTTCCCCTTCCTTCACGTTTCCTTACATATCGATGTCAAGCACATAGAATTTAAGTCCATTTCGATCTGATTTTCATGACAGCTTTTAATACTTTCTATCCGTATCTTCAGGAAAATAACTTAACGCAGATGAACTAAAATGTTCTCAGCGGTGCAATGAGATGCACATTTGCTTGGCCGGGATAGCGAAAGGATGCCGAGCCACTTATTTAAGGCTCCTGACAAGGCACCCAAGGCCCGCAGTCAGTGCTAGAGCTTGCGTTGCTAACTGTCTGCTGTCCGCCTATCCAGTTCTGCAGTTCGGGTTCACCACCATCTTCGTGGCGGCCTTTCCACTGGCCCCGCTCCTGGCTCTGTTAAACAACATCATCGAGATCAGGCTGGACGCCTACAAGTTTGTCACGCAGTGGCGGAGACCGCTGCCGGCCCGAGCGACCGACATAGGTGAGACTGGGATGCAGCAGTGTCCGAGGTGTGGGCGGGACTCCTCTGCCTCCGCGGAGCCTTAGGAGGGGAGGCCTGACGCAGTGAGTGCGAAGGGGCAGAGCGCGTGTGGACAGGGTCCCAGCCCTCGGGAAGGAGCGGCAGGAAAGGGTCACTCTCTCCGGTTGCGCACTCCACCCCTCGAGGACACAGAATCTGGCCCCTGTGGAAAAGGAAGCGAAAAGGCACCATCCAGGCAGCAGGAAGTGGGCGACGGGCACTTCCCCAGCACCCCGCATAACGGAACCCAGTCCTGGATTCACAGCCTACGGAACAGTGAGGAGCAGGTTTCTGTCCTTAACGTTACCCTGCCTCGGGTATCTTGTTATCGCAGCACAGATGGGTTAGGACCACACGGCTGGGTGGCACTTGGCCTCCTGTGTGCTTCTACCGGGGCTGCTTCCGGCCTTAGCAGATTCGTTAGCAAAAGAGCAAAAGGAATATAAATTTAGTTGCTAGGAGTTTTGCATTAAACTCGGCACGGCATTAGTAGGTATTAGATGCATCTCCGTCTTTATCTCTGTCTCTCTAACAGGTAAGCATTGCATGTGTTTGGGCAATGTGACCTTTGTCTGTGCTCGTTCACACTAAAAGAGAAAAACGTATCTGAGTAATAATGTAGAACTCCTACTTTTCTTACAGACATCGCCCATCTCAAAACATATTAGTCTAACTCATTTTAGTAGAAAAGTAATTTCAAGTAAAGTACATGGCAGACTTTATAATCATTTGCTGACTTTGTTTTCCCCCACACAAAGATGGTTATAAACACAAGCATAAACGTTACACATTTGGTACACGTCTGTGTATTTGTGTGTCTGCACTGTATCTGAGGTGTAGATCTCTAACCATAGGCCTACTGGACCAAAACACACACATTTTAATTTCAGAAGATGTCATTTCAATAATATTAAAGAATTTCTGTTTTCACTGTTTCTAAATAACACAATTTATGATACTTTCAAACCTCTAAATATCTATTGTATTTTTAAAAAACTTTTTTGCAGGACATTTCTCTGAACAAATACAAGTTGAAAACCTTTTACTCTCCTTATTGGTTATTTGCATTTCCACACCAAATTGCTCATTGCTCTCTGTTGATTTCTTCTATGAATGATCTCATTAACATTTTAGGGTCTGTTATATAGGAGGCATTTTTTCCTTCAGTCTATATGTTTAACTGAGTATTACAGCTTTTATAAGAATAAATGTTTATTTTTTATGCTCTCACATATTGGTTTGTATGAATTCTGATTTATCTTATGTCACTGGGTAAACTTCAGAAGCCCTTTTTTATTTGTTGAAGGTCCATTAGAAAGAATTTGAAACCCAGGAGAGGGGGAAAAGAAGAAAGCTGCTGTACTATCCAATCCCCTTTAGCACAATTGAGTCTTTTCTCCAGAATTTCTTTTTCTCATCAATACTTCTGAAGCTGTTTTTAAACCTACTTGAAGCATTAGTTTTGGCTGATCAATAATATTAATTCTATACACAACTTCAAAAGCTTTTTATCTTTATGATACCATACTGATGTTTCAAGAAGGAAAAAGTATGTATTATTTTTGTTGCATCAGCAAGTTCTACATAGGCGGCTTTGGAATTTTTCAGACACGTATGAGGGTGTCACTGTTACAAGTTACACCTGGTCCCAGTGACGCAAACCTTTCTAGATGGTTCTAGAAGGTTCTCCCTCTGAGAAAAGAGACTATGCACTAGCTGGAATACCTAGAGTCAGACTTACCGAGGAAGCAAGTGATGGTCAAAGCTTTGGTGCCAGCATAAGTAGAACATTGTTCTCAAAACGAAATTGATGGAAGGGTTTTCATTTTTACATATTGTCTTTAATCTTTCTCCTGCCAGGTATCTGGCTTGGCATTCTGGAAGGAATCGGCATATTAGCTGTGATAACCAACGCGTTTGTCATTGCTATCACCTCGGACTACATCCCGCGTTTTGTCTATGAATACAAATACGGCCCGTGTGCGAATCGTGTAGAACAGAACGAAAAGTAAGGTTGACCTTTACACATTTCTTGGATGCAGTTTCCACTTGTAAATAACATGAGAGCTTACTTATTGGGAAGTTCTGTTCTGTGACTGCTAAGGGTAATGTTTCTTGCATTTACAATGGGTTTAGATGATAGAATCAAGCAAGGCACAAAAGGCAACAGTATTTTTGCAGTGAACAATTCTAGAGTTTTTTATTCGAAAATATGTCACTGGTATTAAAATGCTAAGCATGTCATACTGCTGTTAGAACTCAAATTTCAGCGCAGGCAGAGACCTCAGAAATCATCTAGTGTGGCTTTCTTACTGTGCAGATGGGGACGTCAAAACCTACACCACTTAATCAAATTGCCCAGGGAAACAAAGAGCCTGTGGGGAAGTAAAGTGCCTAAGAGACTCCACATGCCTACAGATTCTGAAAACGGATTCCTACCTAGGATTTGAGGATACAGAAAATCTGGCCCTCAGCCCATCTGACGTATTTTCTGCTAAAATTTAAATCCACACTTCAAAGAAAGGCTACTCAACCTCTGTGCTGTTGATGTTGGAAACCAGAAATTCTCTGGACGAGGAAAGGGACCATGTTTTCACACTTCTGGGTGCTTACAATGTGCTCAGCCTTCGCCTGATAGATATACCCATATCGAGTGCTGTGTTTCCCGAGGTGGAAGAGCCAAATATACCAGCAGATTTTGCCAGACGTCCCCTGAGGGACAAGTCCCCTGGTTTGGAGCCAATGCTCTAGGTGATACATGTTATTACAGATATCTCCTTCTGGATGATGGGGAAGGGAAAACATGCAAGAGGGCACTGTGTTTGGAGAACAGAGAGGGAGCACAGGAGCCTAGAGGGCTGAGGGTACAAATAAGCCTTGGGTGTGGTAGTGGTGAGAGGAGCTGGCATGGCGAGCGAAACTGCTTCTCTTCCTCTCTCAGCAGCATCTCAGGGCTCACGGACCTCCCCAGTCACAGGCCCAGGCTCACAGTGGAATGTGCCTGGGTTTAGCATGACCTTAATGCTTCACTGTGGATGAACTCCGATTTTCTCAGAAGGCAGAAGTACCTTTCGACAGCAGTGTCTTTTTTTTTTTTCAGGGACAGATACAGGCATTGTTTTATTTCCTATCTTGGAGTCTTCATATAATTTTAACTAGAAATTAACTCCTGAGGTTGGGTTTTTAACCCTGCCATTTGGTTAAAGACACATCACCTATCAGCTTGCAGTTGGCAAGCGACAGACCAGGGTCTCAGGTCCCAAAAGTAAGAGACAATGCCTGAGATCACTCAGGACTGTAACACATTTCGTAGATGTAGAGTCGTTTCAGTGCGAATAGTGTAAAACCAAAAAAATAATTTTTTTTTTCTTCGTTCAGGATGGTCTAGAAGATTTAAGAATCAGATGGGAGTCTTATTTGCTGGTGTCTTTGCTGCCATCTAGTGGCGGGGGAAAATGACATTGGCTGAGTATCTCCTTTTCAGAACCTTTCAAGTAGCAGTGACTCCTCAGCAGTGACCAGGGCTATGGACTAATTTCGAACAAAGATGCAGATATTGATGCCACACACCCGGAGGGGCGCTATTATTTAATATTTTCTGAGTATGCTTAGCAGCTACATTGGAGTAGATTCATTCCAATTACAAATGTTCAGAGCAAAGTAGCAGTAGGAGAAAATGGCAGAGAGAGGTAGCAGAAAGGACAAGGACAAACTGGGAAACCTAGGATAAACAAGAAAGAGGTGACCCAGCTGTCTCTCTGCTGGGTATCTTTCCAAAAGAACTAAAAGAATCATATCACAGAGATACATGTGCACCTATGTTCATAGCGGCACAGTTGCAATAGCTAAAACTTGGAAACAGCCCATTTGCCCATCAGCTGGAGACTGGATAAAGAAGATGTGGTTTTTCAATAAAATGGAATACTACTCAGCCATAAAAAATGAGAAATTAGAGTCATTCATAGGAAAATGGATACACATTGAGGTTATACTCCTAAATGAAATAAATAATTCACACATGTGTAAATACTGAATAGTTTCTCTGGTGTGGAAAACTATAATGGTACATAATATCCTAATGATATAATTGACAATGTGAAATAGTAAGAAAAGGGCTAAAGGTGTAGGGAAAGTGGGAAGGGTAGGGGCAAACTAATAAGGGAAAAGGAAAAAAATGAGAAAATTTAAAAATGGAGATAAAGCATTTGTAAATGGGGAGGAGAAGAGGGGGTGAAAGGAGGGTGGGGACAAGGGAAAAAAATGAGAACCAAGACCTGTCATGTAAAGGTACCAGATCCCAGTAATGAATGTAACTGTACTGTATACCTAAAATGTACCAATAAACTCAATGAGAAAGAGAAAAAAAGAGGCAAATTTAGTGGTGTGCTGTAGTTAGCACTTCACCATCTGGGAATGGGTAGGCATGTGTTGGAAGCTGGGTCCCAGTGCCTGTTCGCCCTGGGACAGGGTTCTTTCCCATGTGGTCTGCGGACCTCCCTCAGGTACACGTGAATCGATTGCACTCTCACAACGACACCAAGACGTTAGTCCCACTTTTCATGTTGCACTGGTGCTGAAAAAACAATGATGGGTGCAATTTCGGCTGGCTTTGTGCAACATGAGGTATCAGGCCCGAGTAATTTTGAGGTGACTATGTTTCTTTTTCTTTAAAAAAAATCTTTATTAAGTGTATTGGTACACTTTAAGTACACAGTACAGTTGCATTCATCATTGGGATCTTGTACCTTTACATGACAGGTCTTGATTCTCATTTTTTGCCCATTCCCAGCCTTCCCTTCACCCCCTCATCCCTTCCCTGTTTACAAAGACTTGGGTTCCATGCTTTTCCTTTTCTCATTTTTTTTTCTTTTGCCTTCTTGCCTTTCCCCTACCCCTCCCACTTCCCTACTCCTTTCGGCCTTTTCTTCCTATTACAAAATATCAATTATACATTTTGATTCTTATTCACACTTTCAGTTTTTCATGTCAGAGAAACTATTCAGCAGAGAAACTGCCAAAAGACTTCTAGACTTAATTGACAGATTCAGTAGAGTAGCTGGATACAAGATCAACATTAAAAAATCAATAGCCTTCTTATACACAAATAACAGACTCACTGAGAATGAAATTAGGGAAATAATTCCTTTCACAATAGTATCCAAAAAATGAAATATCTAAGAATCAGTCTAACAAAGGAAATAGAAGACCTCTACATTGAGAACTACAACACTCTGAAAAAAGAGATCAAAGAAGAAACGAGAAAATGGAAAGACATCTCTTGTTCCTGGGTAGGAAGAACAAACATAGTGAAAATAGCCATACTTCCAAAACTGCTATACAGATTCAATGCAATCCCCATTGAAATCCCAACAGTTTATTTCATAGAACTAGAAAAAACAATCCAAAAATTCATTTGGAACAAGAAGAGACCTAGAATAGCAAAAGCCATTCCACCAAAAGATATATGACAGGGGTATCACAATCCCCAACTTGAAATTATACTAAAAAGCCACTGTGATAAAAAAAAAAAATCTGTCTATTTTTAAAATGTCAGTAAGAAATACTGAATCCTTTGAGGAATCATTAATAACTATTAACTTTATGATATGTCCACCCATGAATAAATAAATGTCTTTTGAAATTCTGTTTAAGGGACTGTGACGTGTGCAGAAAGCACTTCTGCTACGTACCAAAGGGGAATGTTTGCCTCAAAGAAAAGTGCTGTGTGATTGTTGAAGTTGCAAACTGAGGAAAACCTTTTCCCAACATGAAATCATGATTACCAGACACACTGATGATTCAGACTTCGGAATTTAGTAGCCACTCTTTTACAAAATGCACAAAACTAGCCTGTGGTTTTCATGAAAATATACATTATTTGTTGCTATTAGTAGTGAAATGAAAATTAAACTTATAGATAACTTTTATTTGCCACTGTGAACATGGACGTGTCTGAGTTCTCACTGATTTTTTTTCTGATAAAAACTAATGGTGATATTAATAATTTTTATTGTTTTCATAATCTATGGTAAAATATCAGCATTTGGAAATTCTGCATAATTCAGAAAATGTTTTCAAAATGGCCCATATTTGATATTATAAAACTATCCATATGGATTAAAGATGATTTTTGTAGTACAAAAAATAGACCTTTGGTTTTTGGGTTTGTTTGTTTGTTTTTGGTACTAGGAAGCAAATTCAGATCCTTGTGCTTGCAAAGGAAGGCAGCAGAACCACTGAGCTAAATCCCTGGCCCTAGACCTATGAGTTTTAACATTAGGGCATGACATTTCCTTGATAATGGAATGAGATCTCACATCACAACTGAAGTTTGAAAGCTACCGCATGTAGATGTTTAGTACACTGTCATGGTAAAATTTCCACAATCATCTGAAACCCTACTAAAACAGATCTTCTTTTACCACCTATTCATCGATGTGAGGTTATTTTCTACTTTCACTTCATCCAAAAGAACATATTGCAGTACATTTAATATGGAAGTAAATATGGGAATTGAACTGTCTTCCATTAAAAAAGATATTGAAAGGATTTGCAAATATGTAAAACAGTGTTGTCATTCTATCTTTGAATTTCTTTTGGGAAATACAGGCATTTAATGTTTTCAGTTTAGTTTATAATCGATCTGATAGCTTTTTTAAATGAATTAATAGATAACAATTTTCTAAATTTCTGCTTTAATTTCTACCATGTCAAAATATCAATAATAAACAACGGCTAAAAGCTCCTTCAGATGTTCAATACTTTTATTTTTAAAAAATGTAAAAGAATCCTGAGACCTTGACAAAAAAAAAAAAACCTGAGCATGACAGTCCTGGAGGAAGTTACCTCGTCTCTCTACACCTTACATCTTTGATCTATACAAAGGACATAATAATACGCACAGTTTAAAGTGATTCTTACTGCGTCCAGCATTTCTTTCAAGGTATCTATAGTCTCTTTCCACCAATGTCCTCTTCCCACCCCGAGCCCCTCTTAAGAACCAGTCCAGCTCCCCTAGACGTTTCCCTGCCCCACCCCTCAGCCCACTGCCACCTTGCCCAGTCCCACCCTTGACTCTGATGCTTGTCCACTCGGCATTGTATCCATGTGGCTACTCGTGGACGAAGACGATCAAAACCAAACACACTGAACAGTTTCACTTCGGATTTTCATCCCGTATCTCATGTGGATCTGATAAACATTGCATTTTTCAAGTCCACTTGCGTCCTTTCCTGTTTCGTTTTGCTTTGTTTTTTAGTTCTCTTCTTTATTGGAAAAGTTCTCATCTTCTTTCTCCTCAAGCCTCACCTGCTGAGACACTGTGACACTTTTACGATTATTATTTCTGCTTCTTAATTTTTGGAGTACTTCACCTCAACCCATGGGCCGCTTGTCTTTATCGTGTGTGTGTGTGGTGTTCATTTCCTCCATTGTCCTTGTTCAGTGTCATGGATCTGATCTCACCTCTGATACAGTAGCTCTAGTGGACATGTCAAACTTATCACGTCCGAAATGCAGCACATCCAAATCTTACAAAACCCACTCAAACTTCAATCTTCCTGCTGTCAGATGGCTGTAATCCTGTACTTGCTCAAACCAAAATCCTCAGAATCGGCCTTGAAGACTTATTTTTCTCCCACCCCGTGAAATCCATTGGAAAATGGATTGACATATACCACAAACACACCCATTTTATACCACTTCCTCAAGCCACTGTTGTCATAACCTGGGTTACATAAAAGCTTCACTTGAACCTGAGAATCAGTCATGTAATTCACCCCATCAGTCCATGCCAAAAACTTCATCTGTGTGCTCACCTCCTGTTCCTCTTTGCAATTCCCTTTTCTCAGCCACTCAGACTTCTGTAGTCCCCACTGCCTCCTGCAAGCCTGGGCTGTCCTTGTGTGCAACCTGCATAACAAGGTCCACTCTGAGCTCACTGTTGGAAATTTAACCCCCAGTCTCAATTCCCCACCCCTTAGTCCAATATGTTCTGGGGAAGTCAGAGGCTATGTTATTTTCCTCAAGGAATCCAACCTACCCAGCACTAATTGTTGAAAATGCAGCTCTTTCATGGTTGGATCATAGTGATATTTTGGTTTTATGCCAACTGGATGTTCATTGGGGGATCTGTGTTGGACTTGCTCAGCTTTTCTCTTGGTTTATCTTGCTTTACACCAACACCTCGGTGTCTTAATAACTTTATACTAAGTCATTCAGCACTATGATCTTCCCAACTTTTTCTTTTTAGCATTGATTTGGTTAATACAGATTCTCTTCATTTGCATATAAACACAGGATTCAGTAGATCTAATTTTTAAAGTGAGAGAATTTATACTTTAATAACAATCCTCAATGTTTGCTCCATCCATTTATTTCAGCTTCCATTTAATTCTCTGACAAGTTACTTTTAGGTTCTACACACCCTTCCAAGATCTATGCCCTGATACTTGGTATTTGAGATATCACCATTAAAAATTATTTCTTTAAATCTTATTTCCTATTTCTTCAATATTAATACATGGAAATGCTTATTTTTCAAATTGACCTGGTATCTATTAGGTGACTGCAATATTCCATCAATATTCTAATAATTTGCAGATCATTTATACTTTCTATATATACATAATTACATCATATATCAATACTGACATTTATGTATCCTTTACTTATGTTAATTCCATTTATATCTTTTTTGTGTGCTTGTGTGGATTATATGGATAGAAATGTTGAAATGAAAATATCTAACTTGTTCTTGAGCTAAGAAGCAAGCATTCAAAATAAAGTGTTTAGAAACTCTCTTTTAAATGTGACACTAGCCATAGGCTTGTATGTGGATATTTTTTAATCAAACTAAGATCTTACCAGAGTTTTAGTTTGTTGAGTGGTGTTTATCATAAATGGAAGTAAGATTTTATCAAATTTATATTTATTAATGGGATCATGTATTTTCCATCTTTTTTCTATTAATATACAAAGTTTGATCAAAGTGTGTCAGAAATATTTACATTTTTAAAAATGTATTGGAATAAGACACACATCACCACTAATCTGCTTCAAACTACTTCCCCTGGCTTCAAACATATTTATCCCATGGATCTTGTCACTTCTGAAGCAGCTCTGGAAATCTGCTTTCATCAGTGTCTTTACGGGTTGTGATAGAAATTAGGGTGACTCACTGCCAAGCGCCGTCCAGCACAAAGGCAGCTTGTAGACCCAGGACGGTGAGCCCTCTCCGCCATACTCACTGGATCTGGCGCCGTGCACGTCCTGGTCTTCCCAAGAGTCAAAATGTCCCTGGGAGATAAATGTTTAGAGTCGACTCAGGACCTCGAGGCTGCTGTATCAGCACCACGGGGCACACTCAGGAGAGAGCACCTCCAGAACCGCATCAGAAAGTGGCCACTGATGGGGTCCTGTATGTTTGAAGCAAAGGGAAGCATTTGGGGGGAATTAATGGCAGTGTGCATTAATATAATAACTAGTTTTTTAAACACACACTTTATTTTTCTCTCACACCCTGTAGTGACTCTTGATTGGTTTGTATATGGTAATTGTCTCTTGAGAGCCCTTCAACTGGATCACGGGACTGCTGTCCTGGGAGGGAAGGTCTTAGACTCAGCTGCAACCCTCAGTGCGGGCAAGGGTGCCGGGCAGGCTCCTCCGTCCAGCAGGGCAGGCAGCGCGCATCTTTCTCTCCCTGGAAGAGTCCCCTCTTCCTTTTGGAAGTTTCACGTCCACCTCGCTATTGTCCTCAGCTTCCCAGGTGACCCAGGAAATTAGCAAGGACTGCTGGAGGAGAGCAAGCAGGCCTCTGGGCTCTTCTCCGTCCCAGCCCCACATAACTGCCAGGGCTCATGGGTGCCCTCTCCCTGCTGGAGCGCTGGCCCCGCTGAGCCGAGGCCCTGCCTCAACCTGGATTTTCCTCCAGGAGGGCAGTGGGGATGCCCCGTTTACCCAGGAGGACTTTCTCCTTCGGGAACTGTCCTTCATCCAGCTCTCATTTGCACAAGTCTTCGCTGCTTTAAAACATTGCCGCAGGAGAGCTGACTTAGTCTAGCCCATCTGGATGAGCTATTTCACATTCAAATTCATAACCACAATCACCTTGTAATATCCCCCAGAGTTTAACTGCACGCTGGTTGTGACTTTACTTCACTCCACACTGGAATGAGCACTCCCGAGGAATAAGGCTTTTGCCCACTTGGTTTACTGTTGAGTATCAGCACTGATACTCAACAGGGGGTTTTTCTATAAAGTTGTAAGAGCTCGGTAAACATTTGGTGAAGTTAATAAATAGCATTTACTGTATAAATAAAATCAGCCAAATGAAACCATATGCATGTATGTTTAGAAAACACACACTTTTAACGCGGTAATAATTATTTTTTGTGCTACAAATTTTCAGTAAGTATGACTTCGTACAGCATGGGAAAGATGATTGAGTTTGGGTGCATGGGAAGTAACGAGCTAAATTTCTGGTGCTTTCTAACCACTCCGTGAGTGTAAACTCAAAGAAAGCCAAAGAGCGAACTCTCAGAAGACAATAGAGCAAGAGTCTGCCTCGCTCAGGAAGGAACAGTTACAGAGGTCATGAGAACTAGAGAATGGAGTGAGAAATCTCCATTGCTCGGATTTCATAGTTAGAGTGAAGGGGATGATGGCATTTACAAGACGCTAACGTTTGTAATGAAGCAGTTGTACTGGGCCTGCATGACTCTGACTCAAAGAATGCTTTTCTTTCCCGCAGTTGCTTAAAAGGATACGTCAACAACAGCCTGTCCTTCTTCAACCTGAGTGAGCTCAGCATAGGGAAATCCGGCTACTGCAGGTGCACCTTCGTGACTTGAGACCTCTTTCCTGCTTGCGTTACCTTGGCAACTCCTCCCCTGCATGCTGATGAGCCCACTTACACTGCTCCAAAATTTTGGCAAATCAAGCCTATGTGAGGCTTCTGCACTTCGATCCCTACTCCTCACAGCCCCTGTTTTCTGTGGGTTTCAGATACCGAGACTACCGAGGCCCCCCTTGGAGCTCCAAGCCCTATGAGTTCACCCTCCAGTACTGGCACATCCTGGCTGCCCGGCTGGCCTTTATCATCGTGTTTGAGGTTAGTCCAGACAGAACAGAAGATCACTAGAGGTGAAAGCTTTCCAACCGATCTATCACTGGCCTTTTTGAAATGAATTCTTCAGTGACTTCTCAAATACTTAGGCCTCCAGAAAAGGCTAAGACACCATGAGACCATTAGCACAACACAAAGAAGTAAGAGCTGAGAATTGTAGCACTGTAGGTTGGTGTGCCTTTGTTCCAGAAAGTCAGACTGGAGACACAGCTGCACAGGTGACTTGGGAATGCTACAGCCTCTTTGTTTTGAACCTCCTGGTTGCCAGATTTTAAAAGGAAAAATGGGTTTCAAATTTTAATTTTAAAAAATCCATATCTATTCACTAGGACAGAGGAACCGATTTTCTATTAGACTTTAGAATACTTTTATTAAAACTGTGCAGTTTGATTATCAGACTTATGCAATAATGTTAGTGTGGAATCCAGTGAAGTAGTTTTAGAGAAGCTATCTTTTATTGCCTTGTTTAAGAAGGCTCCATACAGCAAAGAGTTTAACTTTGAACTGCTGTGAGTGTCAGAACTGACGTACCTTGATGCACCTCTAAGATCATGAAAAGACGTTAAGTATGTCTGTTTCGGCCAAAATTATGGAGCGAAAGCGATCATTAAATGAAGAATTTTGGAAGCATCTTTTAAAAGGCAGCTACACCTCTCAACAGATTTCCAAAAACTGCTTCCAACTTTATAGTGAGATGTCTTCATTCAGAAAGTGAAATGCTAACCTCTAGTCCTGATCGAAATTCGGTTACCTAATGACACTCCAAGCTATAGAAGTACCTGCTGATGGAGTGAGGTGTTCCACTATTGCAGATAGCTTGAGAATCTAATGCATATTTCCAATTCTAGTGATTCACTGGAGACTGTATATTGTATTTTTTCCTTATACACTTTTCTCTCTCTTTTGTAATCTAAATGAACAGAATTAATCAAATATTTCGAGTCAGAGCAACACATCATTATGAATCCATATGATACTGGTTTCTTTTCTCTATTTCCAGTTATTCATTCCATTACCCATCTATCCTAGAGACACCCATTTCTTTTCTTCAACTTAGGCTCTTCAGTATGTTTCTTTGCACATATATTTGCTCATAAAAATAAATACAGAATTACGTTAAGTGTTGCTATTAAATTACTCCAATTTATTGTCAAACAGAACTGATTTGTCTCTTAAGCACTTCACCGTCGTTAGATTTAGAGAGTAATCTGTGACGTCTGTCCTTGCATAGACAGTTTCTTTTGAAATTCGCATGTGAGATGTTTGAGTTCAATAAAATATCACTGCGATACTCAGGACGAGGCCTGTTTGCTCCACGTCAAAGGAATCTCACGTCAGGAGTTGTGGGTCTGCTGCCGTGGAAATGTGGTGCAGTTTCCCGGGAAGCAGAGACCCAGGTGTGGAGCAGCAAGTGTGGCAAGTGTGTGTGCAAGCGTGCTTTCAGGTAGTGCTAACTGGCCGCGCCTGGAGGGTGCTGCTGGTCACACTCCGGGTGAGAGCTCTCCCCTCCCACGTTGTCACCAGCGTCTCGTATTATCTGACTTTCTGATATATTGCAGTTGGATAAAAGACAATGTTTTGCTTTTGGCGGGTTCTTTTTGTTTTAACTTGGTCACTGGTGACACTGACCACCATTTTTAGTCCTAGAAAGCCTTGTTGTTTCCTCTTGTACAAATGTACAGCTTTGGTCCAGTTTTGGCTGAGTTTCCAGTTGGTCAGCAAATCTCAAGACTTTCTTTCATATTAGTCATTTGCTAGTCTTAAACATATCAAATACATTTCCCTGGTCTGTGACCTGTTACAAATAAATGACAGTATTTAATTTTCATGTAGTTAACTCCATTGCTGTTTTGCCTTTTGGATTTATTTTTATTTTAGGTAGCTTCTTTAGAAAAACTTTCTCCTCCAAAGTTCACAAAATCATATTCTGCTACAATATTTTACTATTAATTGTAAAGATTTACCTTTCACATATGTCTATGTCTTTAAGATACAATCTGAGGAAAAGGTTGATCTTTCTTATTCTACAAATGCTGAGATAATTATTATACTGCTATTTCCTAGTCTGTGGTATCTCCACTTGTGTGCAATTCCACTCTTTATTATATTCCCAGTTCTTATATGTTCAGAAGTGTGCCCTTCATCTCAGTGTGCTGACACATTGCTCCCCGTGTCTGGCCCTGGGTCAACCTCATAATTTTTAAATGCTGTGAGTTTGTAATCTGTCCCAGAATCTGAGAAAGCAAGCTTCATCCCCCCCAACACAGTTGTCCCCTTCCCTGATCTCTCTCTGTCTCTCCCTCTGTCCCTCTGTCCCTCTCTCCACCCACCCACCCCCACCGAATCTGTCTTTGTCTCTGTCTCTGTGCCTCTCTGCCCCTCTCTTTCTCTCTGATGGGAAAACTTAGGTATACTCATTTGGTTTTTAAAATAAATTTGTGGGGTATCACGTCGTGTGTCAATACATGCATAGATTATATAATTTTTCTAATACTGGTGATTGAACCCAGGGTCTTCTCATGGAGGTTCATCCCCAAGCCCTTTCTGACTCCTGCACTCTGAGGCAGGATCTCATTGAATCACAAAATTATCCAGGCTGCGTTAGAAGTTCAGTGCTTCTGCTTCAGCCCGCTGGAGTACGGGGACTATCGTGGCTTGTATAATGCTTATATAAGGTTAAATAAACACACCTGTCTCCTAAGTATTTCTCGTTTCTTTGTGGTAAAGGCAATTGAAATCCTTTCTTCTGTGTTCTTTGAGACACACAGTAGGTTGTAGTTATCCTGTTGTACAAATGCAGCACATGTGAACGGATTCTCCTACTAAACTCTGACTTAGTTCTTGTTAATCTTTCATCTTCTCTTTCTACCCGCTACCATCTTCAGCCTTGGATAACCAGTAATCTACTCTCAAACTCTATGATACTACCTTTTTTTTTAGATTTCACGCGTTCATTGTTCTTATTTTTCAAAATTGGCTTAGCCACTTGACATTATTGAGTAATTATATAAAATTTCTTATCTATTTTTCATATAAGAATTCTGGTTAGAATTAAATCAGTAGAAAATAGAAATTTTCAGCATGTTTTTAAAAGATGTGCTGTTTCATTAATTAACATAGGACTTGCTGCTGTTTTCTTCCCTGAGCCCTGGCTCACAGAATAGGGTTCAGGGGACCCAGACTGGGAGGGCAAGGTGCGGAATCACCATGCAGATTCCGGGGAGGTTTCTGGAACGATTCCACTTTATTCAGCAAATGCACAGATTTATATAGGGTAAGGTGGGGGTGGAGCCAGGGTGGAGTCGGGATATTTGGCACATCCTTATTGGCCACATGTTAGTTTTTGGATGGTACGCTTTAGGGGCTGAGGCAATGGAATCAGGACTTTAGAGGTTTTTTAGAGGAACAGTTTACCTGTCTAAGGTCAGATCTCCACACACCAGAGGGGGTGGATTATTCCAGCCCTAATAGGACTCAGAGTTTTCTCATGAAAGATGGGTGCGGTGCTCCTGACTCAGCCAGACATTAGTCTGATCCTTAACTTGCCCCAATTATTTTATCTTCAGTTGAGTTTTCAAAAAGTTTTTCCTAATTGGCTAATTTTATGTTTATCTTCATAAAATGTGTAGATACATCCGTTGTTAAAATGCAGGCTATCTTATCCTCCATTACACTATCTGCCTGAGTTTTAATGGTGTGCGGGGTGTAATGGTTCTCAGAAGAGCACAGTTCCTTCTGCTGGGATCTTTCCTTGAGGGGGGAGTTGAGTATTTTTCAATGTTCCAAAATTGATGATTTTTTTATTCATTAAGTTTATTGGTACATTTTAGGCAAACAATATGCTGACATTCATAGTTGGGAATTTGTATCTTTACATGGTATATCTTGGTTCTTATTTTTTCCCCGTTCCGCTTCCCTCCCTTCAGCCCCTCCACCCTTCCCTATTTACAAAGACTTCTTGTTTCCATTTTTTTCTTTTCTCATATTTTCCCCATTTCCTTCTTCCCTTGCCCCTGCTTCTCCCCTTTAGACCTCTTCTTCCTGTTTCACATTATCTATTACACATTTTGATCCTTATTTACGCATCTTCTTTATCCTGTCTCCAGCTGATGGGCAGCTGGGCTGTTTCCAAGTTTTAGCTATTGCAAACAGTGCTGCTATAAACTTTCGTGCACATGTATTGTTGTGATATGATTCTTTTACTTCTTTTGGGAAGATACCCAGCACAGGGATGGCTGGGTCACATGGGACTTCCAATTTTAGTTGTTTGAGGTATCTCCGTATTGATTTCCACAGTGGTTGCACCGGTTGTGCAGGGATCTTTTATCTGTTCCTTGTCCTTGTAAACATTATCATTCAAAATTAATCAGAGTTTTGCCTCTTCACTTGCAGACTTTCTACCTCAATTTTGCTTGTCTTACTGTGCTAGAATTTTAGAGTGATGTCAGCAGTCGCAATATGAGGGACAATGGTTGTTCCAACTCAAATGAGCACTTCTAATTTTGTAAAGTACAATATTTGCTGTAGGATTGTTTAATGTAAACTATTATCGATTAAAGATAAATTTATCCTGTTTTAGTCACTTGTTTCTTGATAAATGATACTAAGCTTTAGCAGATCCCTTTTTTAAAAATAAATTTTCTTCTTAATTTTGAACGGTCTTTGCATATCAACATATATAGATCAGCTTGTCGGATCCTGTAATATTATTTCATAGGATTTGGGGAATATAGCTTTTATCAGTTTAAATTATGCCCAGTATTCTTTTATTTTTATTTCTGTACTCTTAAAGTATATTGTTAGATTTTTTAAAAATAAACGGTCAGGGAGAAACTTCTGATTATCTGTCTATTTACTGGAAAAGATGACCTACTCAGTTATAATCTACATTGCAATGCAGCTTCTTGGGACATACATAGTAAGCCCAGCTAAGAGTGCCTCAATGGCTTCCTTTCCCAATTAAGAGACTGTCGTCCCCTTATATAAATGTGTCCCTTCTCACAGATCATACTAACTCTCTATATCAGATTCGTTTTTCCTTTCTGAGCATTTGAAGGATCCAGTCTTCCACGCTGGAAATACAGAAGGGTGCATGTAGAACAGCGGGAAGTAGATCTGAGCACTATGCACACTGCCGTGCTTTGATCCTCTTCCAACCTGGAGAGGGTCCCCTCCGATGGCCATGAGAGACAGGTCATAGGTGATTGGCCAAAGGCTTCACCGCTAGTGAGCATAGGCAGGACTCAGGATCCAGGCCATCTCACTGGACGTCTTCCACTCACCCATGGACACATCACCTTGGAGTTTTATTATAATGCTTTCGTCAGTTCTATTAAATGAGAGTAACATATATTTAAGTGCAGGTTATGTGACAGAGACAAACCATTTTACAATTATGATGACAATATGTGAATTTAATATAGAAGAAATTCTGAAAAATCGAAGCTGTAGAAGTTGGGTCTCAGCCCTGCATCACAGGCAGGCTGTGTTCTCTGGGGTTTGCACAGAGTGTATTACAATCTACTAGAGTGCCATGGACTTTTTCTTATATGTGATGTCTCATTTGTGCATCACAGTGCAAGTCATAATATTCCACCACAGCATAATACACAACAGACAAGGATTTGAGAGTTTTTTCAGGCTTTATAAAGTGATATTGACACATGACAGCAAAAAATCATTATTTGCTTTTAATGCTAATGTGGTAGAAGGTGGTTGTAATATTCCCAATATAGTTTTGAAAACATGAATATTCCCAGTGCTACACATTAAGCTCTGATGTTTGATTTTAAGGCAAATGCACCAAGGGTCATGATTGCTGTGTTTTAGAGTCAGTATTTCAGAATCTTGAAAATTGTGCTTTCTGCTCTTACATTGCAGCACCTTGTTTTTGGGATTAAGTCTTTCATCGCGTATTTGATTCCAGATGTACCCAAAGGCCTCCATGAGCGAATACGGCGGGAGAAGTACTTGGTCCAAGAAATGATGTATGAGGCCGAATTGGAACATTTGCAACAACAGCGGAGAAAAAGTGGTCAGCCTGTTCACCATGAATGGCCTTAGTTGCTATCTGCAACCAGCAGGGGAGGTACTGCTAGTGTGAAGGAATGTTGGCAACCTCCACTGGAGAGGGGACTTAGGAGGAAGACACACTGGGCAAAACATATGTATAATAGGCTCCCTGGACAAGCATCCCAGCAATCGCTGAGACTTGGAATGGCCAGATTTCTAAGGAAGGATTTTAAAGGCAGCTTAACCTGACATTGCTGATCAGAGGCAGTGTAACAAAAAGGGTGGCAGTGAAGTTTCTGGAGACAGATTTCCATGGAAATATTGCAGCCAGGCATGACTTAAAGTATCCCATGGTCACATGCTAATCTGACTTGGGAAGCTTCCATTCAGTTGAGACGCTTGCAACAGATGACGTAAATCAGTTATTGCCTTTGCTGCTGGAATTCCATGACCTTTCTGCTTTTAGGTTGCTAGGAACTGACCTTGTCTTATAAGAGTATGGATCTTTGCCACAACAAATTTATGCTGCTTTACACCAACTATGCAGTTGAAGAGTTGCACACCACCTTTCATAGTCAAACCAAAAATCTAAGATTCCAAAAAGAATGCCATTCATTGAAATCATACTGTATTGCATAGGCTACAGAGAAGTCTGTTTTCTTTCTGGCAAAGCCAGATGCACTGCACATTTTTATACATGAATGGTGTTACTCGTATCATTTAGAACATGACCAGTCCATACTTTACTGCAGAAAGATATTTTATAGTCTCTTTAGGTTTTCCCTCTCTGAGTTATTACAAATCTCACAGAATGTTATCTTGAAACGCTGTAAATATGTTGATTTTCCTTGTTCTTTGCACCTTGACCATTTGGAATGCAAGATTCAGTTTCTGCAACTCTGAGACCAGTTACCCAGTATGCAATTGCAATATGTTTATTCAGAAAGCCTGAAGCCAGATTGTCTACAACATTTATGCTTTTTCTACAATGTGCTCTCTTAACGATGAGCTCATGCAAACAATGCATGTTGATAGCTCTGTGGTTTGTAAAACACAATACTTGAATTTACTTTCTTTTTCATCACTGAAAGACAATTTCTATTATTGCTTCTTTATACATTGTTTTGTTTTTTAATTGTCTGGAAGCAAATTCAAATTAATTGTGAAGACATAACTGCTCTTTTGTGAAATTCCTATTTCGATGTCAACTCTGTCTGCTCACAGATTGATGGGGAATTAAACTAAACCCAGTATAGGAGCAGGGTAGGAAGGAAGGGAAAAGTTGAAGGAGAGGAATGTAAGATAAAAAATCAAGACACTTTTCCTTGCAAAGCAAGGAAATCCAAGTTCTTCTCTCCTGGAAATAGAGCAAAAAATCAGATACACATACAAATCATGGTCTTTATTACTTATCCCCAATAAGCAAAGCACAGTTATTTTCAAGATTTGAAAGACCAGATTAGGCACAATGGACATAAAGCCACTTCCTGAAAACTGCAGCATTTCTCTAGTAGGGAAACTATAAACTTCACTTAGTAGAAAAATATTTGTATAATTCTAGCACCAAATATGTTTGCTGATTTTTGCTTCTTTTGCTCCAGGGAAAATCTGTTCCACTACAGTTGCGTCCTTTGTCAAGAAGCCTTCTGAATCTAAATTCCCTCATCGTCCTTTGCCATGTAGAGCTCTTAGGTTCAGTTATAATTCTAATTTCAGTGCCTGCACGACAGAGTTTTAGAGCATCCATGTGTACTTTTCTCTGTTAATTAAATAGATACACATGCCTGGGTACAAATACTCCCCAAGTGTACCTGACAATTGCTTGCTTTGCAAATTAAGGGCACAAGACAATGACACTTGCCTTACAGGACAGCAAAATAGAATTCATCCCCATGTCCTTCAGAAGTCTTCCCTTGCCACGTTTTTGTACAGCCCCATCAGGGTATAAAATCATATTGATTGATGCAAAAAAAGAAAGATATTTTAATAAGAATTATAATATATTCATTTAGAAAATGCCTTCCCTGTTATTTCTGAAACAGACATGAAAAATAGTAAACAGAAAATTACCCGGAGTGTTTCTTTTGTGAAACAGGGCAGTAGGACTAGCTACACTTTCATCCGTGCTGGTACCCGCTCGTCGTACCTTGGTTTTTGAGCACTCTGCTTGAGTTGAAATATTTTATATCTTGGTTTTCCTATGAATACAAACTGATTCTCAAAGATTTACAGCACACACTACTCTCAGGAACCCTGTATTACACGAATGCTGCTTATATATTTTCATACTCTACCTTGCCGTCTTTGTAAGCAAATAACTAATAAACATGTGCATGTGGTCTGCACGGACAAGCCCTCCAGCGCTGAGGAGCCTCCCAGCACAAAGTGTGGAAAATCACTCCGATCTGAGCTGAAATCTCCAGCTGTTGTCTCGCCCCGTGCACGTGCTTTTGGGGCCCGGGCTGCCGGTCGACTGCATGCCGAGAGAGGCGACTTTGAATGCGGCACATTGCTCTGAAATGACCTGTAGCACAATCTGTTGTGTAACGGAATGAATATAAAGTTTTTCACCCAATAAATTATTATTTGATATGGTATTTTCCTATGGTTTCCACGTTAAACTTAATCCTGCTTTTTTAAAATATCAAATTGAGATTCTTGAATTCCGGGGGGAGGGGCTGTTCCTCTTTACCTCTGTGAATCGGTATGTTCTTTTAATTTTTATTTTTATCAGTGCATTTTTGTGTGGGTGATGATTACTTTCCTGGTGCGGAGTTCGTGTGTATACAGAGCACATCTTAATTCTTTTTACTTCTCCTCTTCCTGTCCTCCCTCCCCCCTCCTTCCAATCTTGCCCCCTTCCCTTTCGCAAAGGATCTGTCTGGCTGTTTCCTATTATCTAGCTTTTATGTCACTCTTTAATTTATTTATACCTTGGGTTTCTCCTGTAAGAGGAATCATGTGATATTTAAGTTTAGGTGCCTGATTTATTTCCCTTAACATTATACTCTCAAAGTACATCTATTTTCCCACAAATAACCCATTTATCCTTCTTTATATTCATATTCTTGCAGGCCTTACTCCATTCTTAACATGTTTTGACTATCTTCTGATAGCACTATTGTTACCTTCAAAATGATGGGTACGTAGAAGTGTAGATAGGATACCACACCGATCCTAATGTTTTGTTCCTGAAACAGATGGTAGGGGAACTGTGATTACACCTTGTGAAGACAGAAAGGCTCCTATCATTATGAATACCTTCTCCTTTTCATTCATATATTGGTCTTACAACTGCCATCAGAATCCTCCTTAGGTCATGAATCCGCGAGTGCCAAAGACAAAAGACAGACCAGAGCATCACAGCCAGCAGCCACTTGCTTATTTTTGTTCAACTTGATGATCAAAACCAAAATCTAAGTTGCCCATAGAGTTGTAACTAACAAGGCCGGAGGGGCTGGCGGTCAGTTGGAAACAGGTGCGCAGTGCCCGTGCACTCACACATCAGCGCACACGTTTGGTGTAAGATGCAGCACTCACTGCCTGTACGGTGTGCCTAACTCGGTTCTGCCACAGTCAGCGGAGATTTCCAAGCCACTTCCCTCGGATCACAGCATTCTAATGTGCTCCCAGCAGTTGGCCTGGGTTTACCCAGAGAAGCAGTCTCTTACACACTCCTGCTATTCTTAGTGGCTCAAAAAATAACGTTTGAGGAGTGGCCTAAAAACCCCAGTTTCTGATGGGAAGGCAAATGTTTTTTAGGCGTTTCCATTTAAAATAAAGTATGCCAGCACTGCATGGTCCAAAGCAAAGATTAACTGGGCTTTAGTTTGAACCATTGAAGATCCCCTGCTCTTGCCACCTGAGATTTGTGCCTTTGCAGTGGTGACAGGTCACCTTCGATGGAGTTTGCCATCTGTGTTCACCAGAAAACCGCATGTGGTTGCACAGTAATATCAGATGACTTTCATTTCCAAGAGCGTGAGTATGGAAAGCCCTGCATTCTAGCTTCATCCACACAGACACAAATTTTTCTTGGGAAAGTAAAATGAAAGAAGACAGATTGCTAGAAAAGGGTCTTGCACTTGGGGCCAGTTGCAGTTTCTGGTACCATCAAAGCCCACTCCCAGGGAGAAGAAGCTTGGAACTCCAACCTCACTGCTGTGACCATGCACTTTGGGATGGCTCATTTTCTTTCTTACATAGCAATTCTATTAGGACATTAAATAAACATTCCACAAAGCTATTCCTAGCTTCACAAATATCTCTGATCTCTTGGATGTTCTGAATTGTGTACACACTTGTTCTACCACATTGTTACTTCAAATCCCTGAAGACAAATAAGTCATTGTCCATGACAGAAGCTATCATCGTATATTGCTGTTCTTGCCTTAGTCTGTTTTACTTATTTATAAAAAGCCTTTGTGTGTTTGTATGTTTATTCTGTTCTTGTGTATGTCCTAGACCTGGGTAGACCAAATATGACAGGCATTATCCAAAGCACTGAAAAAGGAATTCTATAATATGGCCAGCCTTATTAGGAATTTTAAACAGGGAGAAGTCTCTCCACTTCAGTTCATTAGTGAATCTCAGTTGACTTTGGCCAAATTATAAAGTTGACTTGAGATACTAATTCCATATCTCTAGTGCACAGATGTGAGACTTAGTGCATCACAGATGTGAACATAGTATGCCATAATAAACTTGTCTATCTGTAAGGGAGTTCTCTAATTTGGTTTCAGGAAAGTAAGACTGTTAGAAAATTACTCGCTGAGAGATAATATCTTGTTTCAATTCTAACATGACCGAGTTTGGAAATTTAGGACATAACTTTTAATTTACACACGTTTTTACCTTGTCATTAATATATGTTGTAATCCAGTCTCCAAATCACAGAGAGAAGCAGTGGGAACTATTGAAATTCAAATGAACGCCTGTTCGTCATAGATCACAGAGCATGAACGCTGCCTGCTCTAAGTGAGCCGGCACCTGGGCTGAGCAGCACGTAGGATTCACCTCTCTGATCCTCCAGAATAATACGCTTAGGTGGAAATAATTTGCGTCTTTTAATTGGTGAGTAAACTCAGCTTTGACACCCTTGCCCGATTTCTCAGGTCATCTCTCGTTTGCACCGGTGCTCCAGCCTCCTCCAGTACACAGTGCTTCTCACTTGAAGGGTGCAGAAAAGCAGTGGGTGACAGCGGTGACCTCCTGGGTCGGGGGTGACAAGCGGTGGGGGAACTGAGGTGGGCATGGGTTGGCTCCATCTCCTCCAGTCTAGGGACTCATCACTCGGGAGGGAGGAGCTCTCTGACCACTGCAGACCAAGTACTCTCCGACTTCTCACCACACAGTGGCTGTGGCCTCAGTATGCTGTGGAAACGGTTTTCCCGGAGATTCCTGTCTCTCTCTTTCTCTCCCCCTGAATCCTTAGCTTTTTAGAAGTTCGCTTTGGGAGAATAGGGAAGAGTTTCTATGTGGATCTCTACATGCTCTTGAAATCTCTACATGCTCCTAATGCCACAGCTTTCATTTTGCAAGAGAAAGAAGATCCGTTTTTGTGACAGAAATATCTTCTGACAGGAGCGGGGATATACACCTGTAATCCCATCCACCTGTAATAGGCGGCTGAGTCAGGAAGATCTCGAGTTTGCGCCCTACTTGGGCAACTTAGTGAGGACCTGTCTCAAAATGAAAAGGTCTGGGGATGTAGCTCAGTGGGAACACAAGCCGGGGCTTGATCTGCAGTCTTACCAAGAACAATTTAAATCTAACTGTATGACAATTGGAGCTTTTGATGATACTCTACGTTAGTAAATTTAAGATCTAAAAAAGATCAAGAATTTTATTTTTAAAAATATTGGTAAATGTACTAAACTGGAGCAATGTCTTTAGGATAATTTAGGGGTAAAATGAAAAGCTATTGTAGCACGTTTTTATTTTGTGCAGTTTCCTGTTGAAATGTGTCCCAATTCACTCACAGATGTGTCCTTATCCATCTTCCTGTTGGTCTACTTCTCATCCTCAGGGCTGTTTGTGTTTCTTTCCTTATTGAAAGATCTGAGCTAAGCCAGTTAGATTGGGCCCTGATTTCAATATTCGCTTTACACACAGTATTGTAATTCAGAAAAATGTCTTGGCTACTGAGTCCCTGGGAAACTATTGTGCCTCTCAGTTTACAAAACCTTAGACTGACAAATTAGCCCCACGAAGTCTCAAAATAAATATTTTAGGGCCAGGGATTTAGCTCAGTGGCACCATATCTGCCCCAAAAGTGCAAGGTCCTGAGTTTGATCTCTGGTACAAAAAAAAAAAAGTATTTTTATGGATTCTATTTCATGTTTTCAGACATACCCAAAGATGCTGTCTTTCAACTTCATTCACCTTTGTCCCACATGTGTTTTCTGTCTCATTTCTCTTACAAACTGGCCAAATTCCTTCTCTCCCTTTATTCTTGTATTTGAGAATGGAAGAAGAAAAGGAAAGCACTGGGCTCTGGTTTCTAAACTTGACTTCATTTGCTGTTTTCATTTCCTTATCAGTTCTTTTTTCCTATCTTGACAACGAAAACTTTGGGTATATATATATATATATGCCTATAACCTGAGCACTTGGGAGGCTGAGGCAGGAGGATCACCATGACTTCAAGGCCAGGCTGTATGTTTTTCGCTCCAGAGTAATATTTAATAGCATAGACTTTGGGACTCTTTCTCCTTGCCATTTCTTTTTGGCTTATTTCTTCTTACTTGGCTGACTGTCATTTCAGAGCCTCTTGGCTGCATGGCCCTCATGCCAATAGGGTCCGTCTGTCCATTTTTATTTCTCATTTCCCAGCCTGATCAGCCCTGAAGCATGGCCATTTTTCTTTTACCTTCTGTCACTTTCATTTCTTTGCTTCTGCCCCTAAAGTTTTCCCTGCCCTTCATTTCTCCCCTGTCTTTGGATCTGTAAGGCCCTCTTCCTTTGCAACCTTAAACACTCTTTCCCAGAGCTCAAGGTCCTTCCTTCTGACAGAAGAAGTCAAGCTTGTAAGTGTGGCCTCAGAGAGCAGAGCATTGGTCCTGTGAAAGATGTATTTTGTCTCAAAGAAGCCCAGATGGCTGTGGAAATTTCCCATGGATTACAAAGCTTCTTGAAAGATCTTTACACACTGCTGCCCTAACAGCGACCTGTAGCACATTCCTTTCCTCCTTACCCAGACAGTGTAGAAGTCTCCGGACTTCTTAAGCAGAGGCAGTTTGCTATTGTGATATGACAGGAAGAAAGACTGCTCCGAGGGCATTCGGGGAACAGAGTACTGAGTTGCAGCTGCCACCTGTGATCAGACACCAAGCTCTTTGACCGTAGCTGACATTTGGTGGGGACAGCTCCAAGAGCAGGGTGGACTCAGGGGAGACTTAAGGGTGGGCAGCCACGGCAGTTCAGTGTCCCAGCTGTGGCTCCAAGGTGGGCAGGCGCACGTGAGGGCCAAGGGCAGGGGAGGCCATAGCTGTTCTCAGAAGTGACAGAAAAGTGTGCACCACGTAGTCTCTTTTCCTTTTCTGTGCCTGAGCCTCACAATAGCGTGATGGTTAAAACTACAAAACAGGAGCTGGGCAGAGCTCCGAGGTAGAGCAGGCACTTATCACGAGCACCAAAACAAAGCAAAAACCAAAAACCCTACACACACAAAATAAATGGTTCATCATGTCACAAAGCAAGAGACTTTGACTCAGACTAAGATCAAATCCAGTCCTAATTTATTCAAGAAGGAAGTTATCCTTAAGGCTTGGCTGGTTTTTCTCACCTGGAATGTGGGGTTTTCCAAGGACTATCCCAAGAAAGAGATGTTCTTTTGTATAAAAAGTACATAAATAGTTACTGAACAATCTCGCTCCCTCACTATGACCACCACATAAGTCCACTAATGATAGGCAAGGAGTATGTGTGTCATGTGCGTGAGTGCACACACACACACACACACACATGCACATGCATGCATTGTCCTAGAAATGGGTCATCTTCTCCCGTGCTGTATTGTCGTAGCTTTTATCCTTGGTACTGCGCCTTGGGGCGTGGGCCAGGCTTTCTCCCCTGAGCCCATTCTGGAGCACAGGTGCTGCCACATGTTTCCAGGTACTGCAATTCTCAAGGCTACCCTGAGGGAAACAGGAAGGCACATGTGTTAGCAAGGCCATCCAGACACATTCCTAATGGCACTCTCCTAATGCAGGGAGGAATGTACTTTCCTGATGTAGCCTCCCCTGCAAAGAAAGGCTGATAAACACGAAGGTGGAAGAAACAATCTGGTCCAAGACTCTTCCTGATGGATAATGTTGATAACACATAATTATCATTTTAATAATAGTAATAACAAGAGACAACAATTTACTGACCATCAACAGTGTCTCATGCTGCATAAAGAAACTTATACAGCTCTGGGACAATAGCAGCTCCACCAGCTGACTCCTCAGCAAAATAAATTGCTGATCTCCTTAAAGAGTCCCCAGTCAAACCTGCAGAATTTTCAGTGGAGCCATCTCCTTGTTTACCAAAGCAGTGTTAACGCTTGATCCTACAGGCATTTTCATATTCTAAACTGTTGAGTCACAAGTTTGTCCAGTACCAGTGGGAGCCCTGCATTTAAAGATCGGCCTGAAAGCACTTGAGTCAAGAACTCTACGAACAGCTGCATCTAAGCTCATTCTGAACCTCCGACAAATGGGCTTTCCTAGGTGGCATTAAATTCAGCTTTATGCCATACACCTATTATTAGGGTATTTTCTAGGGAAGAGAGCAATTCGCAGCTTGGAAACATGGGGTGTGATATGCACAGGGTAAGAGTCCTGAGTCCCAAAGGAATAAAATGTCAGATGTTGAAGGAGTAACAATAAGCTTCAGCTGGGCCAGGGATTTCTCTCAGTGGTGCCTCCACCTGCCTCACAAGCGTAAAGTCCTATGTTCAATTCCCAGTACCAAAATAATGATAATAATAATAAGCTTCAGCTAAAAAAGATAAAACAAAAAACAACTCTTTTCATTTCCTGCCTCCTCCTACACCTTTCAGAACTCTTCAGTAGGAGCCCGGTCCTTTACAAAAGGCAGACTCACCTCCCTGCTATTGATGGCGGCATTGCCTGCTTCCCTGCGTGCCCTAAACTTGTTACCTTAAGTCAGGAAGCCCAAGTTTGTCCGGCCCAAGCTGTTTCTGGTGGCGGCTGCCTCATAAAAATGCAGTGGCACTGATAGTCTCTAGCCTGGCCTAACCCCAGCACACTTCTCACTAGCTTCGAGGGCCGCAGAGTCACGACACCATGCTGCCTCCCTGACTCTCGGCTCTCCCCAGTGTATTATATCTGTACCCCACAGAACTAGAAGTATTAGTGTCTGTGTCACCCTGCGTGATCTCCCTCCAGTTATCAGATAAGAGAAGTTGGAGTTCAAAGAAATGGAATAACTTATCCAAAAAGAGTAAGGCCAGGAACTAGAGTCAAACCCAAGGCAGTCTGGTGCGAAAGCCATTACAAGAGACCATGCCATCTATTTTCTTCCTTTCCGATTATTTATAGATAGATAGATAGATAGATAGATAGATAGATAGATAGATAGATATTTCCCCCCAGAATGTGCCCTCACAGAGGTAAAAGGCCCTTTGGAAACTGATCGCTTGCACTGCCCACCACTCAGCACAATGCACTTTTCCATTGGCATCCTCCTGTGCTTAGAACACAGTCAGCCAAGATGACTCTGCAGCTGATTCTTCTGAGTCCTGTCACTCACTGCCATCCCTCCCTGGACCCCAGCCACCCACCCAGCTTGCAGCTGGCTCAGATAGGCCAAATGAAAACCCCCCTGAGCCGATGTTTTGGTTGGAAGACCACACATCTGTTCACCTGCTCGGGCCAGCGGTCATGCTGCACTCCACACCAGCACAGAGATTTATATTTCTCAGACCAAAAGCAAAATAAATTGCACACTGGTCTAATTAAGAGTGGGTTGATATCTTTGCCTTCCTGGAGACCTGTTAAGGAAAGGAGAGACAGATCAGGCAGATGAGGCTCCAGGATGTCCACTGAGGATTCAAGCAGCATGGTCCCGAGCTTTCTTCTCAGCATGGGCTCCCACAGCAGTGAGCAGAGCTTGGTTAGATCCACCTGCAGAAGGGTGTTAGATTTTTAACAACCCACGAGCTCTCAGGTTAGAATAAAACAGAGACAACATTCTTACTGAAAAATGTTTGCTATGGAAAATTCTACTAGAGCCTTTTGAAAGTCAACAGAAGGGACAACAGGGATTGTATTTATTCATTTAAGAAAGTTTCTGGGACTGGGGATTTAGCTCAGTGGTGCCGCTGCCTGCCTTGCAAGTGCAAGGACCCAAGTTTGATCCCCAGTGCCAAAAAATAAATAAAAATAAATAAAACAATGAAAGTTTCTGGTTTCTATCTAGATCAGCTATAGTCAAGACCATCAAAAGCCCATATTTGTAAAATTGGATTATTTTTACTGTTTCGGCTTCCTTTTACCCCAGCATCAGTATCCTGAACAAACACAGTGGTGCCTCAGTTCACGAACTGAATTCTTTCTGTGATTCTGGTCCCAAGCCAAAGTGCTTGTGAAGGTAATCAAATTCAGTGGTTAGGTTCAATGCTGAAATTACGGGGAAATCTGATTCATTTTGCGACCAATTTGGTTTGGGACCAGAATGCTAGAAAGAATTAAGTCCTTGAACCAAGGTACCACTGCTACTCCTCTGTGCCCCCTCAAACATGCTAGACTTTGTTCAGTCCTCTTTTCCTACCCTTAAAATATACTTGTTCAGCTGTAAACCTGAGTCACACGAAACCCAAGCCAATATTTGCAGAATGATGATCTTGCTCCTCCAGGTCCTGTGCCGGTTCTGAGGTAACGGTGACGACTCTCCAGTCCTCGGTCTCATCCAGTGAGAGCTCTGAGTGTGACAGTGTGACAGCCAGAGCAGGGCAAAGTTCCCTGCAAGGGAATGAGGCTGACACACGCTGACGCCCGTGTAGCCCCTGTCCGGGGGCTTTTCTCAAGTTTCTAATGAGGAACCAAAATAATGTCAGTTTTGTTAATTCAAAGCGGAGACTCAAAGAACATATTCCCTAATACTGTGTCAGTTTTCCAAAGGCATTCGATCCAGCAGAACTCGGCTGCTATGGACAATGGCATGTGTTCATTGGTGGTGTGACGTGCAAAGCACATTTTACACAGATTTATAGCCCTAGCTGGGTAGGAATTGTTGATGAGAGACCTGGTGAAGATCCAGGAAATGACAGATCAGTGGCGTATGTCTCCTGCGCGCCGCATACAGTAGCAGGGAGCCGCAAAGCCTCAAACTTCTGTGCAACGGTGACTGAGTCAGAGGAATTTAATTCAGAGCTAAACATTCCCAGGGTTTCAAACAAAGAAGACCTGTGTCTCTAAAAACACCACTAAAGTATCAAACACTCCAATAAATAATGGAGACGGTTTTCTCTAGGCCAGGACTTGAGATTTGCTAACAAAGAAAGGGCTCTTTGTTTCATATGGAATTAAATACTATTTCCTTCTAGAAAAAAAAATTGACTTGGAAGATAGTAGACGGTAAAACAAAGCACAGGGCTATCAGGCTTGTGAGTGAAGGTTAAACGTGAAAGTGAAACTCCAGTGGGAAGCTCTGTGTTCTCCCCTAATTACAGATTTACAGCCTGGTTCATGAGTGAGACCTTGGGGAGTATCATTAATGAACACAGACGGTAGGATTACAGACATAATGCGTGACACAGGAGAAGGTCAAAGGGCATGTGACCATGTCCTGTAGACACAGAAGTTTTTCCTGAGGAAAACGGTTCAGGCTCACTTGTACTGCGTGTCAGAAGGCCGTCCCTTCCTGTAAACAGAAACAGCAGCTGTATGCAGGGCGCTGACACAGAGCAGAGGGTGACCAGCACCCACCCCTGCCCTTTCCTCTGCTGGAAACCCCACCCAGGGAGTCAGTCCCCAAGCCCTGATGCTGGAAGTCAGGAAAGCCAGGTCAGGACTGCAAAGGATTCTCGCCACTTTCTGAAGCAGTTCTGAAAGTCTTTAAGAGATGTGATCAAAAATATGTAGGTGTTACGGCCAAGGTCAGTGTGTAAGAATGTTACAGAATGTCTTCATTCGCCTAAGTCATCATACCTCTCTCCGCGGGGCTTCTAGCTCTTCCCCAAAGCCAAACTGACCATGAAAGGGCAACATCAAGGCAGCCACGACAGCACAGCTAAAGGATGAAAGAGGACCTCCAGAAGTGCTTGCATACGTACAAGAAAACAAAAGGCTAAGCAAGACTGAAATAAAATACATCACAGGAGCACGCTCATAAAAAACACCTGTCCTTCTCTGCTCCCCTATCCTACCAACTTTAAATACTTTATAAATCAAAAATCATTATATGGTGGCCAGTGTGAAATAGTTATGAAAAGCCCTTAGTGACCCATCGGGAAGTGTCAGGTTAGCAGAAGGACTTCATCTGGACAGACAGGAACCAGGGGACAGGGACACATGGCAACCCAACTCAATACTGTCTGCAAAGATCCAGTGTCACGACTAGGCTCTGGGAGAGAGCTGGGAGGGTGGGCTTGTGCCTGTTTCACTAAGACCAGAGACACGTGGAGCAGAAGAAAATGCAGGGGTTGATACCAGGACAGCTGTTCACACTCAAGGTGGCAAAGAATCTTCCACCCCAAGTGTAACTTGAGCTGCTGCATGGACACAAGAACGTGTTGGTTCCGACACAGAGCCAGAAAAGATGCAGCCTGGGAGCCTCCTCCTTTCACACGCGTTGGAAGCCTGCAGCTGAAACGTGGGCTGTCTCCTGGTGGGGAGGGGCACCTGAGCACAGTCCTCTGGCAGCAAGGAAGCCTCCACCAGGGCCGGGGTAAACAAAGTAAGTTGCCTTTCATCCAAAATCATTTCCATTAAGACAGCTATACCATCACTATTACTATTAATAAAAAGCTGGGTTTATAAAATTGGTGCTCTATTTCTTATCATCCCCAAGATATCCTTAATTCTAGTGAGAGGTCAGTGATCCTGTAACTCAGGATTCCACAGTATGGGAGCTCACATGTGGCTCTTCAGCGGAAATGCTGCCGAGCAGGTCATGGGTTCAGTAGGAAGACGGACCGGTCATCACCTGAGGGTTCATCATGACAGAGTCAAAGTAGAATACTTTAATAATTTACTTAGCTAAAATACAGACCTAGAAAGTCAGAGAGCTCAGAGAAAGTAGGCATATCTCTTAGGGAGAAGGATTTTTGTGGTAAACCCAAAATCAAGCCAGTGAGACAGCCACTTATGCATGAACCACACATGCATGGACTAATCCATGGCTCTTTAGTCCCCCAAAGAGAAAAGTCCCAACAAGAGTGCAGAAGGCCTGTTCTGCCCCACTTCATGCCCAGTCCCTCCTAGCACCAGTGCTGCCCTCGTGAACAATGCACTGACCCATCCGAGAGGCTACAGAGACCACAAAAAGGGCTCACAGGGAAACTGCTGGTCACTGCGCAGAGCTCCACAGCCCTAGTACCCAAAACACAGCAGAGGTGGGAACTGCAGAGAGATTCTCCTCTGCTTTTTCAGCAGAGCAGCCGAGGCTGAGCCCAGGGTAAAAACACGGTGATGGTAAAGTCTCTGGCCTCATACTGGACTCGAGAAAGAAACATTCTTACTGTTGAACTTGCATTAGCCACTGCTGGGCTATGAAGAGTTTAGTACTCAGGTCTCTGGGGCATATTTCAGAGTATCTTATTTTCTTGTTAATAAATGTGCACATGCTAATAGTCAAATATAGAGAGATAGAGGTGGTGTTCAAATATAGAGTGAATATTTTGTTTTAAAAATATTTAATAATGAAAGGCACATGGCCATTAATCCTCCTCGAAACCCCTCCTCCTCACTTTGAACACAATTTCATCCTTCTTGACACTTCCTGGTGCAGCTCTGCAAGTCCTCTTTCCTGTCTTCACAAGGTGTGATAAAAATAGAGCGAGTGTGGCTGCTGACGTCACCCAACAGGAAGGCAGGCTCATAACGACATTATCATTTGTCGTCATCTAATTATTCACTGGACCTGGCGCTCTATAAATCCTGGCCTTTTTCCAAAGTCAAAATGACCATGAAAGGCAAATGTCTGAATCAGTTCAGGATATCAAGGCATCCAGGACAATGCAAGTAAAGACACTGAAGAAAGAGGACTCCAGAGCTGCTCCAGAAGGGGGCCAGAGTGACGGGATCTGTGTGTTCAAAGTGAGAGGGGGCATTTTGATGGGGATGGACGAACGGTAATCTTTTACCGCAATAAATTTTTTCAAAGAAATTTAAACATTCACTGTCATTTTTCCATCACACCACATAACGATTAGGGAAAGCATCTGCATATCTGCCTGAAAAGAGTACACATATTTTCCTGTAAGGAAGTCTTCTCGTTGTAGACCTGTAGTCGAAATATCCACACAGCCACCTCACCCACAGTGCAGGAAGTAGTCTCTGTCTCACAGAAAGGAACCCAGCGACCAACCTGTCACAAGGCTGATGAGCAGTCCTGCCAGAATGCACCCAATGCAGCCCACTGCGCTGTAGTACAGGTAGGACAGCGAGTACCAGGTGTCGGCGAGCTGGGGCCTGCAGAGGACAATGGCCGGTGTCAGCAGCTGCCCCTGAGGTTCTGCTCCTCACAATGCACAGCGCTGCTCAAATTCCTTTCAGAGCCTCATGTAGCTTAAAACCCCAGTGCCTCCCATTGGACCTTTCGGTTCTTTTTGAAAAGATAACTGGAGTGCAGACTAGGTGTGCTTTGTATGCCACAGAGTATAACTCACACCTGACTCACAAAGGTGCGATGTATGTATGAAATGACAAGCACTGCAGGAGGATCTCACTGTCTGTTCCTTTGGTATCATTCAGTCCTCAGGTATTTATGAAGCCTGTATTTAATGCCAGGAATTTCGACAGACATTTGCCTGCATAAAGGCACTAACACAGAAACATAAAGTGAATCTGATCGGTGCCTGGGAGGAGCAGGCACAAAGGACTCGGAGAGCAACCAAAAAGCACACAAATCCCAGGCTGAGGCAGCAAATGATGCCCCGCTCAGTCCTAAAGAAGAGTTAGTGATCAATCAGAAGACAAGGGTAGACAGGGGATAAAAGTACACGAAAGAGGGAGGAGCTGTACGGTGGGCTGGGAAGTACAAATAGCTTGATATCATTTGAGTAAAATTTATGGAGAAGGAAAACTCTGAGGAAAGTGAAAAGTAAATTAACAGAAGGTCCGTACTGGGTAGCAAGGACCCCTGTTCCGTTTTCCATGCTGACTTCCACCACATGTCCCAAAGCAGGAAAAATCTCTTAGGAAATGGCTCCAAGGAGCTGGCACTTTCGATAAAGAGAGCCTTCCACATATCTTTGTGCAGAAGAGAAAGAAAAGGCAACTGAAATTCCTGGGAAGCTTTGACTGAGTTAGGAAGGATGCCAACACAGGCTCAGCAGCAGATCCATGTGAGAACAGGTCAAACTTCCCTTCTCCCTCCTGTAACGACGTTTTGGCTGTAATGTTACAAGGTCCTAGGAGACCAAGACTGAAAGGCTGATTGCTTAATTTTACATCTCGGGGGGAGGGGGGAATGCCCCTTTAAAACCTGGCAGGTATGAAATGTGAGTGCTTTGGTCCATCCTATAATAGATGTCCCAGAAGAGGACCCACCTATCATTTATAAAAATGCCCCCCTCTTTTAATGCCCAGTAAGAATATGAGTGAAACTGAGATAAGGAAGCCCTCTTCTATGCTGTAGAACCTACGCTGCCTACAGACCTCTCCCCAGGCTCAGAATCACCAGGGCAGGACCACGTGGCATCTAGGAAATGAAGATTCCTTACTGCTCACAAAGGTGAGCCATAGGATGAGGGTAAAGACCAACCCTAATTTCTTCTGGTGAGGAAGAAGGGAGTAGAAGAAGTCAAATCGATTTTGTGTTTTCTTCATCCAGTTTCCCTTCTACAAACATGGAGGAATACCACACAACCTCAAGGAGTTCATGGTGTAGTGAAGTCACAGAAGAAAGTGATTACAAAGCAAGAGTAAAGAGAGGAAAGGGGAGAAAAAGAAAGGAAGGAGAGAAGAAAATATAAGATAAAACAGTAGTAGACTACAGTTGGGGGCACACAAGGGTGGTCCACAAACTGCTGTAGGAGGCAATGGCTTCTACTTTATTAGTGATTTTACACTAGAGCTTCAAGATGTGAATGTTATAGAAAAGTTTTAAGAATAGAAGGCTAATTGGTTTAGAACAATTCTTTTCAAACCCTGAGAATCTGAAAGAGAAGTCACTATATATCTTATGGAGAAATGGGCTTCCTAATGCTCTTAAAAGAGGAACAGACTCTGAGAAAGTAGAAAGAAAGATTAAAAGGTATTCCTTTAAAAGCAAGATGGGCCAGGGATTTAGCTCAGTGGTTCCACCTCCTGCCTTGTAAGCGCAAGGACCCGAGTTCGATCCCTGGTACCAAAAATAAATAAATAAATAATGAATTTTAAAAAACAAGAGCTTGGTTAGAGATTTAAAGGTAAGAGAGTAAAAGAAGCAGAACCTAGGTGGGAAAACGTGCAGCCATTGGACGGTCTCCACTGTGTAAGATGTCCTGTTCCAGGGTGAAGAGTTTGTCCTCTGCGACAGGCACTTGGGGCATTCAAGTGAAATCGGGGCGGCAGTCATGACTCCGGTGAGTACATGAAGGTAAGCTGCTGAGTGGGCACTTTGGCTACGACAGATTAGAAGGGGAACAGGGGCAGAGAAGGGGTCCGGAACAAGAAGGTACAATAACTTCACTTTCCTGGACTTTACAGCTATGGACACAATCCCAAGAAGAACAAAGACGATGAAAAAGAGGAAAGGCTGGGCCTAAAAATCATCAGAAATGTAATTTGTGAAATGGGCTGGAAGGTTTTAGAAGGCTGGACTCAGAGGGCATTAAACAGTACAGAGAAGTATTGATGAGAACTGAAAAGGGCTGCCTGAATCCAAAGGACTTCTCCGGAAGCAACCAGAAATCCTGCACTTCCCATATATCCATAACAAAATAATTACATAGTATAAGATTTGTATAGATAGGATTTCATCTAATTTATCTATCATTTAATCCTCACTAAACTAACTGAATTAGATGTCGATATGCTTAGGTTTTAGTCAAAGCCTCCAAGAATTTCAGGAGTGAAAAGTTGATGATTTGTCTACAATAGAAAGTAGGTAAATGGTAAACCCAAAAATCCAAGTCCAATACTTTTTTTAAATTTCAAAGTCAATGGCCTTTTCCCTACACCAGAGTGTCTCCTATATTTGAGCATCGCTGATCATTTTCCCTGATGAGAATTAGATGAGAAACTCTTTTGTTAACCCCTGTGCTCATGCAGTCATCAAACTACAGGTTCACAGCAGCTCCCCCAAATCCACACCCACACTGCTTCTCTCATTGCCTGCCACCTACCCCTGGGGCTGGGTGACACCTTCGAAGTCCACGTACCTGCTGGCTGGCACCAGAGGTGCCACTGTGGTCGCATTTGTGGGGACACACTGCTCCGTAGATAAAGGCAGAGGCCGAGTCTTGGAGTCTGGTGCAGGGTAAACCAAGGCCCCTATGGCCACCCAGAAGGACAAGGTGATTCCAGTGAGGAGGCCGCCCAGTGCACCCTTGGTGGGGGAAAGAGAGAGAGGCTAGTAAGACCAGACAAAGCTGTCTTCAGAGAATAATGAGACGAGGAGGCCTCATTGCTTGCAGAAGAAATACAGGAGTTAAGGAAAATGTCAGGGAATGGAGATTACTTGGTCATGTTTGATTATGAACTAGCAACAGAGAAGCTCACCAAATCCCCTCCCTCTCAAACTGTATAGGTTTTGTTTGAGTTTGACTATTAGGCAGTGGGTTGAGCGGTCTCATTGTTTGAGAGTTATAGTTCTCGAGAAATGGTGGAAAGCCAAGGGGTAATTTCTCCTGTGAGAGAAGCAAAATGCTCCAGCAGAGGCCAGGACACCAGAAACAGCAGCTGGCATTTCAGGTCTCTGGTCAGAGCTGGGCCTTCTGGTGAGCAAATAATGTGCTGGCTTCTTCGTTATGCAGGGCAAACAAAACCCTTGACAAAAGCACCAGAATGCTTTCTCCACCATTGGGGAAATCAATGCCATGTGGGTGATTTGAATACTTGGGCCTTGAGTTTGACATGGGGCGGCAGGCTCCTGTGGAAAACAGTCAGGGCAGTGTTTCAGGCTCTGTGCATCACCTGATGGCTGTCACTAGGATTCAGTGGTGCCAAAGTAGCACAGAAGCAACAGCAGACAGCAGCGAAACACACGAGCCAGGCTGCCTTCCGGGAGGATTTGGACCCCGAAATCTTGAGTTCAATCTACTATTGTACTCACACATCACATTGTAGAACTTTTTATATTGAGTATACAATCCACTAGAAGTATACCACACACTAAAATCTGCATAGATTTTGAGGCTCCATAATAGCCTGCCTTTCTTATCTCCCAAGGACACCAGTATCCCTGGAGCCCAAGACCCTAACACTAACAGGACAACCCCAGACATTGTGCAAAGCCAACTCCCTCCCCAGGCCCAGGAGAGGTCGGTGACAGCCAGGGAACTGCACACACCCAGCCAGGTGAGCCGGTTCAGCATGCAGGGGGCACCCTACAGTAGGCACAGAAATAAACAGTCTAAAGACTTTCTGAAAACTACATGCATGTAAGTAGGCAGCTGACAATTCTGTTAGATTGAGAAAATTGTAATACTTTAAATATTTCTAAAATATTACTCTATTACCTTTCTAAATAAAAGTTCCTTTTAATTCTCACTCTACACGGTCATCCGACCAATACCTACTTGTGAACATGTCATTCGCTTGCCAGGCGAGTACTGTGGAGAAGCCACAGGGACAGAAGGAACCCTGGCCTGTCCCTTCACCCCTACACAAATTGATGAATTAGCTTAATAAAATTAGTTATTTTGGGTAACTAGAGAAAAAATGAAATTTACATGGATTTTCAAATTTTGAGTTTTTAAAATTATATTTTAACAGACTATTTCTGCATCCACTTCATTTTTAAAGTTCATTTTGTGAGCCTTTAATTCAAGTTAATGTCACCGCAAAGAGTCAGTTTTGATAGATTCAGTGACACACTGTAGCCCGTGAACTCCTTTTCCCTTCTTTGTTTCTTGTTCCTAAAATGACTTCTCTGAAGTCAGATACAGGAGGATTCTGGTTTTATTTAAACTCTGTCATGGCCTCTCCCAGGCAAACACAAATCACTTTTCCAGGGGGGATGACAGGAGCAGGAAGGGCCAGGGCCCAGGCTGAGGGTCTGAGCATGGGCAGGAGGATGCAGGGTGCTTACCTTCCAGTTCACGAACGGGAACAGGAGTCCCAGGGAGAACAAGCCCAGCATGGGTCCCCCACACATGCCGTGGATGCTGAGTGAAGCCTGCGGGACAAAGAGACCCAGGAGTCACCTCTCACTGCCTCTGCCCCCCGACCGGCCCGCCTCGGACCTGGGATGACGCCAGGCCCTCCTTCTCAGCACGCCGTTCATCGGCCGCCTATCTCCGTGAGCGGCTGCGGGTCCAGAAAAGTGTGTGCACACCACGCCTGCACCTGCATTGCTGTGATGGCTAAATTCCAGATGGAATGTTAGGGAACTCGGTGCCTCCGATCTGCCTTTGACAAGAGAGGTGAAGGTGACATTCGCGATTTTGCCCTTAATGTTCTTGGCACTTCCTCTGCTGTTGGATGATAACATTAATTCATAATTCCTGCAGTTACTAAATTTGGAATCTATGGCCTATTGTATAGACAAGTCAATGCCATAGTGAATACATGTATCTTCCCTTATGGAAAAAAAATTGACACGCTTTCCCAGAGCCGTTAAACACCATGCCTCAGGGTAAAGAAGAAGGCTGTACATGATCTCAGGGAAAGAAGGATCCAAGTGTTTCTGCATTTACATGTGTGTATACATTTACATATTCAATATCTCATATATGTATATAGTAATACAGAAGAAAATTTTGATTTTTACCCTTTTCGTGCCATATTCACATTCATTTGGAGGAAGACTTAAAGCTCAGCTAACTGGACTTCCTCCCCAAAGCTCACGTCTAATCTGTGATATTCCTGCAAGCGGAGGCAGGCTGAGAGGTGAGTCTGGCTTCGGACTGTGGTGGGCTTGACCACCATTACCGTCACTGCAGTCTGTGCCTCCATTTCTCATTACAAGGGGGCACCGCAGTGCCTGCTGAGGCTTGGCTTGGCTTTGGTCATCTTTTGGGGAATATTCAGTGTAGAATCCAAGGAAAGGCACAAAGTGACACTGGACCCTGAAGCTCACAGGGGCTGGGGAATGAGTGCTGCTCTTCCTGCACCTGCCATTACCTGCCTCCCTTGCTCCTGAGTGCTGACGTCGGAGCCATGTGCTCTGCTCATTGGAATGCGCTGAGATCTAAGGAGCGCTCTCCCAGGTTGGCATAAAGGTGAATCTCAAAGCCACCACTGACCCACAAAGAGCCAGCCGGCAGCACTCAGGACAGACAGCAGCCTCTTGGGAAGAGTGACTTCCCCACGGAAGCACTGCCCACTACTGGAGCCCAGGAGTGCTGGCTGCTGTCTGATTCCACCCTCCCAGCCCTCCTGTGAAGGGTCCACATCACAGAGTCGGAGTGAGACAGGTGCACTCACTGCTGAGTCCCCAGAGCCCTTGACAGGCTGGAGTGTGTGTTGTGTACCTGGCGGGGGTGGAGGTGGGGGTGCAGTGTGTTTCAGTCTGGGACCATGGAAAGTGGCTCCTCCAGTGTGGGAACACCACATAGGATGTTCTGTGCAACAGATCCGACACATTCTTAAAGCAAAGCATCACCCCAGTGCTGCAGAAGCAACACAAACTAAACCCCACACCCCACAAATACACACCATAAATATAGGACCAGTTGGGGGAGCATGAGATGAAACCTAGCTTTCTCTGCCCCTCAGGCTGTGGGAGTGGGATTCGTCTTTTTTCCATACGGAAAAGCAGAATGTGAGTATGGGTTCATGAAAGCCGATGGGACAAAGCTGTTTGGAAAATGAAATAGGCAGATTGCACAGGTCTTTCTCTATTCAGAAAAGTCAGATGAGCTCAGAGAAATGAGTGGACTTTCTGAGACGGAGTCAGATCGGGTTCTTATCTCTTGCACACCAGTGTCTTCTGCACTGTATGAACTGCATGGCACACATTTTAGTCCATCAAAGAAGGGCCCCGATCCTCCCCTGAATGGGCACAAGGAGGAGAACGCTCCCCACACCGCCCCACCTGACAGAAGCATTTTTCCCCCCAGTCCTCGCTGTTCTGCCCCTTCAACCCCCACTAGCTGCAAAGGCAAAAACCTCTGAGGATAAAGGGTCAGTGACTCCAATTACCACCAAGGTGGAAGGGTGACACTCCTTTAAGGGTAAACGCTGGGCTGGGGATTTAGCTCAGTGGTTCCATCCCTGCCTGGCAAGTGCAAAAAACAAACAAGCAAACAAACAGAAAAAAGGAGTAAATGCTAATTGCAATGAAAAAGAGAAAGCAAAGAGCACAAAGCCTCAGAGGAGATTCGGAAATAGTCCCATAAATCAGGAAAAATGAGCCTTCAAAAATGCTCATAAGGTCACTAGCAAGCTCCAGTTCTTCTGTGGGGTCAAGGAGCTTTTGCGGTGCCCCAAACCCTGTGAAGGTTACCAAAACTCTGCCATAACAAGGCCAGCTCCGGCTTTTTAGAGAAGACACCAGATTTCTAGTGCCAAAAGGTCTTATGCTGACAAGCAAATTATCACATCACATACCTTTCCCAGACTTGTTCCTGAACTGTAAAAGGGAAATAATAAAACCTGCATAAGCAGCCTTTTGGTAGGGTCTGCTCCCAAAATGGGATGCCATTCAATAAGTCGTTGCTTACATTACTGGTGACCTGGATTCTATAAGTAACTGCATTACATTGTATTACTAGCAATCAACGAATTTATGGACTGTATTCTATAAATTGTTATTACTATACACTATTAGGTGATTGCTATCTGCTCTGACTTGTGTTTTCAACTAAGCCACATTTATTTCTTTTTGTTCATTTGCTTTTTGGTACTGGGAATTGAACTCAGGACCTTGAGCTTGCAAGGCAGGCATGGTGCCACTGGGCTAAATCCCCAGACATTTTCGGTTTCTTCATCTACAAAAATGGTGCATCAGTTACACCGCCTCTTACAGGCGAGAAGAAGACTAACCAGGTAGAACGTCTAACCCTGTACCTAAACACACGAAGACAGCACGTGTGTAAATGGCTGTTACTGTTTTTCTATTTTGAATGGTTTTCTCAGGATTCAAAGGGGTTTCTAATTTTAACAATGTATTTCATCATTATCCTATACTAGTTGTAATGGTTTTTGAAAGCCATTTTGTTGAGATTTAACATGTTCATCTCGTTTGGAGCCGGTGTGCATAAATGGGAGCCCTGGGGCTTGGGGACAGAGGAGACACATGAGACCAGAGAGAGGAGAATGGCGTGTGACAACGCGACTTTCTGCTCCACGCTACCTGCACGACGCCCCCCAGGAGGGAGGCCGCCACGGCCATGGATGTGCACAGGACGCCGAACAGGAGACCTGGAAGAGAGAAGATGTGTGAGCACACACCTCCCCAAGACTGACTTGCAGGCGTCCGCTGAGCCCCAGCCGGAACTGTGTCCTATCCCAAGAGACAGCAGTGGGGATCCAGCTCGATGTGCTGCCATCTCGGGTACTTAGGACACCTCTCGGGCAAGCGCACGCTCTTGGGTCCAGCAGAACGAACAGGATTTTCTCCCTAAGACTCCAGAAACCTGTTGCATGCCTGCAATGGGGAGATATGGAAAGGGACGGAGCATATCTGGGCTACATGAGTGGGGTTCACTCTGGGTCAACAGTTCAACAGCTCCAAGGGCAAGGAAGCTACTAACCTCCTTGGAAATCAGCCAGATTTTCACTTTAAATGTCCAAGGAACACGTGACACATTCTCCTTGTGGGTTTGCAAACCCGGAAAGCTTTCCTGGTTTTTCCCTTTAGTGTTTTGTTCACACCGTCGTCAGTGTCCTCAGTAATATCACATAATGATTGCTTTGTTCACCCCGGGCACATCAGTTAGTGCATTCAATGAGTTTAAGATCTCCGTTAATGAAGTAGTGGCTATTTTGGGTCATTTTTTTAAAGGTGATATCTGCTGTAAATGATCTTTTAAAACTATCACTGACTTCTATGTACACATCTTTGTTCCAAAATCACCTTAGAAGTACTTCTAAGTGTGTCTTGCATTCCCATATTAACCATAAACTACAAAAAGGGGAGGCAGGCAAAGATGGGGAGCCAGAGATAGACTCAGTGACAGAAATGCAAAGAAACCTGCTTTGCTCGTGCTCTCTGAGCTCCACGCCAGCAAAATGCCCAGCTCAGATCCCAGTGTGATGATGGGAGCAGATGAATTGAATTCTGACCAAAGGTTGGAGCCCAACCAGGTACCACCGCTATAAGGTAAGGACTTGATTCCTACCCCAAGGGCCTCACATTCTAACACAGGGTTACACACCATCAGTGAACTCATCCAACAGTGTCCCTGAATCAGTCTATCCAGAGGTGTCCTGCCACTGTGTGCCAGGTGTTTGGCATTTCTGCATTATCATTTCATTTCCAGTTTAGTATACATTAATTGATCAGGTATTTATGATGACAGACTCATTCTTTGAATCAGGCTAGTGGCATCTGATGCCATGTTTTCTAACAATTCAATCAGCAAAAGAAAAACACATGCTCACAGTAGCGCCATAAACCAAGAGTGACCAACAAACACCTGTCAAAATTCTAATATGGTTCCCGTCATCTTTAAATGCATGGGTCAGATGAGAGGAAAGAGTGCTTGCCCTGACTCTGTGTGGCTTCGTGTACAGGGAGTGTCCCGTCTGCCTGAAGAGAAGAAAGGAACGGTTTTCTCTTTCCTGCTGTCTGTTCTCTTGCTGGACCAGCAGTTACCTGTTCAAATGAGACTTTTGGGAAGTCTTCCTTGAATTTTCATTCCCTGCTAGTTGTACTGATGAAGAACTGATTTCAACAGTCTGAAAAAGGGGGACTTTGGGGGAAATTGGGAGTTTTGTGGTTCCAGATGTTCCCCAGGAGACTGTGCAGAACTATTGGAAGGGGATCAGATTACGGGGCTGCCTCTGACTTGTTATTAGGAGTTGGGGCCTGGCTGGAAGGCAGCCCCTGAGGCAGGGCCAAAAGGGTCCCTCTGCCTCCAGGATCCTCCCTTGACCACTCTCCTTCCCTGAGGCCACCCCTGGGCAGCTGTCCTCCCCCAGACCCCTCCCCCATGCCATGCTGCCTTGGAGCCTGAAACCTCTACAAACCGTGAGCCAAAATAAATGGCCTCTTTTGCGTTGTGGGTGTCAGGTATTGTGTCTCAGCAATGAGCAATGTGACATGTACAGGATGCCCCTGAGACCCAAAGTGTATCACCCCACAAACAGAAAGAAAATGGGAAAGAAAAACTCCCACCTCCCACGTGCCATTAGTGCTAACTCAGATTGTGAGCAGAGAAAAGCAATTGTTAGCAGATAGGTAGCTGGCACCCCTTGACTCCTTTCCAGCTATGTTCCATGAGACAATGAGGCCAAGGAGGGAATGAGTACGTTAATCCAAAAGCTCAAATACTCAAATAGAGTCTAATTTCTGGAAACAACTCAACAAAAAACCAAAATAAAAAACAGCATTTAAAGTTGTCAGTTTCAGTCTGATGGAAGAATACCCAAGCTCACTAAAGCAAGGAATCATAAGTTAAGAGAAAATAAATGTGATTCTTTTAAAAGTAAGAGAGACTGTAACAACACACAGTTTGGATGATGGTGCCTACAAGGAAACTAACAACCAGGATATTCCTAGAAATTTCACTTCTAGCATTTTACCAAAAAGCAATGAAAATATGCTCACAAAAGGACTTGTGCAAGTCTTCATAACGTCCTCAGACTGGGCCTGCATAGGTCCCTCCATGGAAGTGCAGCTGGCTTTCCACTCCCAGGGCCCCACATCCACAGCTTGAGCCAACTGTGAGCTGATGATATTTTCAAAAATGTATCTGTACAGAATGCATACAGACTTCTTCTGTCTTACTCTTTCGGGGATCGCCACAGTGTGGACACTGTAGTATGTACTGCAAGAGATCTTGAGGTAACTGAAAGTACAATGTAGGATTGCAGAAGTTGTATGCAAATACTACTTCATTTTATATGAGGAACTTGGGTATCCTTGAACTTTGATATCCTCAGGGTACCTGGGAATCAATCCCTTGTGGATACTGAGGATTGGCTATCAATAAATACAAAAGCACAAATAGGACCTGTCGTTCCCTGATGTCCACATATCTGATGTCTGCGTATCTGGGCTATCCATACATCAGCAATGAAAAGAGAAGAACAACAGATACACGCAGCAACATGCATAATATAAATCTCAGAAACGTTATGCTGTGAAATTAGTCTCTTTTGTCACAAAGAAAGAATGGGTACGATGTGATTCCACTTGTATGAAGTTTGAGTAAAGGTGAAATTAGTCTATAACAGAAAAGAACATATTACTATTGCTTCCAGAGAGCAATGGGAGGAAAGGATTCATAGAAAAGGCACAAGAGAAGGTTCCAGGGTGACAGCAGTTCAGCTTATCTTGAAACGTAGCTGGGTTACGCGGTAAATGCATTTGGCCAACTGAGCAAATCTACATTTAGCATTTGTTTATCTCATGGTAGGTGACTTTATTTTACACTTCTGTAAACAACTTGAATCAATACTGAATTTTGTTAACAATACACATGCTAAAATGATCAGGGGGAAATGTGCTGATTTCTGCAATTACTTTCAAATAATTCAAAAGTGTGATGGGTTAAAGAGTGGACAGAGGGCTGGATGCGTGGGTAAAAAGCAAGTTTAGGAAGCCTCCAATGGGGAATTCATACGTGGGATATATGAACTCATGAGGAAGTCTTTTCAACTTGGCCATCTAGTTACTTTTTTAAATAAAATATAAAGAACAACACACAATAGCTGAATTAATATTATTATTATTAAGAGATTTGGATTTTTATTTCCAAATAACACTGAGAAATCATGAGTTCTTTAAGTGTATAAAGAAAAATAGTCATTAAAAAAGGAGAGAAGGGGGGGAAGAGAGAGAGAGAGAGAGAAAGAGAGAGAGAGAGAGGAGGAGGATGTGTAAAACAAGCAACTTATATTAGAAGAACAATAAAAAACAAGAGGAATCCTAGCTACTAGGAAGTGCACAAGAGGATGGTGAGCTTGAGACCAAACTAGACAACATAATCAGGCACCATCCTAAAACCACAAATAAATAAATACATGTAAACAACAACAGAGCTATTAATATTTACCACCAGTAGCTATGCTTCCTACAAAAACCAATTTAAACTTTGTGAATCAATAGGATTTAAGTAAATGACAAAAAAGCTTCCATCTATTGATAATAAAAGATATTACAGGAAACGTATCTTCTCATAATAACAAGGAAGGGAGGAGGAGGAGGAGAGGAAGACGGAGAAGAGCAGAGGGAAGGAGGAAGCAGGGGAGGTGAAGAAGGGAAATAGGCCTATAATCCAGATGTCAGTTAAAAACTATATCATCAGATGGAAAGAAAAATCAGTGCTTCTGCTGAGCAGAAAGCTTACAAATAAGCCCGTTCTTTCCAAATCCACTTTCAAGTCTCACATGATGCCATGGAAAGGGGAAGGGAGGCAGCGGACAGCTCATATGTGCTGCATTATTTTGTAGTTAAGCTAGAAGGGTGACTAGACAGAGACAGCCAAAGAATTGTTTATAAATGAAGGTAGCAGGAGAAAGAACTTCAACTTTTAACCTAAAATTCATAAATTGGTCTACCAGATATCTTAAAATACTACAGAGCTGTAACATTAAAAGATGGTGCTAGTCCTGAAACCGATGAATAATTTAAGGAAAATAAGTATACAATAGAGCATAGAGCTTTATATTCTACATTGTTATTAACAAAAATATTAAAAACCAGTGAGGGATACTGGTTAAAAATTGGGAAAAAAGCACTAAAATCTTTATCTTAAAGCATAAAGAATGAATATAGATATATCAAGTATTAAATATGAAATATAAAAATCGATTTGCAATGTAGGATTTATATATAAGTAAATATATGACTGAGGCTTCACGGGAGTAAATTTACAAGTATAAATAAATAATGAGAGTAAAAGAGATGATACATATATTTGCTAAAATATAAAATTAAAATTTCAGCATATCAAAAATATGTTTTAGAGAAGTAAGCTGGGAGACATTCTGCAGCAGACATGTAAAGTCCATTAATTCTTCATATATAAAGAAATTTTAAATACAAAAGAATTTGTAGTAAGCAGAAAGTATAAACAGATTTGTCACAGAAATACAAATGTTACTTGCCATTTGGAAAATATATGACTGCATGATTAATCAAGAAGTAAGTTAAAATTTTGATTTTATTTATCCATTAATCTGGATAATATGTAAAAATCCCACATGACCTGTGATTCCCCCTCCTGGACTTCTTTCTTACTAAGAATTAGGAAATGCCAGGGCCTTGGTGCTGTTTAGCCTGAAGTTCTTTCAGAAGCTCACACTGAGGAAAAGTCCTACAGACACAAAGATTTATGTATATGGGTCTTCAATCACAGCACTAAGAAAAACAGAAGAATTTAAAAAGGTAACAGTAACATAAAATTAAGCAAATAGGTTATTTCGTAGAATATTAGTCAATCATTCAAATATAATTATTTCCAAAGAGTACATAAGAACACTGAAAAGGGTTCTCTATAGCTCCTCAGGGAAAAATAACCAGGAATAAAATCGTGCATCTATATATTTCTATTCCCAAATTATATTTTCTCAAATTACCTGCATTTTTCTATATTACATAAATAAAATGTGTAATTTGTTTGTACTTTAAAAGGACAACCTTGTAAAGTACAATTTAATATGATAAGTGCTTCAGCGATTCGAATCTCATTATGTAAATTTATCGTTACAAAAAGAACCATTATTCTTTGAAGGGAGATTATTGGGAGCTTGGTTTTAAGAAAAGAAGTTGGCTTTCATCACCAGAGGACGACAGGGCCGCTCTGAACAGGGACTGATGGTCAACCCCGCATAACGGGAAGGAGCAGGCGTGCACGCAGGTGTAGAACGTGTGTGGCACGGTGTGTGTGCAACGAGAAGTGACAGCACCGCCTTGGGAAGAGTCCCTGCGCCCCGGGGGAGTGCGCGCGCAGCCCCCGTGACTCCCTTTCCCTGTGGACTTGAAGGGCACACGCGGGACTCTGAGACGCTCCCCGGTGCGTTTCCCCGCAGAGGAGGGAAGACTCGCCGGCTGTACCTACATAAGCCTTTACTGGTCCAGGTGCTCGTCCTGTCTGAGAGACGCGGAAAGCAGCTCTTGACAAAATCCTCAAAGGTCACGGTCGCTAAGGCATTGATGCTGGCAGCCACGGTGCTACAGGGAGAGGAGAGCAAGAACACGGTCCCAACCCTGTCGGGCTGAGGCAGCAGCCTGCCCAACCATGCATCCAGGGACCAGCCGGGGTCTGGGCACACAGACGCGGACACGTCCGTGCTCTGGAGCTGCACGCTGAGGGCGAGCGCCGTCCACTCTCGTGTCGGACTTCTGTGCTAAGCTCTTTCCCTTCTGCTACTAGGCCTCAGAGAAGCTAGGCTTCATGTCTGATTCCACTGACTCATCTTGGCCAGTCTGCAAGTCGGCAGGGTGTAGCAGAACGATTGTATGTGTGTGCTCAGGGTGCGCTGCAGGCAGGAAGTAGAGAGCACGAAGGAAAATGCTGGGATGCCAGGGAAGCATCACAGAGACCCAAACCAACAGCAGGAAGAGTTCCCTTTAGGAGATGGCAGCTAAAGCAAGGTGCAGGGAACGTCCACGCAGAGGCTGGAGGATGTCGAGGACGAAGGGAAAAGTGCGTGCAATGACCAAAGGTGGAGAGGAGCCTGTTGTTTCTGCAGCCTGAAGCCAGCAGGGCGGGATGGGGTCAGAGAGAAAGGCAAATGGCAGGGACTGCGAGGGAGCAAAGCCACAAGTGCAGAAAATGTTCCTGTCTGCTCTCCAAACCGAGTCCGGGCTTGTTGGGCCTGGAACTTTCTCAGAATACCTGCAAGCTGGGGCTTTCTTTGCAGAAAAGCATGACAGCTTATTTACTTCCTCCTCCAGACTAGGAATATTTTAGATCATAAAATGCACAACTGTGTTAAATTCAAGGGGTTCAAAAAACCACAAGAACTCACTGCTTTAAATTGCATAATAAAATAAAAATTTCTGCTGTCACTTTAATTTTCAATGTTTTTAAAGTACATTTATGTAAGATAAATAGCAAAAGTACTTTAAAAGAAGAGAACAAATCAAAATACTTACAAATATATTTATTTGAATAGAGCCAAGCTTCAGAAAATCAACTAAAATAATAGAGGGGAAGAAAATCTAGGTGTCAGGAAAATTCCGCCAAAGAAACCTAATGCACAGATACAAACCTCTCAGAAATCAGATCATATCTTAAAGCATGACCATTAAATTATTGGGATGCTCACACTACAGACCGACAGATCAAAGGAAGATAAAAGTGAATCTTAAAACATTTCTCAGAGACAAAGTAGCACTTCAAGTCAGCGGTGGCACTGAGGTGAGTTCAGCAAAGTACGGGTGTGGGGCTCCCTTGTATGGGGGGCTCCAACCATCTCTCAACCCCAGATGCCAGGCTTGAAACTTTAGGGTTTAATGCTGTCTCTACTGGGTCTTAGTCTTGCCTTGAACCAATCTCTCCTTAGTATTTTCCTGTTCCCTTTTTGGAAATGGAAAGAAAGACCCTGTGTCCGTATCTTGAAAGTATGCAACTTTGGTTTTTCATTTCACAGGCTACTCAGCTGAGTTGGCCTTGCATCTCAGCGGACTTTCGACATGGACTTTGGAGAAATACTGACACATTTAAGATGCTGGGGCCTTTGTGATGGGATGAATGCATTTTACCTTGCCAGGTAGACGTCCCCTTTGGGGACAGAGATAAGAGGCTGTCAGTTCCTGGGTTACAGGCTTGCTGTCCCAGGGTGTGGTGAGAGCTCTGAAAGGCGTGGTGCAGTCAAAGGACCTCCGGTCACGGGAGGATGATTTGGGGGCCCTGGCCATTTCTGTCTCTCTCTTCTGCTTCCAGGACCCTGAGATCAGTGGTTTTGTCCTGCAATGTGCCCCTACCATGACCACTGCATCCTCATAGACTGGAAGCTCCCAAACTAAGAGCCAAAATGAACCTTTTCACCTTATACATTAATTACCTCAGATATTCAACTATAGCAATGGAAAGGTGACCAATTCAGCACTGGCAAGTCTGAGAGAATAAGCAAAAAGTTCTGGAGGAGGGGGAAGAGCTAGGCCTACATCCCATTGCCACTGTTTTCTGCTTCACTCTGGACCAGTTGTCTACTTGGTAAATCTCAGTTTCCTTATGCTGAACTGATGATATGCAAGTAAAGCTTCAATCTCTTATGCTTGTGACAACCAGCAACAAGTCAGTGCAGAGGGTGGCATGCAGCAAGTGCTCAGGAGGTGGTTCATCACCACAACCATCATCATCACAACCATCACCTTCACAACCATCATCATCACCACAACCATCATCATCATCATTGCCCTCGTCGCCGTCGGTGTCCTGTAATATACTGACCTCAGAGTTCCACTGAAAGCACAGGCCACAAAAAGTCCTGGAAGCCCTGGCATGGTGTCAAATATCTCCATGACAAAATACGGCATCAGCTGAGGAGGAAGCAGAGCAGGGAAGAAAGAAATTAAAGGTTTTCTCAGCAGAATCTAGAAGGTAGAGAAACAACTTTTTAGCAGTGGGAGGTAGGAACTTTTCTTATGTTTTTTAACCTATCCCACTTCTTATCTGTTCCCTCGAGTTTAGCCCTTAGAGCCTTAAAAAGTGGCTGAGATGGGCCTTAGGGAACACGGTGCCTCTGCTCCTCTCTGTAGCTGGATGTGACGGGAAGGAAGCCTACGGGATGGAGCTGCAGAGCTGCAGGCGCAGGCAAGGGGAAGGCCTTCTCTCCGGAGCACGTGCTCTGTAGAGGGCCTAGGAAAACTGCATTTAACCCAGGAAGGCGACGAGAGGTGTACACTGTGCTGGGAAGACAAGAGCACGGGGATTGTGGACATCAGGGGCGTTTATTCAGTATTAGATTGCAGCTTAATCACAACCTGGAAGCTTGTAGAAAGAGAGTGCATAGCAGCACTGACAACCAAAGCTATAGGCTCCAGCCTACCTCCTGCTCTCCCCCACTGCAACCAGCCTTCAGGCCCGGGCTCGGACAAAGCCAGGTGTCTTTCTTTCATTTCCTTTTCTTCTTTTTCTCCTGCTTGTGGTGCTGCACATCAAACCTAGTCCCTCACACTTGCTAGGCAGCAGCTCTCTGTCCAACACCCCAGCCTCTCACGATGTATGTACTCCTGGTACACACACACACACACACACACACACACACACACACACACACACACACTTCCTGTTATAACCGGGAATGGCTGACATCCCTGGAGGGCAGAGGAAAGAAGCCCAGTCCTGGAGGTCAGAGAACTGGCTAGAGGAGCAGCTAGAACACATGAGGGGCTGGGTAAGACCCCCTGCACCCAGGAACTCATACCTGGTCCGGTGCGGAGATGGTGCCAGAAGTCCAAGGGTCGCAGTCTTTGAAATAGGAGTACATGATTAACCCGGAGAAGACCGCGCACAGCAGAATGATCCAGAGACCCAGCAAGTTAAAGTACAAGGCGCTGGAAAAGAGCACATGGCAGGAGGTAGCTGCAAGCCACAGTGTGAGGTCATTACTAACGACTCAATGCTAGGTTTGGGGGGCCTTTTATTTAGCTTACACGAATCATTATATTTTATGCTTTTTTTTTTTTTTTTGGTTTTTTGACACAGGGACCCATTATGTAGTTGAGACTGCCCTGGAACTCACTATGTAGCCCAGGCTGGTCTCAAAGTCGCAGTGATCCTCCTGCCTCAGCCTCCTGAGTGTGGGATTACAGGTATGACTTAACATGCCTGGTTCATATTTTATACTTTTGCACTGGGAAGTATATTGCATTTTAGACTATTTACCAAAGTCAAGTAAAGTGATGCTTTGGATGGATTTTATTTTAAAATGGAGATTTCTCTTTTCTTTTACAAGATCTCAGTGTGTGTGGTAGGAGATCTATTTTCTTGGATGGAATTTCACATACCCATCATTCATATTATGTAACTTGATTTCCCCTCAGCTGAATTCATGAAACTGTCAAAAACCCAAATTACATTTTAGCGTCTTTCTTCCAAAGAGATAATAAGATAATACAGAAATAGACAAGTTATGGAAATACAGCACTCACTTTGGAAATTAATTTGGGTCAGAGTTAAAGTTGCATTTTTACAAATGATAGTATAAACAATTTAAGATTATCCTGTCCATATGACTTGGAACAACTCACTTTTTTCCTACAATACACAGATATTCACAATTCCAGCTGGGTGCCTGTATAATATTCTATTCTGATTTTCTACTCATTCCATCCGTTGCAAGTCAAAATCCTACGCATATTCCCAACCCCAGGGAGATCTGAACCCAGGTGGTTCTTAATGAGGCCTAAAAGCATAAACAGTGTGGAGAGGGCCCCAATGGGTCAGGACGGGGACTCTGGGCTCCTTCTTGAACCCAGGCACTGTGTTAAGGGCATGGATACTAGGGCAGCAGCCCGTTCCAAAGCCCCCCACTGCCTCCACTGCAGATCCACCTGGCTTTCACAAGAACCTTCAAAGTTCTCTACAAAAGAAACCCATCAGCTAAGCATCTCCTTGAGACAAACTTTTATTTGACATTTTCAGATGGTTTTCTCATCTCAACACTACTTCCTGGAAGCATTCTAAGCCCTGAGTTCTCTTCGTTTCTTTCTTTTTGTTCAGTGGGGTTGGGAATAAATTGCTATACGGAATGATCAACACTCATCCTGTTAGTAATCATGCTCATGACGCTCATCTCCGGCAAACTCTGTTCACCCTCTTTCTGAGGTCATCACTTAGAGACGTCTCCCTGACCACTCTTGTCTGAAAATCTCTTGTCAGATTCATGCAGTAGAAACATTTTGTTCTGATAGCATTTATGGTGAGGTGCAATATAATATAGTCATTTGTTTATTATCTGTTTCCCAACAAGCCAACGCAGTGCTACCCCTGAGCATAGCATAAAACTAACAGAGAAAAAATAAAGTTAATTCATTTTTGTAAGAAATGATGGACTGATGAAATGAGTTAATGAACAAATGGTAGAAAATCTTTATTGTATGAGTGCACTCTTTGCTGCATTTAGCTTTTTATAAGAGCTTTGGACTTGGAGTCAGGGCTTGATACTTACCCACTGTTTGACCTTGAACAAGTGACCTAACATCCTGTGAAAAAGACTGTAACATACCTGCCACACTTCTCATTACAGGACTAATATGAGAATGGAATGAGTTACAGTCTGTGAAATAGATGGGGGCTATACAGGCATACAGAGGACATCGTGCTTTGTTTAAAAATCAATGCTATAATTTTACCAGACTATGATGGAATATGTGAAACTAATTACGGGACCGCACAGGGCATTGGCAATTGCATTTTTTAAATGTTTCTTGTTGCAAATAGACTTTGATTCTACGCAGATATAATTCTCATGTTTGAAGGTGGGCCACTTCACTAACGATATTTATTGAATATCTGTGTCTGTAAGACTCAGTTCTAGAAGCTGGGGATGCAGCAAAGGCCAATACAGAAGCCCTTCCATTCCCGGACTGCAGGCATGTAAAAACTCTGAAATGGGAGACAAATGAGATGACTTGAGATGTAAGACATATGAGGAAAATAAGCTGAGAAAAAGGGAAAGGAGCAAAAGTCACTGCGCAAGGATGTGTTCAGTTGAGCTGGGTCTTGGGCTGTTTGCAGGTGGGCCTGGTTTCCTACAGAACCCACACCTCCACTATCTTGGTCACACTCTCAGTAGCCCCAAATGTAAGCTGGTCTCGAAACAAGCGAAGTCATAAGAAAGACTTCCTAAGTGATATTCCTCAAGGCATAAGATCTGGCCTCAGATAAAGGTCTCTCTGGTGAGGAATCAGCATTTACTGCAACTCTAATGAGCTACTTCTGCTTTTACCAATGGCCACCTTCTTTCCAGACTTTATGGCTTTATTTCCAACATCTCTGTTGCTAGATGTGTTTTTCCCCAAGTGGCAGAGTTTAGTTTTTGTTTTCTCTAGGGTCCAAAGTAATGGTCTCATTATATTATACTGCTGGGTGATTAGATGACGAAGGAAGAGCAGAAGGGTTGGACCAGCATTCTGCAAAATCTGCGAGGTGAGAGTCCACAGCTGACTCGGACTGGCCTCCAGCTGTTCTGGAAGCATCATTGAGGCTGCAGTTTTGTGGTAAACAAATCTCACAGCATTTCCCCTCCAGGACAGCAGGAGCACTTAACTTTCCTGACCATTTTCTTCCTTGGATTGTGTTGTTTAAATTACATCTCCCAGGGGAAAACTTTCTAAAGTGTGTTTATATTTTATCTTTTCTCACTTTCAAAAAATTTTAATCAAAGCTCTGATCCTGGCAGAATAACAGGGCTGGCTGGGCCCTGCAGTTGTAGTCCCATATGCCCAGAAAAATGTGCACATTTTGGTCTTTATGTGTGTCTCCCCTTTTCTGATGACTTGCAGTGATTTGGGGCTTAAAGTAAACTAATCCATATAATAACACTTAGATATTTATGCAGAAGAACATGTATATATGCAGCTCACACAAACACACACACACATACACACACACACACACACACACACACTCCTCCATATGCATGTGTGTCCGTTTGTGGACAGACACACAAGCACAACCTCCTTAAAGCACTATCGTGTTTGCTAAGTGATGAATAGTAAACAGACACATTGCATTATTCTTGATGTTGTGAAGACACAGAGGATAAAAAAGACATGATTCTGACCTTTCAGATGCTAATGCATTTTTAGGGGAAAACAAAGCATATTTATAAAAATGTAGTATAAATTAATGAGATTAAAATAAAACTGAGTTTACTGGCTGGGCACAGTGACACACACCGACAGTCCCAAATACTTGGGAGGCTGGTGGGGGAAGATTCTTTGAGCCCAGAGGTTCCAAACCAACCTGGGAATCTAGCAAGATCCTATCTGAAAAATAATAAATAAGAAAAATATAAACAGTCACACACCCTGGTTTTAACAGAGAAGTTATTTCATCAGAATATTTTCTTTATAGACATATTCGACTCCAACTTATCTTAATAACACATTTTAAATGAATTTGATTTTAAATGAACTTTAACATCAAAGTCACACATTTTCAGTGCCACTGTTGTTTGTCAAATGATGTTCATATGAGGTGAGGGGAGGGACTGTATCAGGGACTGTGTGGACGGTGTATTGGTAGCATGCTAAATAAACCAATTACTTCCTCTGACTTCTGAAATATACAAATTGCAGCATGACCTTCCTCCTTTTGGTACTCAACTTGCAAAGTAGTTGATCATTTCCAGGGAATTTTATCCTTTGTTCAGTGAAAATAAGAAATTATACGTTGAAAATGCTTTTAAATCATGTGCGGGAAGATGCACTTTTCTCTAAGAAAAGTCTAGGGTGTTCTGCCTGGGAGTGGCAGCAGGGGCCTTGAGCAGCAGCACTGGGGAGCAAACATCACCTCAGACACAGCTCTGTTTGTTCTGTCAGTGTTGTGAATGGCTACAGAATGACTTGTGGTCCCAGTTGCCGAGCATGGGATGGCCTGCAGCACTTGGGAGAGGCAGACTCAGTAGGCTTTGCAAGAATAGAGGCAGGCACAGCCCCATTGTATCTCAGGTTTCATTCTTTTTTAACCTCTCCCTGGAAACATTAAGGGGAAAAGCCAGTTAGAATGGAGACCAGAGTTGCAGAATCCATGAGCAGACAAAGCTGGTGAGGATTCATAAGAAAGCCTAATCTTGCTTGATAGGCAAACAAAAGTAAAGCCCAACTTGAGCTATTTCTTGCAAAAGCCTACATTAAAGAAAAATAAAACCATGACTAACTATTCAGAAATTATCAAGCCATGGTTACAGAACAAGAAACTTTCTTCCAGAACGGACCAAATAAGGAAGCTGTGTAAGTGTAGCCAAATGTTATAGCTCCATTTCAGGGTGTGAAGCTTATGTGGGTCAACTTGATTGACTTGGGAGTGGCCCAAGTGTGCAGCACAATTCTGCATGTGTCTGGGTGAGTCTCAAAGGTTTAACCTGGGGTACATATGGTCTCTGACCCTTTCCTCTCTGGCACTGTTTCCTACTCTGCCTCACAGCCACCATGACATCTTTGTTCCACCACACTCTTCTCAGACTGAATCCTCTCTCTAATCAAACCTCTCATCCTTTAAGTTGTGGCTGCTGGATATCGTATCCTAGGGGGGTAACATTGATAGTTCAAAAATTGGTGCTAAGTGTGGGATTGCTTCTGGGGTTGCACTTGGCTGTGTGGTTCAGAAGTCTGCAGAACTCGTTTGAGAGAAGAATTAGAGCAAATCTGAAGTGGGCCACATAGTCTCTGAAAGCTATGAGCAGAGCCTGCTAAGGATTCATGTCAGAGCTCAGAAAATCAGTGTGCTGATAGGAATGTAGACAGTAAAGGCCACGATTAGGAGGTATTAACTGGGAACAAGACAATACTGGCAAGTGCACAAGAAGCCACGCATGTTGCACTCTGGCAAAAAATAAAATAAAAATAAGAAAGAAATCTGTGTACACTTTGCCCATGTCGGAGGACTGAGAGGCTGAGTTTAAGGATTATGAACTAATAGATCTGGCAGGGGAAATTTTAAGATATTTCAGTTTAAGTTCTGTCATGAGTAGTGTTGGCTGTTTTTAGAGAAATTTATAATAAGAATCAAGAGAAAAAATGTAAAGCTTACATTTTTGCCCAGATGAGACATGTGTAAAGTTGAGACTAAAAAAGGTATGGCTGCTAAAGAAAATTAGTTTCTTAAAGGTTAATCAAGTTCTTTGTAGAGAGATTTTTTAAAAAGACCCCTGAGGTCATTTCAGCAATCAATAAGACCCTACTCAGCAAAGATGCAAAAGTGTCAAACTTTCATCGAAAAGAGAGCACCTGGGCCCCCTGCATGATCAAAGCCACCTAGGAAATTGGGTCCCCAGATTCATTTCACTGTGCCTTCAGCCACTGTGTTATTCAGAGGCCATCACACCCACAGCCCAGCTCCTGCTCCCACTGATAGCAGACACTGGCATGGTCCACACCATGCAGTTTTGTCAGCATGCAAAATGCACACTTTGTGGGATCAGGAAGGCTTCGACACAAGCTTCAAAATAAGGTCTAAGAGGGAAGGCATGAAGCTGTAAAAATAAATCCAAAGGCACAGTAGGAGCCCCCCAAAGTTAAAAATATCATAAATATAAAACATTTTCCAAAAAAAGCTACAGAGCACAGGTGGGCCTAACAGGGCCACAGGCTTAGGCCACCCGAGCTCTCTACAATTCATTTTTCCACTGTTGTGTCCCAGATGGCAGAGATGGACTACAAGATTTAATATTGGCCCTGTTACATTTTAGCATTGCTGTGGTCTGATTCTTTCCTATTTGCCTATTTCTCCCTTTAAAAATAGATATGTTCACCAGAAGAGACCTAGAACAGCAAAAACCATTCTAGGCAACAGAGACAGTGTGTATCACAATTCCCAACTTGAACCTATACTACAAAACCATCATGATAAAAACAGCATGGTACTGACAAAGAAACAGACCTGAGGATCAGTGGAATAGATTAGAAAATGCAGAAACAACACCAGACATCCTCAGCTACCTCATCTTTGACAAAGGAGCCTCTTTAATAAATGGTGCTGGAAAAACTGGCTTTCAACTTTCCAAAGATTAAAATTTGATCCCTATCTTTCACCATGTACTAAACTAAAATCCAAGTGGATTAAAGAGCAAAATATGAAAACACAAACACTAAATTTGCTGGAAGATCAGTTAGGTAGAACATTCAAAGACATTGGCATAGGAGAAGACTTTATGAACAAATCCTCAGCAGCATTAGAACTTGCACAAAAAATCAATAACTGGGATCTAATTGTATTAAAAACTTTCTGCAGTGCAAGAGAAATCACCAACAGAGGTAAGAAACAACCTACAATGTGGGGAAAAAATTTTACCAGCCACTCCTCAAAGGACTACTATCTAGAATATATAAAGAACTCAAACAAATCAGACCCCCAAATACAAAGACCCAATTCAAAAACAGGTATCTAAAATGAGCAGACATTCTTCAGACAAAGAAGTAAAAGCAGAAAATAAATATGTGAAAAAATGTTCAACATCACTGGTCATTTGAGAGATGCAAATGAAAACAACACTGAGATTCCACCTTAGCTCAGAAAGAATGGTTGCTATCAAGAAATCAATCAAAAACAAATGCTGGTGGGGCTGTGGGGAGAAAAGAACCCTTCTCCATTGTTGGTGGAAGTTGGTGGAAGAACACTGGTGCAACCACTGTGGAAATCAGTATGGAGATACCTCAAAGAACTAGGATTAAAGTTTCCATTTGACCCAGATGTTCCTCTGCTGGGTATCTTTCAAAAAGAATTAAAAGTATCATAGCACAGTGACATATGTGCACCCATGTTTATAGTGGCACAGTTCATAATAGCTAATACTTTGAAACAGCCCAAATGCCCATCAACTGGAGCCTATCAACTGGATAAAGGAGGTGTGTTTTTTCTATAAAATGGAGTACTACTCAGCCATAAAAAATGGGAAACTAGAAATATCTATAGCTAAATGGATGCACATTGAAGCTATACTCTTAAGTGAAATAAATAGGACACACATGTATAAATACTGAATAGTTTCTCTGATGTGAAAATGTAAAAGTGTAAATAAGGTTCAAATGGTATAATTGAGGGTGTGAAATAGGAAGAAAATGGCTAAAGGGTAAGTGGGAAGGGGAGGGAAAAGGAAATGAGGGAAAAGAAAAAATGTGAAAAGGAAAAAATGGAAACAGAGTCTTTGTAAATAGGGAAGGGTGAAGTGGGTGAAGGGAGTGCAGGTGTATGGGGAAAAAACAAGAACCAAGATACATCATGTAAAGGTACAAGATCCCAATGATAAATGTAACTGTACTGTTTGCTCTAAATGTACCAATAAATTTAATGGGAAAACAACTAGAAATTTTTACCCTGTGCCATTGTACCTTGGAGTTATATGAATTTGTGTGTGTGTGTGTGTGTGTGTGTGTGTGTGTGTGTGTGTGTGTACTTTTACAGAGGTTCACAAGAAAAGACTGACTTGGACTTTTAAAAAATGTTAAAATTATCCAGTCACCAGTCCATGGGCATTTGGGTTGTTTCCAAGTTTTAGTTATCACAAACTGTGCTGCTATAAACATAGGTGCACATATACCACAGTGGTATGATTCTTTTAATTCTTTTGGGAAGATACCCAGCAGGGGAATAGCTGCGTCAAACAGGACCTCTAATCCTAGCTTTTTGAGGTATCTCCATATTGACTTCAATTGTACCAATAAACAATGAATTTTAAAAATTTTTAAATTGCTAAGACTTTGCAAAAGGGATTATTATATTTTTGGTTGTAAAGAGGATAGTCATGGAATCTTAGGCAAAATTGCAAACTTGTTACTGTCTTTATGTAGACATCAAGTATGGTTTCAAAAGATGTTAGGGTTTTAACTGGACAAGGGTAAAATGCGGTGGGTTAGCTGAGTCATGTCAATTTGTCTGGCTTGAAAGTGGCCCAAGGGTTAGTAAATCACACTTCCAGATGTGTCTGAGTGAGTCTTGGAGCTGTGACTCTGGGACTCCTATATGTGGGACTCTTGCCTGACTCTGGATCCTCTCAGCCAGGCACTAAGCAGCATTGCTTCACTTTGCCTTTTCTGCCATGATGTTTCCACCTTAGATTCAGTCAACCAGAGACCAAATACCCTAAAACCACGAGGCAAACACTCTTCTCCTTTAAATTGTGGTTGTTGAGTACTATGTTCCATTGATGGAAAAGATGACTAACACAACTTCTATGTTCATTTTGCAAAAGCCTCCCACTGTCTTTCTTGAGTAGAGTCCCCAGACCATTTCAAATTTGAAATTCCCTGATTTGTGCTTACTGTTTGCTCAAATAAACACTTAAAATTGTATTTTGCCTGTTTACCTTTTAACACATCAAAAAATAATCTTTGAACCAACTGGAGAGTAGGTGCCTCTCATCATGGAAAGTTTGAGCAAAACCATATGTTGTTTATCTCTGAAGCAAGAGCCATAGTGCAGCATTTAGCCTAATGATTTTGCAGTAAACAGAGGCAGCATGTGAGTGACAGCACAGGTAGGCAGACTTCAGTTCAAACCTAGCTCTGCTAGTCTCTTGTAGAAGTGGAATTAGTATTAATTAACTTGAAAAATTGTTAAAAGAGTTAAATAAATCATTCCATTTCTTTCTGTTTCCTATACACGTACATCCACAGGAAACATACCACAAGAGCTCAATAAGGTAAAAGAAAACAGAACTTTTTCTGATCTGTAACTTACAGCTTAGCATGCTTCTCTGTTTTGCAAGAGATGCATCTCTGGATGGTGGACTGATTTACTCCATAAATGCCGAGCCATGTAAAAGTTCCTCCAACTGAGATGGTCCAAAAAGTGTGCCTCCGGAGAGGATCTACGTCAAAACTGCGAGACACAGAGAACACAGATGTTGTTTTAGATGACGATAGCACGCATTTTAAGTCTTACGAAGTGTAAAAAGTAGCCGTGGACATACTCAACTATATGTAGTCGGGACCCATTTGCTGCTTGCTCTAATACGTTGTGGAACCCACCAACTTTAATGGATCCTTGAATGAGAACCGTTAAGAAGCCCACAATCATGACCACCATCTGGAAGGCGTCTGTCCACACCACTGCTTTTAATCCTCCCTGCAATGAAGAGCATCACACGCACGATTGAGACTGAGGTCTGCAACCACTTCATATTGGAACAGTTTTCCCAGCTGTAACCGCTCCTCCATTAACTCAGTGATAGTGACAGGGCGTCTTTAACTTGCTTTATCTTCTATGTTAAATATGCAAATAAAATGGAAAGCAAAAAAAAAAAGGCCTCTTCCTTAAATTAACAGAGCTCATAATCTAATGAAAGAATTGGATGATAGATTGCAAAACAGCTATTAACTTAAACTTACAGAGTGCCACGAAAGACGGTTACTAGGGAAGCACGCAGTAAGGCATGTTGATCTGGTTTTGAGAACTCGACTGTCAAGCTAAAGAATAAGTAGAAACCTACCAGGTATTGAGGACGAAGGGAAGATCAGACCCTCACAAAGTAAGAGTCCCTAGGAAATGAAGGAAAGTTGGAACATAATGTACAGATCCAAGCTGTGACAGGCCCAAAGAGGAGGCTGCTGAATTTGTTAGAGGCCAGAGCAGACAAATCGTGGCAAGGCTACTTCCATGATCTGTCAAGAGTAAGGAAAGAGTATTAAAAAGAGTTATATAATGACAGGCTTTGTCGTTTGTTTCACAGTAGTTTGGTGGTTGTGTGGATAATGAATTGTAAACTGCAAGGAAAGGAGTCAAGAGACCAGTTAGTTTCTTCCAGTCACTCTTGCCCACAATGGTGGGAAGTTTGAAGTAGGGCAGAGAGAGAAGGAATTTGATGTATTTGAAAGACATCTGAGTGGTAAAAATCATCAAAACTTGTGATTCAGCTAAATAGGTGATGAAGAAATAAGAGAATTCAATATGATCACCTGGCTATAGCTTGTAAAATAGAGACACTTTGAATGAAACAAATGACAGTGAAGAAAATATACTCTGGGAAATAGAGATGACAGCAAACTGAGAAAGAAGAGAAAACTAGGAAGGAATGTTCAATCACAAATTCATAAGGAAGGAGTTGTTGAGGTACAGGGTGGTCAAAGAGTGAGGTGAGGAAACCAGCATCCTGAAGATGAAGATGATAGGAGACTTGGGATAGAGAGATTAGGGAAAAGGTCAAATCAGTAGTTATTAAATCTGGCACCTCACTAGAGCCGCCTGAGGAAATTAAAAGAAAAATAGGCAACTTCCAAATCCCGTCCTTGGGGATTCTAAATTAATTGCTCTCCCAAAATGTTTCCCCAGTGCAGAATTCTAGTGGAGAACATGCTGGCCAGGAGAAGGGTGGAGGAAGAGAGACTGCGTGGTATTCCATGGACAGAAGCCCTGAGGGCCACAGCGAGGGTGGGATAACCAAATAGGGAAAGATTAAATGAAGTGATATATTTTAAAAAATGCATTTTGAAAACTCATAAGCACCAGGAAAAGGAAAGATGTGATATTTTTAACACTGAAAAATAGAATTATCCCAAGTTACTCCTCCAGAGTGTCAAGAACTTCTGTGAGAAGATGACAAGCTTTATCTTTAGCTGGAAGAGAAAGAAGACATTGGGTTGTCCCAACCTTTTTTGCAATTAAAATTTAGTTTGAAACTAAATATTAAGGTTCTTGCTAAAAGCATTTCATTTATATATTTTGTTCAAATCATATTTGGGGAACAATAAATGTCTTCTCTTCCACCTCTTAGATGGCACTATCTTGATTTTCTTTAAAGATGTTAAGCCTTCCAAACCCAAATCTCAACCTCATACTTTAGTAATATGAAAACCAGCTATCAAAATCTTTAGCTGTCAGAGACTGCTTGACATTTGTTACAGAAAAATCTGTACAAAGCTAAACATCAGTTTGATATGCAAGAAAACAAACCACTTCTCCAAGAATTCATCAGAAGTCATATTATAGTCACCATGAATTCTTGGATTTTCACAAAACAAGACTTCCTTTCCCTTTACATATGTCACCAATCTGTGCTGTCTGGGCTCTAAAGTCTACCTCATTTTATTGTACACTTTGGATGGCAAGAATTGGTTAGTTTTTAATGTCTTCCACTGATTTTCCCCACATACTATGCATCTACCAGATTATCAGAGTAAAGAGATTGCAACATGGGTGCAGGCATAGGCTGCCATCTTGGTGAGACAGAAACATACACAGGCTGCCATCTTGGTGAGACACTAAACTCTCTGGTCTGGCTCGAAAGGAGAGATGGAGCAGAGATAGTTTCTCTAGACTTATCTTAGTGGAATATCTGTTGCTGCTAAATTTTCTTGCCTGTCAATTCCTTCAATTCCTGAAAGATAGTTTTGTTGATAAAATTATAGGTTGTCAGTTGTTTCTTCTCTGTGCTTTGAAGAGACTGTGCTATTGTCTCTGGCTTCCATTGTTGGTGCTAAAATGTCTGCCTATGGTGTCCCTTTGTAGGTGCCTCCGTCCCCTCTGACTCTTCTGTAGCCATTAAAGTTGTGTTTTGCAATTCTGTGGATTCTTACTTTTTTCAATTCTGAAGAATTTCAAGCTATACTTTTTGGAAATGTGGTAGGTATTCTTGATGTTTGATTCTCCTCAGAAACTCCAACTGGACTTAAGTTGGATCTCCTATTCTGTCCTTCAGAGAGGATTTGCACCTTTTCTTCACAAGAGTCAAAGTGTATCACTGACCCACAACACTGGGGCTCCTCTCAGTGACCACGGCTGACTGCACTCCTCTACTCTGCCATCAGACCAAGGTTCAACACCTCCGTAGTAGCGATGTTCTCATCAATCCCATTCTTTCTGTTTACTCACTTCTTCCAGATAGCAGCCCTGATAATCCATTCAAATTATTTCTGTTATTATTTAAAGTATTTGGCTGTACTATTTTGTTACTGTATTTTTTGGGAAAAGGTTTCCTTTGGGGAGGTATCATATCCTGATAATGCATCAAAACGTCGTGGCAACCAGCATGTAATTTTTTCTTCCACAGGCAGGTGCCTCAGAGTAACTTATCACATGGATTCAGAGTGGAAAGAGGAACAAGGTGGGAAGAGATCTGTGAGAACCATATCATAAGAAGGGAAAGAAAGATGGAGATAAAACTTTGGTATGACAAAATGGTTGCATTTGCAAGTATAAAAATGAAAGATAAGGACATTTTTAAATCATGTATTCATATGATACATATCACAAAGGTTAAATAATATGCACATAATTGCACAATACATGTTTAGTCTGATTACTTTTTTATGCCTCGGGGCAGTTGTTCTGTCAATTTTTTTTTCTCCTAAGATTCTGTACCTTTTGTTCTTTTTTGGTAACAAAGCCAGTCTGAACGATCAGAAATCACCATGAATGGGAAACTAATACTTTTAAAGATAAGCACATAGTCCAATTAAATTGAATATTAGGGGCTTTCGATATGGCAGCAGTAATTGTGATATGATAATGTGTGGATACTTTTTACTTATTTTGCAGAGGAGGAAAGAGATTCCAACTGTCCTGCCAGCTCTCGCATGTCCTTAACAGGTTAAATATAGCCAGAACATGGTGTAATGATTCAGAAAGAGTAAGGATTCCAGGTGAAGTTTAAAAAGCAAACTGTTTAATTTTTTTAAAAAATGGTTTCTGATTTGAGTCAGATACAGAGGTTAAAAAAATGGTGCATACTTGAACGTAAAGTCTTGGAATCAATGCCACGCTGGTACTGCTGTTCTAGAACCCAGAGAGTTTTCTGTGCTAAATCTTCCAAACCAATAAAGATGGAAGGAACAACTTGGAATGTTTTAACTGCAGCTCTCAGATGTTTAATAATAGCACAACAAATTAGAAACAAGTCATGTCATTTTCAACAGTATGTCATTTTCATGTGTCCTGTCTCTTAAATTTCTCTTTAAAAAAAAAAAAAAAAAGGATTCGAATGGGCCCAGGATTTAGCAGTGGTGCTGCCACCTGCCTTGGAAGCACAAGGTCCTGAGGGGGCAGGCGGTAAAGTATAAACCCTACCTAGTACTTCTCAACAAGCATGGGCAGCAGATGCATTTTTCAGAAACATCATGGGGTCATTGTCCTCTGCTCAGGGAGCTATTTCTCTCATCAAACCTTCTCTCAAGGGTGGAACTTTCTTGAATGAACTCAGTGCCCAAATTCTCAAAGCTGCTAGTGCAGAAAAGGATTTCAAATGGAAAAGTGTCTTCCTCTGGAGGCTGGCAGATCCTCTGACAGACATACCTGTGCTTAGTTTGGGGAAGGCAGCTTCTTCTATAATCAGACAGCAGGAGGTTCGTCTTACCAGTGTTAGGGAGCATCACCGCCCTGTGTTCTTCTGTGAGATACTTACCAGGGTGCAGTAGAACGTGCAGACAATCCCCGTGGCAAACACAGAGCCCCACAGGTCAAACCCGGTCACTGGCAAAGGAGAAGAACAGGAAAGCAGTTTCCCTGATCAGAGTGTCAGCCAGAGCCTTGTGCAGAAAACTCACACTGTGTGAGTCAGTGTTCTTGCGGCCTAAGGGAAATCAAATTCGTTTTCCTCGAGAAATTTTACCACCTCGGAAGAGGACGATTACTTTTTCATGCCTCAAGGCAGTTGTTCCGTCAATTTTTTTTTTTTTCTCCTAAGATTCTGTTGTTTCCACCTTTGGTTCAAATGTTTGTTTTGGGTTTTTTTGTTTGTTTCTTTCTTTCCTTCTTTTTTGTACCAGGGATTGAACTCTGGTCCTTGCTCTTGCAAGGCAGGAGGTGGAAATGTGGATTTAAATGCCTGGCCCAGGTCAAATGTTTTTTGCTTTTTGTTCTTTTTTGGTAACAAAGCTAGTCTGAATGATCAGAAACCACCATGAATGGGAAACTAAGACTTTTCAAGATAAGCACATAGTCCAATTTAATGGAACATTAAGGGCTTTCCATGTGGCACATGTAACTGTGAAATTTCTTTTCCTTTCTTTCATTTTCGTTTCTAGGCTTCTATTCTCTTGAAAGGGTCAACTGTACACCTTCATGTTATTACTATAAACACTTTTACTTTTGCACTCAGATCAGCTAATTCACGAAATCACTAAGAAAGGTAAAATGTGCACAGATTTAGATGACTTAACTCTGTGGTTATGCCGACACCGTACCAAAGCTACCATCCTTTAAATGAAACAAAAAAAACAAATGAAAAACACAAAAGCTATCAAGCCAGATGTTTAGAAACAGCCAGTTTCGTGAGATAAAAATCAAGTAATTGGGCCATGGATTTAGCTCAGTGGTTCCGCCGCCTGCCTCGCAAGCACAAGGACCCAAGTTCGATTCCCAGTACCAAAGTTTTAGATATTGGTGGGGACGACTGCCGTACCTCGGTCACACTGACCAGAGTGTCGTCCCCTAAAAAGGTGCGGTGTGCACATTTCTCTAGGGCGAGATCAGGCGTAGAGAGGACGCAGTACGCCCGGGGGTGCTGGGAGCTCTCACCTTGATTGAGTGCCAGGGCCGGCGCATACACCACCACTCCCGTGTAGAGGATCTGGGGGGAAACAAGGATTCGGTGGACATGAAACAAAAGCGACACCGAGGGGAAATCGCCTGGAAAGCTCTTCATGGACCTCGGAGATGTTTCTCCTTCCACTCGCTCACTCTGCATTGCATTCGCAGCCACGCTGTTCGAAAGCATGCACCGCTGTACTAATGACTGTTAGGTCGGCCAAGAGCTGTGGAAACCATCGGGTGGAGGAAGAGGCTCAGATTCGGACCATCACTGTCAGTTTAAAGACGCTGTGTTTGTACTGGGCGTATTTCTAAAGACACGTTAATTTTAAACTGAGTTTTTTCCTTTGCCCTTCCTCTCCTACACACATCCCAGAGAGGCCCCTGCTGCCTTCAGAGGATGCACTACTGGAGAGCCCAAGTACATTTCAACAATTGGTTGTAATGTGGAGTATGGAGTGGAGATGAAAAAAATCTGTGAAGAGACGAACCGCACAGGAAAGACTTGTCACGAGGAATCCCCACATAACTCACCCACTACAGTGGCTACCTTGATGGAAACGGGCTCCCTTCCAATTTTATTTTAAACGCACTTCCACCATTTAAAAGATGCATGGCAGCGTCAAGAGACGTTGTTTTCCTCCCGTCCTCTTGCTCAAGTGCCCAGGCACTAGGTGGAAGTTTCCATTAAAAGAGAGGAGGATCTCTGCTAGCAGAAAGCACCTGGTCAGTAGCGGGGCGCCCCCCAGTGGTGGGTGGCGAGAAAGCACCCAAAGCCTACCGGACCCGAAAGGAGTCCCCCGTGGAGGGAAATCCGGGCACTGGTGCAGAACATTGCCTTAAAGAGACTTTCGGCAAAACAAACAACAAAGCATTTCTGGTTCAACTCACTTAACCAATTTTTTAAAAAATCAGTTACCAGACCATCCCATATCTAAATTTTGTACAGGTTAAGCACGAGAAAAGTACATTTGAAGAAAACGATTTTTCTTTATAGCTCATAATGGTTCGTTTGATATTATTAGTCCAGATCTATGGAATGTACGCAATGCACACGTCTCTCTTATGTTTCTTAAAAGTGCTCCTTTAGAAAGAAAGTAAGGGCTTCTTAGTACCAAGTCTGTCCTTAAATTGGGCTAATTGGCCCCAAATAGACACAACTCAGGCGGTGACCCCATCTTCCACGTCTGCATCAGCCCTTCTCTTACCGTCTGCACGATGTAGATGAAAGTCGCTGCGTAGCGAACTGGTCTGTTGAAGCGCAGCTGTAGGTACTAAGCAGAACAGAGAGAGAGGAAGGAGTAGCAAGGTTAGCGAGTTTGGGGAAGAGCTCTATAAAGACCTTTGCTTTGTCTCTTTGATAGTTCTCTGAGCTAGCTGCTGTGGTCTTTGAGTATGATTTTATGCTATGAGTCCTTGGAAACAGAGGGCCAAAAAAAGCATGGATTATTAAAGCCCAAAGTGAATTAAAACTTACCTCCTTTACATGCTTCTCATCATGGTCAAAAAGAACAAAACCCAGGCCTGCTGACTTTCACCATATGGTTCTTTCTAAGGGACTGGCTGAAGCCACTGGTTCCTGCTATATTCCCACTGCCCCAAATGTAGCTTATTTTTCTGGTTTTCATTGTGGCTGTAGCCTGAGATGTGTACTTTGTAATAGCAAGGGAAAATCACTGAAGATTTTGAGAAGAAAAGAGCCATGATCAGAGGTCTGTTTGAGGAGAATTGATGCGGCAGATCTGGACTGATGGGGTGGGTGGGTGAGTCTTGGCACTGGGAGACCAATTAGGAGGCTACAGCAATAGCCCTGAGTTGGAAAAACTCTACATGGCAGGGTCTGATTTACTGATGGAGGTCAGCCAAGGTTTGTGCAAGGATTCCGAAAGATGTGTGTCCACAAATCACCCCAATGTACGTCCTTCTGTATAATAAAGTAGCAAATGACTAAAAGATTCACTTTCTTGGGTGTAGTCGCTACTCGGTATTTCTTTAGTACACGAATTATGAAAATCATTTTAATCAACTACCTACTGATTGGTACTCTTCCCAGAAATGGTACATAACCCTTTACGATTTACAGTGGATCCTTCTCTGAAATAAAGAGTACTTGGTAGAATTGTGACCTGGTTTCAATCTCGCTCACATGTTCTAACTGGCCCTGCTAGGTGTCCAGAGTCCCCAGTGAAGGATCCTCTTATTGTCTGGTGACAAACTCACTCACTGGGGAGGAAAGTACAGTCCAGTGGACAGGTGACCAAGGTCCCAGCTATGAAGGAAATGTTCTAACAGAGGCAGGGCAAGGCAATGGGGATTGAATGTTTCAAATATCATGGGATGGAAAGCAGCAAAACCTCCATGCTGGAGACAGCTTGGGCTGCAACCCTGTACCTTTGGGAAGAGGGGTCCACTGCACTATAATCCGTGAGCTTCTCTTTGTAAACCCAGCACAAGAACAAAGGCATCGGTCACATGCATGGTAGAAATGATCAAGTGTGAGATAACCCTGAGCAAAGGATTCGGAATCCAGTGGGATCCTACTGACTGCCCTTAGTCACCAGGGGTGCAGCAGACTCGGCCTGTGGACAGCCTGTTCCAGAACACGCTGGTGAGAGGAGGGGCTAAGGAAGAAAGGGAAAAGAAAAAAATGAGAAAGAAGGACGACGTGGAAACAATGTTTTGTAAATAAGGAGGGGAGGAGGGGTTGAAGGGAGGGGAGGGGAATGGAAAAAAAAGAGAAATCCAGGTATATTATGTACAGGTACAAATTCCCCATGATAAATGTGATCATTATTTCTATCTAAATTGTACCAATGAAATTAATTTTTAAAAACCCCCCTAGTATCTGAAGCAAAGTCAGCTCATTAGGGACACAGGTAAATCAGATTTTCAACAGATTTATCTACTTTTGAGTCATGACTTGGTTATCTGTGTCTCAGTTTTCCCAGCTGGAAGATTATGATATTTGTGGCAAGTATTATGATTGTGGTACGCATTCTTCATGCTTTCCAGGAAAATTATGCTGATAACAATAGCACGAAAGATCTTTTCCTGAGCTCATCCCATAAACAAGACAATGCACTCGAGGCTCATTTGGTCTTTGCAGTTGCCCTGTGCACTTGACGTGGTGAGTTTCAGGCTACGGTGGGGAAAAGCAGGTGTGTCTGTAGGCAAAGCATAGGCTTTTCCCTAAAAATAGTAAATCTTTTTTTTTTATATAATGCTAATTGTCTTGAAATGTCAGGGAGTCGGTATGTATTCTTCAGCCGACAGCTTCCCTATCAAGAGGATGCGCACAGTGGAGGACTGGAAAAGAAGAGGGGCACCTCAAGAGGGGAGAAGAGTGACTTCCACTCCTGCTGCAGTGGGGGAGAAGGGGCAGCCCTCTTACCTCATAGGTGCTGGTGATGCCAGATCTGTAGAACACAGGGAGGAAGAGCTCCGATGTGCAGATGATAACACATGTGTAGGCGATGAAGAAGAGGATGAAGGAGGCACCAAAGCGGTAGACCTCGGAAGGGGTCCCCAGGACCGTGACCGCCGACATGAAGCTAGCTGTCAGGGACAAGGCCACAGGGCCGCAGGACATCTGCCTGCCGCCTACCAGGAACTCCTTAGATGTTCCCTTTTTCCTCTCCTTAATGGCAAAGAACACCCCGATCCCCGAGGAAATAACAAAGAGGGATGCAAAGACAACATAGTCCCATGCTGCAAAGCTCTTCACCTGCATGCTGAGGGGAAACTAGGAGAAGGATCCAGACAGGTCCCTGCGGGTGTATCCCAAAGCAAAGCTGGAAACAGAGGGCTTCTGACAGGGAGGCTGTGGTTCCCTTAAGAGGCTGAGGACAACCACGTGGATATCAAACTCCAGGTTACGCTGGAGGAAGACCTTCAAGATACAGGGTGGAAGACGGCTCCTGGGGGAGTTGGTACGGAGAGATGAGGTCTTGCGGTGCAATCCCAGCCAAGAACCTCCTGCTCCTCTCCCTAAGCGTCTACCGAAGAGGAGGAAATCAGATGTGCTCTAAAGTTAATAACTCCTGGGGGTGGAATGGTCCCATCACACGGTGTGCTTTTATCTCCTGGCTTTTTTTTTTTTTCCTAAGTCAAGGTTAAACATTACTGAGAAGCACCCCAGTGATAAAAGTTGACCTCCTCAGCGTTTTTAATTAGGGACATGGACTCTGGAAAGTGCAGCCCGCATCTCAGAGAGGCATCTCGGTCCAGAGGAAGGAAGTGTGAGGAGGTCGCCAGAGGCAGTGGGTGTGTAGGGAAGGAGTGGGGACCTGGAACCCAGGGAGGCATGTGCTCAAGTCCTCTCTCCTGAGTTCCACCAGGTACACAGGGATCAGACCCTACAAAGCCAGTGCAAGTCTTTCAGTCTCCAGCTTCCTGACTTTCTTTACCCTAAGCTGTAAAACGAAAGGTGAAAATATCCACCCGGTGGCCTACTTTTTGTGCTTCAAGTGGAGCGTTCCTGAACATAACACTGCCTTGGCTCAGGCAATGGATTAACCAAAAATGAATAGATCACCTGTTGCCCGCAGCTCTCTCTTCTCCATCCTCGTACTAAGTGCTTTACTTGCACCCAGTGCATTAGTCAAATGGGGACAAGACAAACGAGAGAAGGTCGGATGGTGAAAACCAGCTACAGACTCCTGCTTCTGCTCTTGCGAGGCCTAATTGCCAAGCAGGACCTCCAGTTTCTCTGTTTTGCTCCTGCCTCTCCTCTCCCCTCGATTGTGTCCTACATCCCCACCCACACCATGCAAGATCACTGGTCTCCCCAGAACTGCACAGCCCTTCCCACCCCCGACCTCAACTCCTATGCAGCCCCTCACTTGTGCTGGCTTGAACCTCTGCAGCCATCCTCCGTAACCATAAGCATTCTGTGTGTGGGGCTTTCGCAGTCCGACTCATGTCACAAATGACCAGTTCCTTGGAGACAAAGGCAGAAGGCCTAGTCCAGTCGCGGCAAGCCGAAGGCACCCGCGCCACACTGGGCTGTTCATCACTGAAAGCTCTAAAAGGTTCACCGTCGCTGGTCTCGTCCATGTACCCAGTAAACAGCAGCCATTAGAGAAAATAAGAGAATAATAAAGAACACAAACAGTAGAAAACTGTCGTTATCCGTATGGCCCCCAAACAGAAACACTTTCAGTCAAACACTTTTTCACATCTGAACAACCGAGTAACTCTGATTACTTGTTGGAATACCATCTTCCCTCTCAAATTCACCCCACGGATTTGCACCAGGTGTGAGGCAGTCCTGGCAGCTGGAGTTGGTGTTCAGTTATGAATAAGGATGTGAAGACTGCCTGGAGCTGTCTGCACCTTGCTATGTAAACGTCTCCTCTAGATGTGTGGTTTTGATATGATCAGTATTCAGGGACAAACACATCTTCATTATCTTCTCCTTTGTGTAGGGTTTTCGTTATTTTTATCATAAGGAACAGGTACATTTTGTTTTATTGTGCTTCACTTTATGGTCCTTGGCAGATATTCCTGTTTTGTTTAGTCCTTACAAAATGAAGATTTGTGCTGCCCTTTCATCAAGTGAGCCTGTAGTCACTATTTCTGGAACAACATGTGTTCATTTGGGGTCTCTGTGCCATGTTTTTGGTAACTCTTGTACCATGCTAAATTCTTTCATTATTGTCACATCTGTGAGGGTGACTTGTGATTTGTGATCTTTGATGCCATTATTGTGAGTGTACTGGGTGCACAGTTATACCCGCTGAAGCCACAAATGTAGTACACATGGCATTCGGGCTGCTCTGCTGACCAGCCAGCCCTTCCTCCACCTCTGTCTCTCCTCAGAGCTCAGCCTGAGGTTGCCTGAGCTGCAACCCTGAAGGCTAGTGATCCCCCTAAGTGTTTGAGGGAAAGGAAGCATTGCGCTCCTCCCTTTTGAACCCCAAGGTAGAGAGGACGCAGATCAGTGAGCAGCCTACACTGTGTACCATGAGCCCCTGAGGTGTGAGAAGCTGTGCCTCTTACAGAACTCAGCAAATGCTGAGGAAATGTTCTTGAAGCAAAGTGCTGTTCACATAAACATCAGACAGCAAAAAAGCCTAATTGCTGATGTGGAGGATAGTTTTAGTGTTCTGGGTAAAAGATCAAATCGGTCCCAACATTCCCTCCCTCCAAAGGCTCTAACTCTGTCGGGTTCCCTGAAAGCTGAGAGGCGAGGAAGCCACAGAAAAGCATTTGCCAGCTAGAAGCTTATTTTTGTGAGGTCCCAGGAACAAGGGCATCTCCCAGACGCCAAGGGCAAGGTGAAACGGCACCTACTACCGCAGAGGCCGGGTCCCCCTATCCGGAGGATGGAGCGAAGATCGCTGATGAAGAGGATACACTGTGCAACAGATTTTCAGTGTGGACAGACAGCCTTCTGTGAGAGGGAAACCCCAGAGAGAGCAATCAATGCCTGTCTTCAAAGCTTCAAGGGAAGCTGACTCTTGCCGGCGGCCAACATAGCTGTGGTTTCAGTTGAGGCCCAGGCCCACTCAGTTTCCGAGGATTCTCAGGCCCTTAGGAATTAGGCTGAATCTATCCTGCATGTGCTTTAGAAATAGAACACGAAAGCTTGGATGGCCACACATCTATTTACAGCACTATTTACCACGTGTTTACTGTCCACCATTGCACTCATTGCTCAAAAAAAATATTCCTTTCAAAATATTACTGCTCATGGATGCTGAACCTGGTCCCCCCAATTCTGCTGGGGAAGTGTGAGGTTGGGGCTCTCTGCCTGCGAGTTCATCATTCATCCGCAGCCCGTGAATAGGGTTCAGAGTCATTTCCAAGAAGTGCATTTCACAGGGCTGCAGCTGCCGCCCCACACAGGTTCCACTGCTGGATGGGAAAAGTGAGCTGAAGCCCCCGGAAGGAATTCGTCGTTCTAGAGGCCATGGAGAACGCGAGTGACGGCAAAATATCAGCGCTGACAGGGAACAGGGAGTTGATTCCGACCCCAGTAGAGGGTGGTGAAGGGTCCAAGACATCGTTGAGGGAAAAGACTCCAGATGTGGTAGAAATAAGAAGAACTAGAATGAGGAGCAAGGCCTAGAAGGTGGCCGTGTCAGTGAAACTTCCTGGTAAACCCCAAATGCACCGGGAGTTGCTGGCCCTTGCTGGGGGGAAAGGCGGCTTCTTGACGTAGAAGCTGCATGAAAGGAACTCTATCTGTGCGGAGAACTTTATTGTTTATTGTTTATATTTTTAAATTTGTACTTAGCACCTTCCCGTGTTCATGTTAGGAGCAGGTGCATGTACCCAGCACAGTGCTTCTTCATTCCCTTCCTCCCCGTGTACCTCCCCCGCCCACCTCTAAATCACCTTCCCCATTTTCACGTTGTGCTTGCCAGTGTTACGTTTAGTTCTTATGTATGACACGTAATGTTTCCACTGATTGTGGGTGTTGGAACCTGCACATAACACATCTTAAATCTTTATATTTCTTCTTCCTCTCTGCCTCCATTGCTCTCAACCTCTTGGACCCCCTTCCCATGAGCAAACGATCTATCTCCCTGCTTCTGCCTCATAACCCTTTGTTTTGCACTTTATTTTCACTTCACCTCATCCAAATGAGAGAACGTGTGTGATATTTAAGCTTGCGTGTCTGACTTACTTTGCTTAACACTGCATTTTCCGGGTACATCCATTTTCCTACAAATGTCTCAGATTTCTCCTTCTTTGTAGCCAAGTACTATTCCATCAATGTAAACACCACATTTTCTTTTATCCACTCATCTGTTGATGGACGCTTAGTCTGCTTCCAGGATTTGGCTGTTATGAGTTGGGCTGCTATAAACATGAACATGCACACATCACTGTGATATGATGTGTTTAGCTTTCTGAGAAAGACCCCCAAAACGAGAAAAGCTGGATCAAATGTGATTCCCAGTTTGAGTTCTTTGAGAAATCTCTACATGAATTTCCACACTGGTTGTACTAGTTTCCTGCTGCATTCTCCTCAACCTTAAGCAACCACAAATGACCGTGATTAGGAGTCCAGAATCCCCAGTAGCAAAACACAGTGACTCTTGAAGGCTGAGTAGATCACTAGCATTTTTATTAATAAAGTATTTTAATGGAGTAATAAAGTATTTTAATGGAGATTTATACTTTCTAAAACTTACTGTTATCGCACAAATGATAGACTGTGTATCATAGAAACATAACTTTTATCTGTACTGTGAAATCAAAAGTTTCGTATGGCTGTCTTGGTTGCTTTTGTCCCTTTATTGCACAAGACTGGGACTAATCCAAAATGTCTCAGATCCACCTATATTCTGATTATGCAAGAGATTTTTGTTGTAGTGGTCTCAGCAGAAAATCACAACCCAATTTGACTCTGAGGTTTAAATAGTTTATATTAAATATTAACACCCAGATGTTAATATTAAACCCATAAAACATGTAAGCAACTTGGTCAGGGGAAAACTGGCCAGAGCAGTATCACTGCATACAGGAGGTCCAAGTTTAAATAGCAGAAGCCTGCAGCTCCTGAGGCTGAGCACTGACCGTTCACTAAATTTCATGCAGAAGCAGCATTATCTATGTGACCCTCACCAGTCTTGGATTTCAAAGTGCTCATCCAGTATACGAAGAATGCTTCAGACTTCTCTTAGCAAAGAATGGTTTGGTTTCAACATTTGGTGCTTATGAAGCAAAGCGCCAACTTACGGCTCTGAAGTTTAGCTGTGCCCCACGTCTTTTCCCGCCCCTCTGCTTGGTGCACTCCGTGTTGCCCAAACTCTCTTCCTCCATGTGAAGTCCACACTGTGTTTAAGGCACAGTAATCATGTGTTAACAATTTTATTGTGAAGTCAACAGAATCAGTCAATTCAGTGTCTCAGCAGGGAGAAGGCACATTCCTATATCAGAGATGTTAACACGGGAAAGATGGAAATGTGCTTAAGACCTGAAGAAATTCTCCACGTCCGCACAGGTGCCTCAAACATCAGCCTTCATAATGTTTCATGTTTAATGTATGCCTCAGACCCCTGTTGAGATGCAGGCACTGTCACCTGTCAGACACA